GGATTTTTGAGATATTGAAAAACTTCTTGATTTTTTCAAAAAATCAATAATCCAATCATTAGGAAAAAATTAAAAAATTTTATTCTCAAATGTTCAATCAATTATCTATCTACTGTATTTTAAATTTCAACAAACGGACATAAACTGACAAAGTTATGATTTTTTGAAAATTTAGGCATTTTTCGGTACTTTTTGGACCATAACTCTCAAAAAACCATTTTTACCAACTATTCCGTTTGGAATCTAAAATAACTTTTTACGCTCTATCCAACCATATAGGTCTCGATTTTTTTTGAGGGTAACACTTGGGAGTCATTCCATGTTAGACGGTCATGATCGGTTCCAATCCACATGCCATTCCGCGATAACACAAGTTGGTTGACTCGTTAGTGATGTTACCTAGAAAAAAAGAATTCGTGATTTTTCGCTCACAACAAAATACCAATTATCATCGACTCCTGACAGTCCCTTTTTGTTGAAAAGAAGGTTCAAACAATTGGTGGTGGTTTGTGAAACGAGCACACTCGGCTCATTTATGGCAAATTGGTATCCGGCATAGGTGGAAAGGAGAGGATCGGAGTAGGTGAATTCCTAATACGAAAGCTGCTTCAATTTTGACCTTGACTTTGAAACTTACATTGGTTCCATTACAAGCGGCGCTTTTTTTGGCTGGTGGTTTGCAGCTCTCTTTCCGTTTTCCATCCACCCAAATTCCGTACCTCGCAAAAACGGTGTCCAATTGAAGAAGAGCATTTCCAGTTTCTAAAATTTACAAATCTGATACGACTAAAATAGACACCCCTTGCCATATATGTATTCCGTTTCATACATCGACTCCAATCCACTCAAAATAGCTCCGGAAGCAGCAGATGCACAACTGAGACCGCTGTTATCTCCCGTAACACCTCCAGTCACGGTGACAAGCTGGAACCGAATTCTCTTTCATCAACAGAACTACTGTGACTCACTCCAATACACCACAATCCTTTGGCTCTGGTGAACAATTTATAGTTGGAAGGACACTTGAGCGATTTCGTAATGGTGAAGGTCCAGAGAGAGTCCGACCCGATGAAAATTTCGTATTCAATATAACTGGTGTTCGTGGTTTCAGAACCCTGCGAACATCTGGACTTGGTTGAAAAGTCTGGACAACAACTCATTTTTGACTTATTCATTCAATGATATTAGTTGAGGACACGAAAAACAAAGCAGACCCACCTGGCCGATCAGACAACAGGATAAAAGGTTACGTCCTAAAGATGAACCGCGGATATCCTTTTTCAAATTGCAATCGCTGGAATCTCAAAATATTCCAGAGCAGGTGGGAATTAATGTTATCCTGCTATCCAGTCGTAGTGGCTCGATTCCGCCCTCCTCATCGCAATACCCATTATTTTCAGAAACATTGAATTGCTGGAAAACACATAAGTCACGCGCTTTGAAATGTACAACCGGGTCCGTTGGACGATGTGAGAATTTTTTATTGAGTAGAATTAACAAGATTCCCATTATTTTTTATTTCTGACAAGAATCCAATATTCATCTCATTTATCAGTTTTTATGCAATTTATGTCCTCCATATTGAGCACAATTTTTTTTTCGTGATCATAGAAGCGCAAAGAAACCTTACAGCGTTTCAAGGCATATGATAGCAAATTCGAACTCGCTCGCATTGTTTCTTATCACAGCTCGAAACATGATTTAGCAATGTGTGCAACGTTCTAACGTTCTTTCCATTCCTATAATTAATTTCTACATTTTGAAGACATCTTGAAATGTGTGTTTCTAACTCAACTTCTATATTTCGATAAAAATCGTTACATCAATCCGTTTCATACATGAGAAGCCTTTGAATTTATTCAATTCACTAAGTTTCTTAACAATGTGCAGAGAGAACTCTTTCAGTTTTGAAAATCAAACAGATTAGTGATTGAAAGGTTTCAGTGCTCGGAAAACGACTGGAAAACTTTGAAAAATTGGGAGAAGCTATCGCAATTCTCTCGCAGTTTATTAAGAATTTTATTTAGGGGCAAGTAATGATAAACCATTTCTATGTTCACCTGAGTGGAATGATGAGAATTCGAAAGCTTGCACATGATTGCTCATTGAAATCATTATGACATTTTTTCACACAACATCGATTTTCTCACAAATATTGAACGGAAGTACTTTTGAAAAATACTACAACGCTCCAGATAATCAGCTTCCACCCCCAAAACTGTTGTGGAACCTTTTCAGGAGCTGAGTTCACCCAGGTAAAATAATTCTATATATAGTTCCGTTTTTCGAGCAAATGTTCATTTTGTTCATATTTTAATGAAATCTGTCAGCTCTTTTTTATTTAGCCAATCCTCTGTCAGATATTGATTAAGCAGTTAGTCGATTAACGAGATCTATGGTTTCGCCTACATGTTTTTTATTCTGGTGTTTCTCCCTCAAGATTAGGCAATCCCTGAAGTCTGCTTGTCCATGTGTCGGAATATTGGTTTTTGTATTTTCCGATTATTAATGTTGTTTTTTAGAAGTTTCTAATTCTATTTGGTTTCAAATTGATAGAAAAAATGGAAGCTGAAATTTTATAGACGCTCCCATTTAAGTACCGTAAAGTCTCTAATAGAAAGACCCCTCTCTCTCTCTCAAACGTTTAACTTTGAGCTAATCAATCTTGATTTCTGTATAAGATGTCTAAAAGTTGTCAACTGACAAAATATGTTTGATATTATAATGAACATTTTGTTAATTGACCATTTTCTGATATCTCCCATAGGAACTGAGATAAACTGGCTCAAAGTTGACGGTTTGGTTTAGTGTTCTATGAAAATGTTTAGGGAGGTGGCGATGACGCCGGTTTACCGTATATGAAATTTGTATAACGTGGTTGAATATACAGAATTCAGTGTATTTTCCTTCCAGGTTCTTTCAAACTCGCCAGCTTTAACATTTCAATTTTCCTAAAATCGAGATCCTGTGAGATCGCTTTGAACAGAAAAAACATCTAAATTACCGCATTCAGTGTTCTTGCTTCCACCCACATATTCTCCACAGAATTCAATTTCCTGTGTATGTCTTTGTTGTCGCTGCTTCCTCTGATAAACCTCTAATCTTCCTTCCTCCTCTGCTTTTTTGGTTTGTTTTCCGCTCAAAATTATTCTTCTTTTTTTTTGTTGAATTTGAATTTATTTGACGTGTTTAATTTTTGAGTTCTAGTGAAAGTTAACACTCTGAGAGCTTCAAACGAAGACCGTGTATAAAAACAGTTGCTCTTTGAACCCCTATTTTCCAGAAACTCTTCCGTTGTCAACAATGCGACCTGAGCACATTCCTGGAAGGTTTGTGCCAACGCAACGAAGCGATGATGGTGGATATCCGAATCATGTGAGTTAAGCAGGAAATTGGAAGTTACATCTTCTGTTTCATGGATTTTTATTGTTCATCTTGAAAATGAAGTTGTTTTTCGGTCGTTTTTATTGTTATTTTTTAGAACCATCACGAGCAATTCAATCGTACCAAGTCGGCGGTATCACTACCCGTCGGCAAAGAAATGGATTCAGTTGTCGAAAAAACTCTTTATGAGAAAGCTATCGAGCAGCTGAACAATAACCCTTTTGTAACTAAAGAGGTAAGCAGAAGACGGAAGTTTTGATATAACAAGGCGGTATTCAAGGTGGCCATAGGCCGGAGAATTGGTTTCTATCGTCTTGGTAAAGAGCTTGGAGCAGGAAATTTCTCAAAGGTCAAACTGGGCGTTCATGTACTAACTAAGGAGAAAGTAGCAGTTAAAGTCATGGATAAGTCCAAAATGGATCAGAAAGCGCAGAAGCTGTTGAAACGTGAAATTCAGTCGATGGAAAAGATGAACCATCCAAACATAATTCGGTTGTTCGAGTGTGTCGACACTCTGGCACGTGTTCATTTGGTGTTGGAGTATGCAAGTGGAGGAGAGTTATACACTTTTGTTCATGAGAAAGGAAAGTTGACGGAAACTGATGCGAGGCCGTTCTTTGCTCAAATTGTGTCGGCTGTAGCTCATATGGTGAGAAGTCAGAGAACATACAAAAATCGACGATATTTGGTATTTTAGCACTCTCGCAACTTGGTCCACCGAGACATCAAAGCTGAAAATGTGATGTTTAGCAATCCAACCCTTGTAAAGTTAGTTGACTTCGGATTCTCATGCACCGTCGATCCAAACATGCTTCTCGAAACTTTTTGCGGCAGTCCACCGTACGCAGCTCCCGAGTTGTTCAGGTACCCTACTCCCCATTTCTATGTAGACATATATTCAATTATCTTCCAGAGACAAGTCCTACTCTGGAGATTTAGTTGATGTATGGGCTCTCGGAGTTCTCATGTACTTCATGTTAGTTGGTACAACCCCTTTCAAAGGGGAGACAGTTTCACAAATGAAAAAACAAATCATGGAGGGCAACTACTATCTTCCGGAATACATTTCTGCAATGGCAGGAGAGTTAATCAAGAATATGTTGGAAGTGGATAGTGAGAAGCGAGCTGATGTGGATTGGGTAAAGAAGAGTATTTGGATGAGAGACTGCCGCTTCACAAAAAGTTACCTGACCATACAGACCAATGTGGACTCGGATGAAGAATCGGAAAAGGCTGCGGTAAATGAGAAAGTCCGTTCAATTTTGAATCCATAAGATGCACCAAGAAAAATAATTTTTAGGTGTGGAAAATTATGAACAACTATGGGATCACCGAGGAAATGTTAGGCGAAGATGATGCTGAAACCGGACCCAGAGATTCAGTGATTGGTACATATCGAATCGTGCAATTCCAAGTGCATCAAGAAATGAACAAGGTTTGTCTAGAATTTCAGCTCATTGAAAATCTTTCATTTCCAGAAATCCAAAGGAGCAGGAACGCCACCAACTTCCTCAGCTGCAAATGGAGCAAACCAAGCAAAAGCAGTTGCTGTGAAGAAAACTCGGAGCAAGGCTTGCTCAATTTTATAGATATACGTCTGCCTCTAATTTCGATGTCCTCATAACTGTTTAACGGGCAATCGTTAGATTTTTGTTGTTGGTTAGAATCTATATTTTTATCTATATCTTATCTGGCAATTTTTGAATAAATTACTTTATTTTTATTTTTCTAGACTAGTTCTTCCAATTTTTCAGATGACTGCAATAAAGCAGATAAGGACTTCATAATTTTAAAATCTTAGTGGGTCTCTTACTATCTGAATAGCCAAGATCATTGAAAAGTTCAATTTTGAAAAAAAATATAGATAAAGAAATGTTCTGTTGACATAAAATTATTTTCTGGCGGTTCAAATGGAACAAAGGAAAAAATCTTCAAGTCTACTACAAAGTTGAGAAAAAAATACTGTGGATTCTGTTTTGTTCTGTATTGAAAAAGTCTTCAATTTCCATAAATCACATTATTCAAGTTTTCAAATGATCTACGGACCACGAATTAGTAATTGCCTATCCCCATTGAAGTGTTCGACAAAGATTCACACCATTTGATCATTTTGAATTGTCTCAGTTTTCTTCTAGGTCTAATGGAAGAGTGAAATCATAAATAGTAAATCGTATTTTCTCTAATATAAGCTCTATACATAAAAATCTATACGAAATTCAAGCTCAATTATCTGTTTTTTTTTTCAGAAAATATAAAAACATTTTCAACCCATAAATAATTTATCATTTAACCAGTATTTCAAATACGGTATGAATGGATTTTTTCGAGATTTTATTGTAGCGGCGGTAGAGCGCATCCGCAAGCCTGCTGCTTCACTAACATACAACTAAACTTTATCTAAACAAGCCAATCGCGAGAGTCGGTGTCTGGCAACACACGGGCGTCACTACTCTGATTACAGGCAATTTGTCGGCGGAGAGCAAAAAGAGACAAGCTGCCGGGCCATAAATTACGATAGGGGCGGATCGATGCCACATCATAAACAGAGCCAAGACCAGATAAGCGATCTAGAAACATTATGGTTTTCTAGGTGACTGACTCATTTTGAAAAAAAACATTGTCTTTCGCGCATTTTTGAATGAGTCATCAAAGCTGAAATGATTTCGATATTGTTTTGAAATTTCTGGTATTGTTGAAATCATTTCCCATACATTCACAATCAATATGCGACTGTCGAAAGTAAGTTGCTAATCTATTATATTAACAAGTTTGGGTTTTTTTCTTGAACATTTTTTAGCTCTTGGATACGGAGCTTTACATTTGGCGAAACAGCCCGTTCCCGTCGGCCACAGAAAAAATGATACGTCACACGCTTTTGATTTGTGAGAAAACCAAACCAGGTGCGTTCCCTTTATTTTTTATCCGTTTAGTCTTTATGAAAAATTTCTTTCCACTCGAAATATAATATTCCATTTCAGTCCCTGTTCCACGAAACTCCATTTGCGAAGAATTCAATGAGTTCTCAAAAAAACAACTTCAATTGTTCATCAAAATATACTTCACGTTTATGGACCGTCTCACTGGAAAATTTCGTGTCCGAGAACTTTGGTTTCTGATGAAGCAACTGGGAAGTCCACTGGACCAATATTCTGTCAACTACATTTTCTCGAAGGTAATTTTTTCAAAATCACATTAATCTTAAATGCTGTGTCGTTTTGAAAAAGTTCCGAGAACCAGCAAAAAAAGGAAAATTAAAAAGTTATTGAAGAACAGGCTTGGTCGGAGTCGGATAATCGGATGTCCGATTATCCGAGTTTTTCGGATAATTTCGGATGAATTATCCGACTGATAATTATCCGGCATTTTTCTTCGAATAAATTCTCCGACGGAGAATTCTCTAGAAAATTTATTCGGAGAAATTATCAGACGGAGAATTTTCCGAGTTTTTTTCCCGGATAAACTCGGATAATTTCGGATGATTTCTCCGAAAGAGACAAAAAAATCAGAAAGTTGAGCAGTTAATTAAACCAAAATATTGCTTTCTGTGGTTTAGCAAATGTTTTTATCCGAAAATACTCCTTTTTATCCGAAATACTCCGAAATTATCCGAAAAATGGCGGAGAAAAAGTCGGATATGCGATTCTCCAAAAAAGTGATTCGGATAAAATTTTGGATTTCCGATTCTCCGAGAAAAAATTTCGGATAAAAACTCGGGTATCCGATTCTCCGAAAATTTTTCTCCGACCAAGACTGTTGAAGAATTAAATCATTCTTAATGTTGATTTTAGTGAACTATCGCAAATTGCAGATCAACAAAAACGATGACGGAAATCTGACTCTATCAGAATTTTTGAATATGTTCCGTCTGGCTTGTCAAAACGAACTGTGCAACACACTGTCTATTTTCAAATCTATTGCATATGGTACTGACAATTTTGATAACAACTCAACACATATGCCAAGCACTTCTACAAAGGCTGCAATGAATTCAAATCGTGGTGAATCAGCAGAGGTGAAATAATTCACATTGATATCAATAGTATAAATTTAATTTTTCAGCCGATGACTACTTCTGGAAAACGGAAGAAACCAAAAAAGTTATCATGGCTGAGAAGAATGTATCGAGAAGCTGTCTCCATCATTTCATCCAAAAAGAAATAATTATTAAAATACAGTTTAATCTTATCAATATCTTCATTTACCATATATCAAAATAATAATGCTTTCGCCACATTTATCTGTATATAAAGCTTTGCAAATAATTCATATCTCATTGAAAATTTCTTGAGTATAGAAAAATTAAAAGCGAAAATAGACTTTACTTGCTCAAAAAAAAGGAGACAACGCTGCTTGTGGTGACCACACAGAGACACGAACCCACGTATGTTAGACGCATTCACATGCCACCACAAATGCTCAACCAACTGAGCCAGCGATGCCTCCATTTGGATGCCATATATATCACTATCAAATATGCATAAAATGAAAGATTTCCGCTCTCTCGCTCCCTCTGCCCGTGTGTGTTTATTTGATTGAACTTTTATCTATGCAAGTCTTCTTTAGGAGCAGATATCATGCGTATCTATGTGTTGCTCAGCGTTTCTCTTCGTTGCGAGATTGAGTTTTCGGGATTACTGGCTTCTGGCAAATTGTTTTGTGTGTTCTTCATGCAAATGCACTCTACAGTGTTGAAGGTGAAACTTGTGTGACGGTCGCTAATGAATCTGGAGATTGGTGGAAGAGCGTGGCAAAAAAAATATAATCTATTTTAAAAAATAGCTGCAGGCACAAAAATATAACAAATTCTAAGCCAATAACTTTTTCAAACTGGATGTTTTTTAAATTCAATTTCATCCGATTTTCACCACACTCATGAACATTTTTGTCCTCATTTTTTTCAGATTTTTATTTTACCTCACCACCTTAATTCTCATATTACTCTTAATATCAACCTTGATCTTCTTCACTGTATGGAGTACGCACACAAGAATCGCGCAAAGAAAAGGCAGTATGCGCAAAGGGTATACATTGACGTTCTTCTTTGTTTCAACAGTTTTTGAGCGCGATTTTCGTATTATATTTGAGGATTTGAACTTTATAGCTATTTTCCGACGAAAGCCTGTGTCAACTGGAGAAAAACAGTATGTCAAGATGAATTTGCGTGAGTTTTTAACTTTTTGGCTTGTTTTTCCGTAAAAAAATCAGAAAAATAGAGAGAAATTAGCACTGGAGAATTTACGCGCTTTTACAAAATTTTTTCTTTTCAGAGATATCTTCCATCGATCGGCTTCTCGTTGGGTCGGCTTCACGTTCTCTCGATTAAGTTGGATGGTCAATTGGTAATAAAACATCAATACCTGCCTAAGTTTTTTTATTGCTAAAATTTTCAGCTGATGGCATTTGGTTTGGAAAGCTCGTTCAACGAACGATTGCGTGTAACGAATGAAGAACTTCGAAGGACTGACACACTTCAGGTTTTCCAATGGAGCAGATCGGCCTAATGAGTGAAACAATTGATTGAACTATCATCTTTCCTGCTCCGATGGCTGCAATAATCAACAGCAACAATTGACGAAAAATGAAAGTGATTTGGATCGAGCCAGTTGGAACTGGCATTGAACTGATGGATGTCGTCTCACCGGTTCCAGTCGAAGTCGATTGATGTTAAGAAGCTGCCGTTTTCTGACATGAAGAAATCGATTATAAAGTTCTACGGCTGCCCCAGTAGTGAATTCGTTGACAATTTTTAAAGAATTTTTGGGTAAAGTTGTTTTGAGCAATTACAAAAATCCAACATGAAACTTCTGGCTGGATTCACGAGCAATAGAATTCATATTGCCGGTTCCAGTTGCAGTGCAAGTCAATTGATGAACCGCAGAAACTGCAATTTGCTGAAATGAAGACGTCAATTGTGAAGTTTCAAAGCTTCTCTAGTACCAGTGCATTCTCCTAAACAATTTGTTGCAGTTGGAAATTCCAAGGTGAGTATCAACAACTAGGTTTTCATTTAAAAATTTCTTCAATTCCAGTTTCAGACATGCTTCCGCAAGTAGTCTATTGTGCGGAACTCAATCTAATCCAGTTGTGATGCGGAATCGAGTGCTCTGACAGATTTTTCATCGGACTACAAGGAATCACGATATCTTTACTCAAGCTTTTGGATCATCGCCTACTGTAATGATGACGATGAACGATAATGAGAAAACAACGGAGAACGACTACGCGAGTGGCTTCGACCTACAATTTCTTCGAGAATTAACCTCCAAAACTTTTGAAAAATAAATTCAGCATGTTTACCTCAGTTGATAAATAAAAGGATGCTGATAAAATTCAGATCCCCGCGATTTTATATTGTGCGGCGTATTGTGCGTCGAAATCTGCACACCTATCGTACACGTTCGATTTCCTTTTAATTTGTCGCATAATTTATGCATCATTAGTGAGTTGGCTTCTGTTTGTATAAAAGGAGCATCGAATGAGGGAGAGATAAAAAGTCATAAGTTTTTCTATCGTACTGGCCGTCGTGCTGAATTTGTGGCTTTCGTTCACATTTAAAAATTGGTATGCTGACATTTTATTTCTTGTATTTTTCTGATTATCTTTATTTTCAATAGAGAATGTTAGTTTTTCAGGTATAATAAACCCGAATTCTTCTAACAAGTTGGAATGGCTTACGAGACCAACAATGAGATTATCGTTGACCTCGGAGTCAAGCCAACTGGTTAGTGAGATATCCATGTTTCAAGTATTGACACTAAATTTTGAAAGAAAATGCTCCACGTTTTCCCAGATAATTTCTTTGCAGAGCATCCATTTTTTATTTTAAGATTTGTCATGCTACTGATCGATTTTTCCTCTTGAAGTTTGCATCACGAGGACTAGTAATAATTTGTCTGCTCATCGTTGATCTCTCCGGAATCTAGCACCGTCAAACGTCATCTTATTTTTTGGCTGTTGATCGAGTGCTTACTGGTTGACTGATTTTCCCTAATTTTAGTATGTTTCCTTTTCGTTTTTATTTTTTTAGGAACTTTAGCTGGAAGCACCGCCAAACATCGTTGTATTTTTTTTATCTCCCGCGTCTCTCATCTCTCTAATTTTTCTACAAACAGTTCTGGACAAGCTCCGCCTACTTTCGACTGATTCGTGAATTTTTTTACAATGCTGGGCGATCGATCAGATGCTGACTCACCTAATCCTATCAGTGTTTGGGTCTCTTATCTCTTGTCTTCGATTTTCTGGAAGCAATATCTAACAAGCCCTGCCTACTTGTGACCGTCTCGGTGACTAATCTCTACGGAATTCGCAAAAAACTTTGAGAAGTTTCAATTAGAGACTGGGTGGATAACAACGACCACAATGTCAAACCTCGACTACATCATTTCCATCATCGAGCTTCCTCCTGTAGACTATCCAGACTGGCCATTTCATCCTAAAACACAACCACAACCACTCCAGCTCCCCCTCATACATGTGCCGTGTGCAGAGGAGGCAAATATTTAAGTGATCAAATGAGTCATCATTAGCCGCAATCTTTTGATTCCAAAGAATTTAGCCTTATTGGAATTAATTATTTTCAAAGAATTATATTCTAGAAAAAATTCAGTTTTCACCTAAAAATAAAGGCTCTGTCTTAATACCAAGATCCTTTCAAAGTAAAAATGACAGAAAAGTTAAAGGGTTTTTCAATTCAACTGTTTGCCGGGGATAAGACAGGACCTCTCGACAATATATAGACACCAAGATTATTGGGACAACTTGGATTGCGACCGAGGAAAAATCAGAGTTATGCTATGCCCCTAAAATGATAGACAGTGAGTTGAAAACTTTCTAAAGCATTAAAAAAAACGAAAAGAAATCTCTCCGATAAGAAACAGTTTTTCTACTTAAAATTGCACATTTTTAGGCATCATGATAGACTACAGTCACCAACTCATCCACCGAAGTAAAGATATCCCACTGAGCAAGCCTCGTTTCAGCTGGAACTACCTGGAGTTTCCAGAAAACGTCAAATATGAAGTAATCAGAGATGGATTCAATATCACTTATCACTTTGATACCGCGTCATCGCCAAGCGTCGGTGTTATCTTGGAAAACCTGGAGGGAAAGTTTGCTCACATTCTGGAAGAAAGGGAAAATGAAAAGAGAAATAGAGCGGTGCACATCATCCTAATCATAATCAGTGTCTTTCTCATTTGGCACACAACTATCTGGTTTTTTTGTGTGTGGGTAAGTTGAGCTAGAAATTTTTTCCAGAAAATTTTATTTTCTGTTTTCAGTGTCAAGTTTGCAAGAGCACAAGATATAGAAAAAGGCTGCGGCGAAGAATTGAGAGAGAAGAGGAGAACAACCTTAATATTATTTCTTTGCTTGATTTTGATCAACAGTCTTCGGGTACTGCATACCACTCTGTGCACAGTGTTGATAATGACACATTTATCCCTTGCCCCTATCACTTCTTTTCTACCAATCCAAAATTCCTAATTCAACCCACACAGTTCCCAGTGTTTTCGATCCTTCTTTTTCCTCTCCGTCACTCACGTCCCGGTTATACTGTTTCCCGGTATACAAATTGGCCCGACTGTATATCTTCCTTTCAAATACATTTTGCCCACGAAGTGTGTTTCAATCACTAAACCGAAGTTTTTCAGGCTACACCTTTTTATGCTTTTTGTCTCCGTCTCAACATATTAATAACCCAAACGAGTTGATTTTTCAATGCAAGCATATGTTTGAGAAAATAAAAGGTAAAGATTTCTTGAATTACCTCCCCCCCCCCCACATTCTTATATCAAATAATTCGAACTATATTTTTAAAGTTTTTGAACATTGGTTAATAAAAAAAACACCACATTTTCAGAAAAGCTTTTTTTCGTATCAAATTTGACAAAGGTGATATTTCATCAGTTGACAGGTTTTCGATATCTATCATAGGAGCGGAGCAAACTGAGTTGAAAGTTCACGTATACGGTGGGCCTCTATCAGAGAAATCGCAGTAAGTTACTTTATAACAATCAATGATTTGAACATTCTTTTACATCCTTGTTACTCACATTGTCCAATAGCTTCTAGTGTTATATAAATTGAAAACTTTATTCATCAAATTGAAATTAACGTTTTATTTATCTTTGAAATCACATGGTCACTTCGAACCTATATCATTTAACATAATACGAATGATTTAAAGGATTCAGAATCGATCCTGTTGGCTTTGGAGTTCCAAATGATTGGTGAGGCTTTATCATTTGAAGCCGGTTTCCGAAAAAGCTGATTTGAGGTGTTGGTGTACCAATATACGGAAAGCTACCCAACTTTATGGCGTCGGTTTGATTGCAAGGATTTGTCAACAATCGATGCTGAGCAGATTGATTTACAATGCCTGAACTGGAATGGGGTGTAGATTTAACTACATACTCTTCATCCGGTATTTCCAATTTTATTTCACGAACGATTGAGCTGTAAGAAACTATGATTACCATGAAATTAAATCAACATCATAAGAAAACACTGTTGTCACTATTAGTTTCACTACTGCTTTAGTTAATTTACTATTCTCACCTCTGAGGTCCTTCACCCATCTGACTGTTTATGGATTTCTGCTTGGCTCGTCTATTCTTAAACCAAATGGATATTCGCTCTGGTGCCAATGAATATTTTTGAGCGAGGTATTCCTTTCTCTCAAAACTTGGATAAGGATTCGCTGCGAATAGTATCTCAAAACTGTCGAGTTGGTCAGATGTGAAAGTTGTTCTTTGTCGGCGTGGTCTGAAAATTGCATTCGACCTAATTTCATATGATAGCGATTTTGAAATAGAATGAAGTCCTCGGAAACACCTAAACTTACTTCTTTGAAAGCGGTCCAATGGGTTTTGGAGGACATAAAGCAACTGGATGGCTTTTTGGTGGAGAATAGTGTGTTGGCTTTTCGATTGCTGGTGGTGCCTGAAAATTGAAATTCACGTAACTAAATACCATTTGAAGTACCGTATTTCCTCTAATAGAGGCCCATGAGCTTCTATTTTTCAACTTCATTTTCTCGATGGACGTCTATTAGAGAAAGGGCTTCAATGAGAGGGCTTTCGGCTCTTAACTGATCAGGAATATTAGAAAAAGGTCAAGAACCAACGGGATTTGCCATAAAATCAGGAAAATGATTTGCCTGCAATTACCCAGAACCCGAACTGTACAACTAGGGGGTGGGCTTCTGTTAGATGTGCGCTCCAAATTGAGGTGGGTTTCCATTAGAGAAAATACGGTATATATTGTTATCATCGTGGCATAACTTTTAAGAGACTTATTAGATTCAAATCATCAAATTCAAAATTCTCAAACAAAACGATGAATGGCCACTACCAGAAGTGTATCAATTTTTGAAAAGTCTCCTTAAAATGTTTAAATAGAACTCACGCTTGTCTCATTTTGTTTTTCAATAGGCGAGCAGTTGTTGATAACATTATTGTTGCTATACAATAGACTTTGAAGTTGTTGTGGAAGATTTATCAGATTCAATCCATTGAATTGGCCATTTTTCTGGTTGACTACATTCATAAAATTCATATAGCTCATAGGATGCAAAGTGATTTCCCTGTTTTGCGACGTGAGCTGAGGATGAAGATCCTCAGGTTGTGTCAGTAAACGGTCTTCTGCATCAGAAGAGCTTCGGGTTGGTTCCGGAAGCAACCCACATACATCTTTCATTTTTAAGCTCTCTGACGCCAGCGGCTCGTTGGAGGGTTCAGATGGGGGGTTAGAAGATTTGAAGCCAGGTGACGGATAGTTTGAAAACTTTGGTGGAAGATGCAAACTTTGCGGCGAATTTCTATGAATATTTGATTTTATCAGTAACTTACAAATATACTTCGATGAACTTACAAATTTGGAATATGAGTATCGCAATTTGTTTCTGCTAGCTCCTCCTCATCTAGCGATTTTTCACATTTCACAGGCTCTACAGATGCATTCAGAACTTGATCTTCTTCTAGAGATTCGGATTTGTCGTATGAGCATGTTTCTCTGTAAAATATCAGTTTAGCGAGTTTAGTTAGGCGAGAGCCGCATTCAAGAGCCGCATTCTATCCCGTCAGGGCACCGACCTACCGTCGGTAGTCTTTGCACCGCTTATTTTACAGTTTCGCCAAGAATTTAGGGTACTCAACAGGCGGGCGAAAACTCTCGGGTTAGGACATAGGATCGATCTCGACTGAGGATCCGCTGTCAACAGTATCAATTATCATTTTGACAAACCCACAAATTCGAAATAGTAGAATCAGATGTTGTTTCCGATCGCTCCTGTTCATTCAAAGAATAATTACAATTTTCCGGTTTAACAAATGCAGTCGAAACTTGATCTTCTTCAACAGGTGTGACTTCGTCTTGTGGAAAGGTCTCTCTGTAAAATATTACATGCACAAGTTTTGAAATTTCGAGTAGGTTCAGCAATTCCTAGCCGTCAGGTTTTTTTTTCCAAACAATTTTCTCCTCTTTTTCTGTTTTGGTCGGTCTCGACTAAGACTCCGCTGTCTAGAATAACAAATATATTCTGATGAACTCACAAATTAGAAACAAAAGGAGCACAATTTGCTTCTTCAGTTCGTTCCATCTCATCCATTAAATGTTCGTATTCCTCCTGCTCTACAGGTGCATTCAAAATTTGATCGTCTTCTAGAGGTGTGACTTTGTCATGTGAAACTGTTCCTCTGTAAAATATCCCAAGAATCACTTTAGCCACTTAAGTTAGACAAGACTAGCGCCATCTATCACTCATTGGACTCTTCCGTTGGAGGACCGATCTACTGTCGGTTGCTCCTAAAACGTCAAAAGAGTTTTATTCCGGATCCCCACTCCCTTTTTTCTGCGTTTAGATTTATGAAAGTGTGGCTGTCATCAGAAACTGGAGCTTGGATGGTTTTCTAGCATTTCGGTTTCCGACTTACACCATTTTCTCCCCTTTGTGCTGTTTTTGCTAGTTTTTCCACTCTCATATGTCATTACCGTTATTTTTGGCCGTTTCCTTCTTTCTAATTAATGAGCCAGAGACGTGTACAGTTTCGGTCGTTTAACACACGCTTTAAAAGAATTTAGGTTGCGCAGCAGGCATGCGAGAACTCTCGTCTTGGAAAATAGGATCTGTCTCGACTGAGGATCCGATGTCAACAATAACATATAAATTTTGACGGACTCACAAATTTGGAGTAATGGTTTCTGGTCGTTCTTCATCCAACACATTTTCAAAATCCTCTGGCTTTACTGCTGCATTCAAAACTTGATCATGTTCTATAGTTGTATTTTTGTCACGCGAAACTGTTTCTCTGTAAAAGAAATCTTCACTTGCTTTAGTTGGTTTCTGTCAGTAACTTACAAAAATTCAACAGATGCCCTCCCTTGGCTATTCAAATCTTCATCCATTCCATTTGAAACCAATCCAGTCGTATTCTTCATTGTGACCGTTCCATCATATGATAGAAATTCCCGTAAGACACCGTTTTCCATTTTTGCTGTTCCAGACACTCGCATTCTGTAAAATTGGGGTTTTTCGATGGAAAAAAATGTTCGAAATCATTACACGTCTGCAAATCTGTTCTGCTCTATCGGGTTTGGTATGAAAGCTAACAGTTGCATATGGATCTTCCGATTACCCAGAAATTTGACAGAAAATGCATTCGCAGTTTCAGCTTGTCTGAAAAAGAAGAGACCTTGGTAAGAGTGTTAAAGTATAATAATTTTAGAAGAACCCACCGTTCTAATTCTTCTTGTTGATAGAAATTTAGAACCTGACTAACATCTGCCGCAGAGAGATCTATTTGATTTGAAACCATGTCGAAGGAGTTTACTGAAATTTTGAGGAATATTATCGTTGATTCATATCGAATAAGTGTCGAAGAGATTCTATCTGAACATTTAGCATTTTTTTAAATGTCTATCTTCATAAAATGAATTTTGAAAATATGGTATCTGGATTTACAGCTAGGATTTGGAATTATCTCGATAATTCGTTTTTAGAGCTTTCATATTTGGTTTTTCGAATTAAAACTTATATTCGATTGACGTTTGATGGATCTTTGAATCAAATTCATAAAAAGTTAGTGTCAGAAGTAAAAGGTGGAAGCATGGAAGCCACTGTCAGAAATCGAACAAAAATTGCCTTTTGAAATTCTTTCGAAAATAATTTCGTAATTCAATCAACATGGGAAAAAGAAAAATCGATATTCTAAATATCTTATAGTCCTTTGTAAGCCTCCTAAGGTAAACGCTGTTTCATTTCCTCTATGTGCTTCTCAATCCCGAGACAGGTGGGACCAGGGGCAGGTGGTCCTGGATTTACGTTAAATGTATTTACTACCCAGGCTTATGAAGCAGAGATCGAGGTGGATTAGATTGCCACAAAATAGGGAAAACAATTTTTGGATGAACAAAAAAGAGGAAAGAAGAAAAGAAACTGAACAGAGCGAAAAATTAATAGTATTCTTGTTGAAACTTAGAAATTCCAAACAAACGAGAATTTGTACAGAACTCAATCTCGGAAAACATATTTTATATTTTTATTTCCACTGATTGGATTTCTCAATCTAACTTTTTTCCAGAATTTCCTAATAACGAGATGCAAGTAATCTACGATTGACCAATTTTTGAAAGTCGTGTGGGTAACAGAGGAAACAACCGGGTTATTTACAAGTGAATGAGAAAGGTACCTTTTTTTGCATAAGCAGATTTGCTCGTATTTTTCTAAACGTCATTTTTGGAGGGTTTCTCACCAATCTCCGTTTGAATTGGAGACAAAATAACGATTTTTTGAAGAAGAAGAAGAACATGTTTGCTGAATAAAAAAACGAAAGTGTCCTTATGTATAAAGTGTCTCAAAATTACGAAAAATGACGTTAAGAAAACCTGAGAAAAACTGCGCGGCGCTTTTGCAAAAGGGGCGTTGCTTATTTGAAAATGAACTTTTAGAATGGTAACGTGTTTATCCGCGCGATTATTTTGAATTGACAATACTAAACAAGGTTCTCAAGTAAGTATAGGAGAAAAATGAAATAGAGAAAGCAGGGAGCACATGTGCAAACCCGAGGCTATATATATGACTCGCGGACATTGCGCGCGGCTGAATGGGTTTCCTATTATAAACCCTCTCTTCCCTCCGTTTCCTTGCGTGGCATATAATTAGAGATCTCTCTATTCTCCCTATTTTCTTCATTTTTTTGGGCGGCATGAAAAAGCAGAAACCCAGGAAGATTAATGGGTATTTCAGTGAGCTCATGATTGAAAACTGGGAAAAGGGTTGGGTAAAAGCGCATAATAAAAAGGCTAACGGAGAGGACGGGTTCTTAAAAACAGCCGTAAAAGGGAGGAAGAAAACAATGCAAAAATAAACAGGATAGAAATTACCAGTTGGACCGCTGCGGCTAAGCCGCGCTTCTTTGGAGTATTTATAGAAATTTAGGTAGATCCAAAAAAAACCATATTTCCTAACATTTTTGGAAATTTATGCTCAATACTTGGTTTGAAAAGTTTCATGAAGATAAATAAAGTTTGAGCACATGTATATTTCAAAACTTTGATTCTCACCTCTATAGGTTTTCTATTAGCTAAAAGGCCCCAGAAACCATGGACACAGAGCGCTCGGTAGTCCATGGCTACACACACCACCGAATGAGCGCACATATCCGAGAAGGAAAGCATATTCGAGTTGAAGTCTGAGACAGATTTACAGACAGACAGAAACACTTCTCTAATGAGAAGTGAAGAACATAAAACAGTTTGAAATCATGAGAAAATGAGCATTAGGTAGAAAACTAAACGACATCTTCCTTTTTTAGGGGTAAACAAAGGTTGCATAGCACTACTTCTCATTTTCTAGCGTAACAGAAAAAAAAGGGAAAACAGATGGTGATGTTGAGGAAAACGTCTCGAAGAGGATAAGACGGCTAGAAGGAGAAAAAGAGGAAAACGGGACCGAATATGCATGGTTAATCCTACTTAACTAACAGCAGCTCACTGTGCCAAAATGCAGTGTTTTGGATGGTTCTACTAAACCGGATGGAAATTTCCATTTATCGATTCAACAACAGAATAATGAAGAAAAGAAACGGCCAAGGAGAAATGAAACATGGCTAGAAGCCTCGAACAAACTCACGATCAGTGAAAACAATGAATTGGGTACAACGGAGATTGGGCTAACAAATATTGCAATAAAAGTTGATGGAATTTGCAAAAAAAAGAATAAAAATCGCTTTTCTATACATGTTAGATGTTAGAGGAATAGAATTAAGGTTTTCATCTTGATTGATTTGAACGCTGAAATATGGAAAGTAATAAAAACATTTTTCTCTGTTTAGTGATTCATGCTCAATTTGTTGTACACAGCACATAAATAGACCCACAATGTTTGACCATTTTTTGAAACTTTTGATTTTATTAATTCTAAATTAGCTGAATAACCAGGACACGATGAACATGTAATGCTCGGAAGCCCATGGTTACATGCTATACACCACTATCGGATTCCACTTCTTTCGAATTATTGTAGTAAACTCGGCTGCGACTGTCCTCTTTTGGGTTAAAGTATGGGCTTTGTTGCCTTTTGAACGAACATGGACGCCTTTTTCACGAAGTTCGAACACCGACGCTTTTTTGAACGAGCTACGGGTGCCTTTTCAACAAAGTTTGGTGGTAATCTGTGTTTTAAGTGAGCCCAAGTCAATTAAAATCTTTAATGCAAACCTAAGGCGAAGGTTAGCCAGCTTTTGAGCACCTTCTGAGAAAATCTTAAGCAAAGTCTGACACGTCAAAAAACCACAGTCGCCACAAAATGTTCGAGACAGACAGACAGACACACACATACACAGAAAATTTCCCAAAATAAGAGGTAAAACTGTCCTCAAAATGCACCACATTCTTGGTTTCATGTTCTTGTCCAACCCTTGCACAACTCTCTGTCTACTCCGGCAATTCCACAGAAGTACCTGACATCTTGATTTAAGATCTCTTTATTGGTATCAGGTTACTATCTAGAAGATCTGCCACGCATCTCTTAACATCTTCCGCGGCTTTTCATAATCGCAACAATTTATCAGGATTCTGTGATCATCATAAATCAACAGATTGGCCTAAAATCGACGGAGTCAATCAAAAAGAGTTTGCGCGTGTCTCCATCTTCCGCCAGACGTCTTCTCAAATTACATACGATGCGGTAATTGTCACAAAAGAATGCTGCGTGTCTCTAGCAGGAGCCTTTTTTTCTGGAAAGGTTATGTTCTCACTTTTTGATAAAACAGAGGTTTAAAAAAGTTCTCCACCATCAACTTGGACCTAATAACTCCATGTTAAAGTTTTTCGTTTCTCGCCTTACGTTTTCCAACCTTTTTTTGCACTACCGTAATCTCTTATTACCGTTTCTCACTACTTGTTTCTCAAAGAAGAAGCCGAAAAAGATATTGATATTACGCAATTTTTAAATTCGTCTCTTTTCTCTTAACCATCAGACGATCTGAATTGTTTACTTCCCACTCATTTTTGGATCTTCTGCTCATCTATTTATCTTAAAGAAATCGTTTATGGACCAATATATCCGGCAAAGACGCCCGTTATCCCAGCTCAATCAGGGCTCGAATCAAGACCTCGGCAGAGAATTCAGCGTTGCTTTGCGTCAAATTTCTCGAGTACGGTTGTTTTCCCCCCTGTAAATACAAAATATGTCATTTCAGATTGTTGTAGAAGTGTTGTTCGGCGAACAAGTAGAAAACAATGAAAATTTGGTGGTGGCTGCTCCAGTGCCACCCGAAAATGAACCAAGAAACAATTAAGGTAAGTTGCTATCCGAAATTTGTTGAAAGGCTGTAAAATTGGAAAATCTTATTTCTTATACTACCGTAAAACCTGTAATAGAAATGTCCCCTGACTTTCAACTTTGAGCTCAATTGTCTCGGTTCCTGATAAAGATATCAAAATGTGTCAACTGATAAATGGTTTATCATGATAGCAGCAACAATTTATTAGTTGACAATTTTTTTATATCTTTATCAGGAACCGAGATGAATGGGCTCAAAGTTGAAAGTAAGGGGGCACTTCTATTACAGGTTTTACGGTATATTTCTTCAAAATGCCATAATGAGCGCTGATTCGAAAACAATTTGAAATCCGAAAAATACAATAGTTTCATTAACATTTGTTCGTTTACTGTAAGTCTACTAGTCCTCGTCATTAAGGTTCTGATTATCCTGAGTATCGAAAAAGAACAATGCAACTAGTTTCTCACTTATGTGTAATTGCTCTCCTCTCAACTTTTTATGACATTGAAAATCTGTTGATCGTAGTGACACTTGAGTGATATGTTGTCTAGACAACTACTCGTCAACCCCATCTTAAGGTTTCAACACACCAAGCAACGGCGCTCCGCTACCTTGCATTTGAATCGCGCGCGAAACTCTGTTGTTTGTAGAGTTGCGTATAATCAACTGTTCCGGCCAGTGTTCTCAGTTCTCGTTTCAGATTTTACTTTTTTCTGGTTAGTTTCAAAGTTTTTCGGAACAAATTCCATAGCAAACAACAGTTCGGGCGCATGAACACTTTTAGAGGTACAAAATCCACAATTCGGGCGACAAAATTCAAAAAAATTGCAGTCTTTTGATTCTCGAATTGAGATTTTCTACCCTTAAATTGCATAGTACCCCAACGACTTCAAAAATTTTGCACCCTCCAAACTTCGAAAAATTCTTCCCTTTGTTTTTTTTAATCACCGTAAATGCTCTAATATAAGTCGACGCTATATGTACACTTTGAGCTCAATAACCTCGGTTCTTTTGCGAGATATCAAAAAACAGTCAACTGATGAATCGTTCATCATATTATCATCAAAATTTTCTTTTTAAAAAAATTTGTGTTACCTTTCATGGCGACCGAGGTAATTCAGCTCAAAGTGCAAGCACATTTTGAGCTTTTATTAGAGCATTTACGGTAATCTGGTTTAGTCGAATGAAAACCGTTTTTGACTAATTCGATCCGTTTTTTTTTTTGTTTTAATACAGGAGTCTGTTTAAAAAATTCCTTATTCTGGAAACCCAAAGTAGTAAATAACATGACCCAATTCGTTTTTCATTCTCCAAATTTCGAACAACTTTTCGTTATAGCGGCGTTAGTACTTCTAATCAAGTATAATATGTATGTTCCCTACTTCCTCAAACGACGTATTGCATTTTCCTGTCTGGTTATGATTGGTACCTCTATCATGTAATATGCCATTCCTATTTATTGACCTCATTATTGTTTCAAAATGTCACTAAAACTGTCAGTAGTCACACCTGTTCTTGTTTCCGCTGTTTGAGACTACTCCTTATTTCTCGCGACACTATCTTCTCAGACTGTGGACCACTTTCATTTCCTTCTTCTCCCACCTCTAGAATTATTTTAATGATTTCTGTTTTTTTTTGTGGGATACGGTAACGAAAGATGCACACAGAAGGTTTCAACAAGTAAGTGTGAGTTGCGGTTGGTTTTGTCCTGTCGGCGTCTCTTTCATATGTGAAACTCATGTTAGCAGGTGCAGCCACAGAATTAGAAACATCAAACGATTGCCGATGAGCCTTATTGGTTGCCATAAAACTAGTGATGAGAGACAGACATATTTATGACATAGGCAATTTCTTAATTAACCTTTTTTAAGTCTTACTAAACATTTCATATTCACTATCAACCCGAAACGTCATTGGTTTTAGGCTTTTTGGATTTTCTAGCACAAAAAAGTTGGTTGCAGTTCTCTCCTTGAGAACCTGGAAAGGTTACGCGTTTTGTTTCCCCCTTCCGCGTTCTCAGTCCGCTCTGTCCTTCCGAGGCCGTTGTCTGAAGCCGTATTTCCACGCTAAAACTGAAAGTGTCCACGAAAACGTGACATTGATCTCAAATTTTAAGAAGAAAGCCACGTAACGAAAACTATCGTAACCTGAAACTTCCGATCCTTTTTTCTCAATTACTGTTGATTTTCGACAACTTTTGTGTTTAAAAGCTCCAGAAAAGTCGTAACTTTGCCACTTGGTTTTTCTCCCACAGCTCTAACTTTTGCGTACTGACACAATACCTATTGCAAGTCCTAATTTCTGCTTTCTCACTTTCTCAGAATCATTCTCAATACTTTCTCTTATATGTCTCTTCTGTACTTACCCAGGATTGTTTAGGGTCATCTCAGTGCCCTCTTCACATCGTCATATCATGTTAATGCGTCTTTACATACTCATAGTTTACCATACATAGTTTCCTTCTTATTAGACATAGTTAGATGATGGGAATGGGCGGAGACTGTCCAGGTGTGTCTATTGCAGGTGTGGTGCTGAACACCAGTTTAGGTTCCTGTTATTGAGCTGAGCTTTGCGTCTCTTCGCTTTTCTTGTCTCTCATAGTGTGCTTGCTTCCTTCGCTCATATTTTTTATCTTGTTCCTTTCACAACTTTTCAGTTACTAAATTTCAGATGATGTCTCAATACTCGCCGTCATCATCCAGATCATACAACTCTTGCCGCAACAGTATTTCTTCTGATTCGTCATGCTTTTCCAATCAAACTCCAAGAGATCTTATCCCATCCCTCATGTCACTTTCTCTGGATTCGCCAGTTTTCTCATCTCCATCTCCTCCAACCACACCAACCATCGAGCAGCAGCATCCAGAGTTCTTCCTGTCGTCATCTTCATTTGCCAATCGTAGAATCGTCATTGGATCGTTTGATAGAATGGTGTGCCCAATCAGTGGAATGCCATTGATTACAGTTTCCACGAGAAATGAGGAAAATATGATGTATAGCTACAACGTCCACAAGAATAAAGTCAAAAATCATCATTGCGAAGGATGTGGACCACGTACCCAAGAAACAAATCTTCAACCAGTCTACTCAGTTTTCTGTTACAAATTGAACCGGTACGTCATTTTCGCCAGAAACGTCAAAGCAAAGAAAGTTGAAAAGTTCGTGTTCTGTTCCGAGACTGGAGGATTGGAGCAAGTTCGCAGAGACGATTTGATTTTTGAGGAAGGAATTTCATATCCATTCATTCTCATTGGCCCACACAAAGAGTATATTCAATGGGAAGGAAAGCAGTGGAAGAAACAAAAAATGACCAAAAATGGATGGATTCCAATTCCACCTCGTCCAGTCAAAGGTCTGAAGCCGTTGGAGAATATTCCTCAAATCAACGTGCCACCACTTCCTGACCTGCTCGTCTTGTTTTGTCCACACTTGGCTGCTGAAATTCTGATGGTCAGAGAGAACGGGCGCGTCATTCGCACATGTGTCTACAACGAGCTCACCAAGAAATTTGAATACAACACAAGCTGTGCGAAATGCGCTACTAGTGTATCGTACAACAAGGCAGGGAACAAATCAACTTGGCATCAACGGAAACCGGACCAACAAAGACACCAGCAAAGATTTGTTCCTGAGCATAGACGTTTCGGAGTTGGGGCAACTCAGCATTAAACTGGTTCATCTTGGTAAGTGACTTTTCTTTCATGTTTTCTTTCAGTATAACATCTAAACAAAGAGAAATTCATATTCATTCTTTCAGATCATCGACAGCTAATCTGCTGACTACTACCGATTTGTGCACTCTTCACGTCATTATTTCCTCTACCAGCATCTGATGCCCGCTAACTTTCTTCTTTTCACAATCTTTAACTTTTACAACTTTTTACTTTCTTTTGTTGTCTGTCTCGTTTATGTCTTTCAATTGTTGAGCTGTTTCAATCGTTTTAAGATTCGTCTAATACATTTTTTTTTGATTTTTGAGTTTCTTATCTTTTTCATCTAAAAAGAAGATCCGCCAAATCAGGTTTATTAAAATTGGAAACTTTAGAAAAATAGTGAAGGTATATTCAGTTCATCCATCGGAAAGTATAGAGAAAACCCCGCAGATGAAGTTTGAAACAACAAAGGTGGTTACTGTAGGTGGTACCAAGGATGAGAACTCGGAAAATGAGAACTGCTACATATGACAACTGGAAAATAAGAACTCAGTTTACCGGCTCTAACTTCCGGCTCAGGATTCAAATTTTTATGAAAAATATTTTCAAAATGGTCTTGTTCTTCACGATACTTCAAGATTTTCCGAAAAAGTCCCTGTTTCGACATTTACTTTACGAGTTCTTATATGTACGAGTTCTCATATGTAGCAGTTCTCATCCCTGGTACCACCTTACTGTAGACTAGACTCCGCCTCTTTAAATTTTACATACAAAAATTGCCGGTAAACAATAAGAAGCGGAGCTAGGATCAGTGAACAACAAGGTTGTTTACGCATTCATCTGCACGATTTGAAACAGCAATTGAATGGATAGGGAGAGAGAGAGAGAGAGAGAGAGAGAGAGAGAGAGAGAGAGAGAGAGAGAGAGAGAGAGAGAGGGAGAGAGAGAGAGAGAGAGAGAGAGAGAGAGAGAGAGAGAGAGAGAGAGGGAGAGAGAGAGAGAGAGAGAGAGAGAGAGAGAGAGAGAGAGAGAGAAGTGAGGTAAGTTAGAGAGAATTGAGATGGTATGTTCATGAGATAGTGCAGAGAGAAGTGAAATGGATTCGTGAAAAAGATTAGGTTATTTTGTCAGCGCTATTGTAGAATGAGAATGCTATTTAGGTTAGTACACATATTACGAAATCATGAGTAGTGGGAATGGGTTATGAAATTTTTGTTTAGAATGGACGAAACGAGAGAATTTGGCATTTGAGGGTTCAGAGAGAAGGATAGTGCGCTTAAAGAAGGGAACACGGGTGTACATAAAAATATCAATTCTACTTGTCTTCGTATTTGGTCCAGTCATGTTTGAAACTCTCACAGAGGAAGTCCTCTTTCGGTTCCGCGTCTTCTGGCCAGCAACATGGAACCATTCCCTTCAACGAAAACGCTTCACGGGTTGTCTGCTGAAGCGACCGCAAATGGCTACCGTATTTGAATGCTAGGTACTCTTCGATCCGATTCTTGCACCACTCGGTCTCAGCATACTTGACAGCAAGCACATCAACATAGACTTCCTTATTGACCGGCGCTTCGTGGAAGTAAATGTACTTGTACGCTTGAAGAAGCTTGTTAGGGACGTCGAAATTAGAATAAATCTTATGGATTCGATATTTGATGTATTTCTCTGCTTCTTCTTTGAGTTCTGAAAATATGATGATCAGAAAAATGAGAAGAAAAGTCTAATGGATATCTTACTTTCCATTTCCGTTCCATACAAATGCGCAGTTTCTTGTGGCAGTTCTTTATAGAGTATCTCGCCTTCGTCGGTCATTCTCAACATTCTATGAAGTTGCCTGCGTTGGCGCATTACTGGATGTTCATATCCGCCGATACGAATTCCCTTCGGAGTGTCCAGTTTGTACTTTTCCAGACAGAAATCCATTTGATAGACTGGAAACTTAAAAAATATTGTGCAAAAAATGAGAGTGATGGAAAAACATTAAAGAAGGGAAGTGAAGTACTGAAGGTGGAAAAGAGGAAATATGGTCATAGTTGCTCGAATTCCCTCACTTACTCTTTTTTGTGTTAGTGGAATGTGTTATTGCAGATGAATATTAAAAAATCCAAATACCGAAAAATCTAATAAGACATGGACAAATTTTAATGGTCATACGATACAGAAAGATTTGAAAGAATCGCTGTGGATGAGAAGACGGGGGCGGAGTGCTTCAGATGAAAAAAAAAATACTTCGTAATGCTCTTATGAAGAAATATCGAAAGGGAAATTTTAGACTCATGTTCAATGCGAAGATGTTATGTCTAGACAAAAATTTCGTTGTCTTTAAAAATATCTGAATATCGAAAATTGAATTACAAACTTCAAAAGATGAGCATCTGAAACTTTGAAATGACCTAATTTCTAGAAAATGCTTTTTTTAGTCTCTCTTTATCTATAAAATTGCTTTTTCGTAAAGTGGGTAGTTCGAAAGGACAAATAGGGAAAGATGTAGAGATGTAGATTCAAATGTATCACGTCTATTTCATCGTATTTAGTCCACTTATGCTTAAAACTCACAGTTGAAGTTCACCGTCGACTCCGCGTATTCTGGCCAGCACCATGAAACCATTCCTCTCATTGAAAATGCCTCACGGGATGTCTGCTGAAGAGAGAGCAAATGACTACCGTATTTGAATGCCAGGTACTCCTCAATCCGTTTCTTGCACCACTCAGTCTCAGCATATTTCACAGCAAGAACATCAACATAGACTTCCTTACTGACCGGCCCTTCGAGCAAATAAACGTACTTGTAAGCTTTAAGGAGCTTGTTGGGGACGTCGAAATTAGAATGAATCTTATAGATTCGATATTTAATGTATTTCTTTGCTTCTTCTTGGAGTACTGAAAATATGACAATCAGAAAAAGGGGAATACAATTTTAAAAACTATCTTACCTTCAATCTCCTTCTTGTACAGATGTGCTGTTTGCTGTGGCATATCTTTATAGAGTATCTCGCCTTCGTCGGTCAAGCTCAATATGTTGAGAAGTCGTCTGCGTTTCAGCATCACTGGATGTTCATATCCGCCGATACGGACTCCTTCCGGATTGTCCAAGTTGTACTTTTCCAGTCGCAAATCCATTGGATAGACTGGAAACTCGGAAAATACTGTGCAAAAAGAGAGAGTGATAGAGAAGAGAGATAGAGAAAGAACAGAAAAAGAACAGAAGGAAAGTGAAGAAATGAAGGTGGAAATGAGGGAACATGGCCATAGGTGCTCGCTTTCCCTCACTTTCTCTTTGTTCGCGTTAATTTAATGGGTTATTGCAGATAAATGCCAAAAATTTCGAATGCCAAAAAATCTAATAAGACATGGGAAATTTTTTATGGTCATGGGATACAGAAATTTTCGAAAACATCCCATTTGAAAAGTATGGGGGGGGCAGATGTTTTAGGAAGTATAATAATTGTCATGGTCCGGGCGAAAAGATCATGCGGAGTCTGTTTTCACGTTGAAGAGAAGACAGCTTGATGTTATTTAGGCAGTAATGTGTTCAATGCAAAGTTGTTATGTCTAGACAAAGCTTTTTTGCTTTCCTTTAAGAAATCTACAGTACTCCGCCAAATATTCATTTTGCATCTTTTTTTCGTTGTAACTCTAGGAACCAGAAGACTCAAAACACTTCTAGCTTCTGTGTATAGGTCATATGGAAACTTTTCAGTGTTCAAAGATTTAAAACTGATAAGATTGAGATTCGTCATTTTGATAACGATGAGATACAAAATATAAAGTTGTTTCAAGTGCTGCGTTGATACCATCTAAGCTACGGTTACGCAGTTTGTGTCGCCGACCAATGCCTACCGTAACCCCTTTTTTCAACGGTTTTTCGGCGTAAATTGCGTAACCGTAGCTCATCCGGTAACGACGCGGCACCTTCAGCAGCGGGTTTACAAGTTCAACTCCTCGTGAGGCGCATGTGAAGGATAATTCGAGAAAATTATTTGTTTCATGTCCCTGACTTCAAAAGATTTTCACAGATCTAAAGAGCATTACATCATCCTTCAATGATTTTAGAATTTTTTAATGTTTCATGATTGAATGAGCTGAAATTTTTAAGATATATTTTGCTTAGTCCATCGGGAATTTTCAAAAATCAGCTTGATAGTATTTATTATTGTTATGAAAGCTGCACTACAGTAATACAAGAAACATTCGATAAGAATAAACAAAGTTGATTCAACAGCGATGCATTGTGATATCATCATATAATTTCTTGCAAATCGATGTGGGATACTTCAGCTTGGCCAAAATGTTGAGCTTGTCTATTTCTCGCATATTCCGGTTAAGTGTGTGGCACAATACATATAGTTCTGGCAATCTCTTCTGCCACCCATCTTGTTGCATCATTTGACAATGCTCCAAGAGGAATTGAGAGTACATTTGTCGTTTGCTCGCCACATATGTTACAGCCATACTTGATAAAGGCTGAGGTACCGTAATGACTGAAAAAAAAACAAAAATATTGGAAGCATAATCTTTGAAGTGTTACCTGGATCAAGGAAGAAAATAACAATAATCAACAATAGTTCATCTTCAGTAACGGACAATTCGGAAAGACCCCCGATCATCCGACTTTTGATCGAATTTGCCATTTCTTGAGTTATTTCTAACTTTCTGTAAGTTGTACAAATTTGACTTTTGAATACATAAAATCTGAATTATTACTCTATTAAAGCTTCCGAAACAATTTCATGGCCCCCTGGAGTCACCAGTTGACCATAATCTTTCATCATCGAACTAAAAGCAGTAAATAGTAGGATTGCCTTTGAAGCAAATGCACGAAGGAGAACCATCTGAAAGTTTTATCTTGCTGTTTGTAAAAAATTGAAGCGGTGGAAGAGAAACACTGGAATGGAAACTACCGTAACCTCACCTGATCCGTAATGTCCAATTCTTCCATGAAATCCAAGTTGAGAAGAAATTCGATGGTTGTGATTATATCAATAAATCTCCAATCATTCTCTTTGAGTGGTTGGTTTGGATCCTAAATTAATTTTCTGTACACGACTCAATAATTTCCACTCACCTGTGACACTAATGCAGTATTTTCCCTTCTCACCATGTCTTCCAATTTTGGGTTCCCATAAGAACACTTTGACATCTGCAGTGTAGTCCTTTTCGTATTCAAATAGTGAAGTTGTTTGAGGGCTGTGCTGACTGTATTCTTTTCCCAAAGTTTTGGAGACATTAGAGTTGATGGCTTGATGAACATGCCAACTTCAATACATTTATGGAATCGGCAAAACTTGCAATGTGGCCGGCGAGAGTTTTCCTTAAGATCTGAAAAATGAAAACGAATTTCTTTGAATATTTTTACGGATTCTCGAAAAACAGTGAAGGATAGTGCCAATTCAGTGAAAACTGACTATTACTCTTTTTTTATGACTCACTTTCAAAACACTTTTTCTCACGAGTGCAACGGTAAACAAGGTCTAGCACCACTGTTCTCCGGTAGAACATTTTACATGGGTCGCAACTCAGAGCCTGAAATTTGTTATACAGCGTTCCACAAAAATATATGTTTAACCTAGCATTTACGAAGTCTTGAGAACTTGATTTTTGAAAACTTACCCCCAACGATTGAAATTCTTTCGAAATTCAAAATTATTCTACTGATAAAGCCAATTTTCCAATGAATTCCGTTTTCGAGATTTTGCAAAAATTAGATTGGTCGTATAGTTTTGTGAAATAATGTGAATTTCAATTTAAGCAAATTTAAATACTGTGACTCACCCCATAATTGATACCAACAGCTGATTTCGGACAAATTGAGCATCTCCTCGGAACTGAATGTAGCATTGAAGAAGAACGTAAGCTATGTCAGAATTTCTCAAACAAAGAAGGAAGTACAAAATGCATAAATCAGAAAATCTAAAAAGAAAATGAATAAGAAAAGATTTTTTAATCTTACGAAAAAGTTTATGTATGTAGCACAAAATAATAGTGATCAAACGTTTTGGGAAGAGATCAGACTTAATACATGTTTTGAAAAAGCAATATACACGTGTTTTTACTATTGAAAAGAAGCCAGACTAGTATCGCGTTTATACTACATATAGACAGTAGAATTTTCGAGATTTCTTATGAGATTCTTCTAAAAATTCAAATGATTCAGATATGGAGCAAAAAGGAATCTGAAAGAAATTGAATGATCTTCATGGCTCATCAGAGCAGCTGAAAAACTCGAGAAAAAAAAGAAATACGAATCAGCTCTTTTGATCTTATATTTTGATATTTTTTGATATTCAGATTTTTTGATCTATGAAATTTTCAGCCCTTTTGAGAATTTTTGACAGTTTTTGGTCACCTGTAATTGTGCACTGGCTTATTTCTAATGTTATGTGATCCATAGATCCAGAAGAAGAATTATGAGCTCTGAAAGTAAATTTAGTTCTAGCTTGTTGATTTTGAACATTTTTTGGTGTTATTATTTTTAAGAGGAAAAGACCAAAAAAAGATTTAAAAAATCTCAAGAGCAAGTTGACCGATCAGAGTCTTCAAATATATTCAGGTGCGTTTTTTTCCAAAAAAAAAAATGCTCAACGTCTTTATTTTATGAGTTCTAAGGAAGATCCTTGATATCATTTCTTGCGAAATTTGCTTTTTCATTGCATTTTCGTGCCTTTCCCGAAAGAAGTTGTTGGAAATATGTTCCGAGAACCAATTCAACGCCATTCTCCAGTTCCTTTCCAAGCCCATGGATGAGGACCACAAACTTGATTTTATCGTCTCGGAAGTTAGGCATTTTTCGAAATTCCACTGTCTGTAGTTCGAAAGAAATTTGAACTTGTGGATCACAATTTGCCAAAGTCAGTGTGACCTCATCTGGAAACTATGCCTTATTAGATTAAGAGCATTAGAGAATAAAACTCACAGTAGTCAAGCTTTCGATCGCATTTGTTGAATTCAAAGCCATGGTCAAATAAGGCACAGACTAACGAGAAATCGTGATCATTGAGAACTCGAGTCGCTCTCTTCAAAAACTTCTGAACGAAAACTTCGGGCGTGTCGGTACTATTTCCGCGTTCTTCGTCAATGGGAAGAGCGGAAGCTCCAATGAAGAAGACAATCAGAAGAGAGAAGAAGGTAGTAGATCTCATTTCTAAAATTGGAGTGTATGGTTTTCATCTTTATTTATATCATTTTGAGTGTGTGTGGGGAGAGTTATAAATGGGTTTTGATGACTTTTGTTAGGTAGTAAAATTGAAACAAAAGAGTGGAAGAACTTTATTGTGGATGGTGTACCTTAGAATGGCAATCTTCGATCAGAGGAAAGAAATAATCAAATCGAATAATATTTCTAACAGAATGATTGAAGGTTTTGTACTGGAAAAAAGGAGAAATTCCAAAATTTCACAAAAAAATCATCTGCACTTTTCAAAAGTCATGAGATAATTCTGATCAGAAACTTGTTTGTTGTTATTGTTGTTTTTTGTGATCACTGATTTTTCATATGGATGGGTTATTTTCTCATGTCAGTTTTCTTTCAATGTAGATTATCTTTTCAGCTCGATTGACCTCATTTTACTGTGAAAAGACAAATGGAGAAAAAGACTCTGTTCAGGTTCATTGATTCAGATTGCGCATCTCGGTCTTGAAGAAGATCACAACGTCGCACCGTCGCCACGAAACCTTTTTCTGAGTGCAAATATTGTTCTCATAACTTTGTTTAGATGTTTTTGTAGTTCATTAAACATTCTTGTGATGACGTGAGACGTACCACACTTCCCTACATGAAATCTGACACCACTTTTCTAATTGGAAGGATGAGCGATAAACGATACACTCCCGACAACAGGTGTATTGCGCAACTATTCGAATCATACGGTAGCAGATGTTAATATTGTGTCATAAGGGAATATACATATTATGGAGGTGACAAATGACCTATCGAGGGGATACGGTAAAGAGAGCAGGAGTTGAGAAGAAGAAACATATTCAGGCATGTCTTGAGAGCAAGGGGCCTCACGGAATAGCTTCTTCCAATGGATATCCTTATGTTCCTTGTATAAAAATCGTCTGATCTGAGCCGAACAAAGTTGAGCTGGTACAACCAAATTGAAATGGTCAGAGCAATTAACGATGTCACATGGAATTAAGAAAAATATACAGGGATATCTAAAAAACAGCAAATCTCATGGTACAGACTATACTATTGTTGAAAATATTATTCAAATAACCGAGTCTCAATAATGGCTTGAGTATTTGGTTGCTCGTTTCTATAAATAGACTTCTTAAATACATAAACGAACTACTTTGCAGCTTTTTTCGACAGTTCAAACGTTTCCGACTTATTGAGAGTTAAGATTCTCAGGTTTTGAGAGTCAAAAAGAAAATTGCTGGAAATATTTTTTTGCCTACCGTAATTTTATTGGCTCGAACGATTTTTAAATAATATTTGAATGCATGTAAATAATATATTGAATGCACCGAAATCTAAAAATTCGTGATACTCAGAAAGAGCAAGTACTGTCAAACAAACTTTCTTCATCGTCTGTTCCATTGGTTACTGAACAAGAAACAACATTGATCTTTCGAGTATGCATTAATTTCAAAAACATCACCACCCACGTTTGGTCATAATTTTCTCTCTGTTCATATTTATATTTTTCCACGATTTTAATAATTCTACTATTTTCATTGTTTTCAACTGTTTGGAAACAAAATCTGGGAATAATTTTGACTTTTCTGACACGAGTAACAATGAGTGGTTAGAAAATTAATCTGTTCTTAGTGAGCGAATACAGCAAAAACAGAAAATCTTCAAGAGACAGAACTCCATAAGAAATGCTGAACATTCACATTTTCGTTAGAAAAGTGTCCATGCATTTTGAAATCAAAAAATTGTGTTTCCCATGAAATAAAAACCGTTTAGTGCTGTGACCCTCCTCCGATGTACATTTTGAACGAAAAAAAAGCTGTATGAAAAAACAAAAGGTTTATAGACCTCGTCCTTTTTTTTTAAATTTGTAGTTTTCTTGTTGTTTCAGCTTTCTTCCCTGTCATTTCAACACATAGATTGCCAAGACTAAAAATTAGCGTCTTGAATACAGTACCTTCTTTTCAAATTCCCCTGTAATTTCTGACATCTGGCAGATTATTCCTTTTTGTGTTTCTCGCATGTTTCTGCCTTGCCAATGGGAACGACGATAAAACATAAAAGGCCGGTACGCCCCATTTAGATGTGGTCCTTTTGCTCTGCGCACGGTCAGCCTTTTTTCTCTTGGATCTTTTCTAGATTTTCGTATTTTCCAAGCAGAAAGCAAAACGCGCATTTCAGAGAATTTTTTTCAAATGCATTTCTTTTCTAAATTAAATAATCGTAAACACCAGGATGGAAAGACTTGCATTTTGAGCTCAATCATCTCGATTTCTAAGAGACAGAACAACAATTAGTCAACTGATAAAATGTTAGTGATAATATCACGAACATATTAACAGTTGACACATTTTTGATATATTGCATATGAATGAATATAATTGAGCTTAAATTGCAAGTATAGGGTAACCTTTTGATCGCATTCTGATTACGGTATTTATGATTTGTCAACTTTCGATTAAAGATATATTGAAGTAGATAAAACAGAAAATCGCATTTCTGATAAAAAATAATTGTTTGCTGTTCAAAGTTCATGCACAGTATTTTTGATCCTATTTTTCATTTTTCATTTTCAAAACTGTAGAACTTCGCCTCTCCTTTTTCTTTCTTCATTTTTCTAGTTCCGAGGAAATGTTTTTTTTTCTAGTTTCTGGGAAAGAATGTCTAACAACAGACAGATCAGATACAGAAGGAATCACCTCATACCTTTTTCATTCTTCTTCGTTCGCGGTGCGTTTATTTCTTTTTCTGTCTTTCTGATTTTTTCTCGTTGTTCCCGATAATACAAACAATTTTATATTTTAAAATGTTTTCCAACGACTTCGTTTTCGAGCCCAAATTCCTTTTTTATATGATTCTCGTAAATTTTCAAAAAAAAACTATTGTGCTCCTTTTTCCGTTTTTCGTTCTCCTACCTTTCGAAAATTAGAAAGTAGGTTTTATGGCCCAAAATTGCGAAACATGAACTATACATACTTCCTCTAATAGAGGCCCACACCGCGAGGGGCTTCAAAGAATAGAAACCCACCATCTATTAGAAACCCATGGGCTTTTTTTTAGAGAGAGGGAGTTCAAAATTCCAGAATTATCGGAACTGTGATTTTAGAATCAGACAATTTCTCAATTTCTGAATTTTCTAATTTTTAGATGTTCGAATTACAGATTTTCAGAATTTTAGAATTTTTTCCGGAATTTCAGAATTTCTAAATTTTGAATTTTCAGATTTTGGGATCTCATATTTTCATGAATTCGAAACTTTGGAATTCAGAATTGCAGAATGAAAATTTCAATACTTTTAAAACACTGAATTTCATAATTATTAACTTCGAAATTGTCAAATATCTGAATTTTATAGAGACGGAATTTTTTAAAAATAAACCATTGAAAAATAGAAGCCCACACTCTAATAGAAGCCCACCCTGAAAAAGATGTTGAAAAATAGAAGTCAAGAGGAAATTTTGTAATTGAGCTCAAAGTGAAAATATAGGATAGCCTTCTGAATACGGTATTTATGACTTGTCAACTTTCGATTAAAGATATATTAAAGTAGATAAAACAGAAAATCGCATTTCTGATAAAAAATAATTGTTTGCTGTTCAAAGTTCATGCACAGTATTTTTGATCCTATTTTTCATTTTTCATTTTCAAAACTGTAGAACTTCGCCTCTCCTTTTTCTTTCTTCATTCTTCTAGTTCCATGAAAATGTTTTTTTCTAGTTTCTGGGAAAAAATGTCTCACAACAGACAGACTTCTTTTTTGAGTAATCTTTTTTGCCATCGGCACAATTCCATCATACTGTCAGGCATTTTTCCATAAGTGTACTTCAAAGTGTTTAATTAACGTCATACTAACTTAATTAAGACCTAAGATTACCATTGTCGGAGAAAAATTCTGATTTATTGGTCTTTAATTAGTTCTTTATTTATTTGGCATCAGAGAGAGAGAGAGAATGAATCCCTCATACCTTCTTCATTCGTCTTTTTTCGTGGTGCGGTTTGATTTCTTCTTCTCTCTTTCTGTTTTTTTTTCTCTTTTTTCCTGATAACACAAACAATTAATATCTTGAAAATTTTTTCTACACCAATTCTACGACGGCGATTGGCGTTCAATAGAGCCTAAATTCCTTCTTACGATCGATTTAAACAACATTCCTGCTTCCGTTTTCCTTCCTCCGACTAATGTTTTCCGTTCCACATGTCTGATTCCTCAGCCCTTTTTTCAAAATTTTCAGCATTCTTTCTTTCGTCTTCCGGATTTTTCAATTTATTCCTTCTTCCTTTTTTGGAATTTTGAAATTCCGATTTTCAAATATTCCTTTCCGCCCATCTCCGTTTCTATTAACAGTATGTCATAATTGTTCCTTAAGAATGCGAAGAAGTTATCTTCGGTAATCGGAAAGTAGGTTTCATGGCTCAAAATTGCAAAACGTGAAATTTATTTGATTGGAGTAACTCTTGAAAGTGCATCGCGATTGAAAAATCAATTCATAGTTCATTTTTGACTTCAACCTTCTACTTTGTTACTTTTTGATTTGAAATAAAGAACAGAACACGGCTTCGCCAGCTGTTTTTTTATTTTCTCTCTCTGTCTCTGTCTCTTTCTCATCCTCTTATCGTTTTCAACATGTTCGAAGTGTTGAAAAGCGTTGGTTTCCTTTTAAAGCGTGTTTGGCTATTAGAATGCTTGTGAAAAATTTGGAGAGTTTTTTGGACCCTTGGAAGATTGATTTAACATCTTCTACGGGACAAGAATTCAATTTTTGTTGCAGATCATTAACAATGCAAAGCTCATCAAACAACTTTGCTGATCGTGAGGAATGCGAGAGAAAGATGAATGAGGACGTGGCAAGGAACGTGAGGGAAATTTTTGAGAAGACTCAACTGCGACCAGCTGATGGACCACGGGCCGGCCGTCCAAAGAAGAGACAACAAGAGAATACGTGAGTCTTGGGAAAATAGCTACCGTATTTTCTATAATAGAAGTCTACTTCTAAACTCAATCATGTATTTTGGATATATGTACACTTTATGAAAAGGGATGCCCTTGAGAAAAGGGGCAGGATAAATAGGGACCATGAAGAAAAAATTGGATTAAGTAAATATTTACCGATTTTTTTCAAGTTTTTTAACTGTTTCTATGTGATTCTCTTTTCTGTTGTCATGCTTCTCTCTTTACTCATCATGTCTCGAAAATTTGCGTTCGTTTTCGTTGCATTTTTTAACTGAAAAAAACGTTTGATTGTGTTACCAAATAGTCTACCTTTGATTTCAAAATAACTACAAAGAAAACAGATTAAAAATCAAACACATGTGTAAAAAATCAAATAAACTGAAACTTTCGAAAAGTACTCTGTGAGAAGAAACAATCCTAAACAACAAAATTTCAATGGAAACAGTCAAAATATTTGAAAATATCGGTAAAACCTAACTTAGCCATAATTGTCCCTTTCTAATCTACCCCCCCCCCCCCTCTAGTCTCGTGAGCCACCCTCTGTCAAAAAGGTTGAAATAAAATTAACTGATGTAAAGTCCAACATGTAATTATTGTAAAAGTTTTGATTAGAATAATTTGAAATGGTGCTGAAAAAAGTTGTAAGCGGCGTGACGGACTTGCCCCGTGGGCACATCAGCAAGACGTTGGAAGCATCGGAGAGGAGGGAATTTTATTATTATTATCTTATCAGATGACAATGTTTTGATACAGGAGCTTATATAATTGAACTGACAGTGCACGCATAGGGTAGGCTCCAATTAGAGTATTTACGTTACGTTGGTTTTGAGTACTAATTGGTAGAGGAAAACTAGTTTGTCCTCCGAGCAAGATTTTTGGAAACAAAACCGAATCTTTCTGGTTAGAGCACTTTTTGAGTTGGGTAAAGCGGCCTAGCGGTCATAGAATTTTTTGGATTTTGGTAGAAATGCTGAAAGGTTTGGTCCACGACAACCTACCCGTTTTCAGACGTCTTGCATTCTCTAAGTAAAGACTGTTATGAACTATATTTCAGAAAGAAAGACTGCGGGGTTTCGTCTGCCCCATCCGACGCATCGTCATCGCAAGAAGCCACCCGTTTGACCGTACCCTTTCAAAGCCAAAATGCTGTACACGACGACATGTACGATGTGGCTGCAGACTTTCCATCTTTTATGGAATTGGATTTTGGAGAAGAGTTCAAAAATTTCGACTATGCGACAATTTTCGGAGACATGGAGCATTTTGAGGAACAGGAGATGATCCCATCTACCTCTTCTGGACCACCTGCTCAAGAAACCAAAAAGAGAAGGCATTGGAAGCCAAAGGAAGCCCCATGCCCGCATTGCGGGAAAGTGTTGTCTTCCGCGACCAATGTAAAACGGCATGAGAATAGCTGCAAAGTATTTAAAGACAGAACTACATTTCCACAACCTTCCGAACAGCCGGCGCCGGGAAACAAGAAAAGAAGAGTTCAAACATGGAAGCCAAAAAATGCAACATGTTTAAATTGCGAAAAAGTGTTTTATTCTAAACACACTTTGAAACCGCATTTGGAAAAATGCAAAGCCAAAGAAACGGACACTCTCCAAATGATTGATCAGAATATCTCTGATAATGTTCCTGTATCTTCTAATCAGCTATTTAGTTCTTCTCGTCACGAACCGAGAAGAAACAATCAAGTTGTGCTGGAACCAATCTTCTATAATTGGAGCCCTAGGATGTCTCAATCACTCGAAGAAGAAATAAAAAATGAACCGGAAGCCTTGACACCACAAAGTAATGCAGTATCCGATGGAAGAAACAAAAGTGAAACCGTTACAAGATGTGGAAACCAAATCTTCTCGAGACCGCCTGTCGAAATGCCCGTCCGAGTGTTCCAGTCCCCGCTGAATAGCGGAAGTGGCCCAAAGAATGCTCAGGAAGAAGCAGTCTCACAACTTGAAGCACCAGTGAGGAACCAATGTGATGGATGCTTTAAGCCGTTTCCTTCGCATTTGAGACTTCGACGACATAAGGACAGCTGCTCAGTTATTCTAAGAAAGAAGATGCTCGACGCCTATGAAAGGCCAGAAGATATTTATCAACAAATGCAACTTATCTCCAACAGACCAGGGTTTGTTTTATTGATTTTTTTTCTTTTCAATATGTAAACATGTGATAATTATATTTTTCAGGCAAGACTTTTCAACTTCTTCTTCGAGAGAGCCATCTTCGTCAATCAGCCCTTCTCTCAGCCACGAAACATAATATTGTTGAATACTCCTGGTCAATTTTGTAAATCTTTAATCAATAGTTCCCATTTATCCTTCTAGGTCTAATAATTTTCAGTTCATCTTCCGCTTTAGTTGACATAGCATTTCTAAAATCTTTTTTCTAATCACTTCATTGAATCTTGATTTCTTCCAAACGTTATTGTTTTGTCTATATTAGCATAATTGTCTCATCAAATTAAAACGTTTGTTTCTGTTATTTATATGTATATTCTATTTTTTTACAGTCACAGTTGTTCTTTTAAATGTTCCCTCTGATTGTTTTTTTTTGTTTTCTAATTGCTCAGAGTCTTTCAATTTTTTTCGATATAAATATTCTTTAGTATAAATAAGCATCGCTTGAGCACAAAAAACTTTTTTTTAAATTTTCATTTTCAAAATAACGGATAAATTGAATTTTTCAGAAAAAAAAGGGCAGAGATCCATTCTTACTATTATGTTGGAAGGAAAGTAACTGTCCATTTTTAATTCGTGAAATAACACAAAAACAAGAATTCCCCAAGATTGACAGTATGCACCGTCGTGGTCCACGACATGCTGACAACATTCAAGTAACTTGTGCATACCGTCGCCCCAAAAGCCAGCTGACCGCGAGTCAAAGTATTCCCAAAAAGGCGTTTTTATCTCATCGACAGTGTAAAATTATTTTCCCTCCAGATGAGGTTGCATATCTCCGAATAACCAATAATTAAAGGGTCAAGTCTGGAGTTTAAGACATGTGGACAGCCATTTATCCAAAGCGGCTTAGGACTAAATTGACTTTCTTTAAATAAAGCGGGATTCTATGTTCCACGGAAAGTCGAGTAAGACATGGGCCGCTTTAGCTGGACGGTTTTTCTTTACGCCCTTTTAAACTCCTGATTTGGACCTTTTATTATTGGTTATTAGGATAAATGCAACGTCATCTGGAGGGAAATAGTTCAACACTGTAGAAGAGATAAGATCTGGACTGAAAAAATACTTTGAGTCGCGTCCAGCGGGCTTGTGGAGAGATGGTATCCACAATTTACCCGAATGTTGTCAGCATGTCCTGGACCACGACGATGCATAATGTCAATCTTGGATAATTCTTGTTTTTTGTGTTATTCACGAATTAAAAAATGGACAGTTACTTTCCTTCCAACCTAATACTTTCGATCTTTTTCATTGCTCTAACCATTTTTTTTGTTGTACGAGGTCTACTTCTTGAATAAAATTTGGCTCTAATCCGCCGATTTTGACACATGGTACATTAAGATGGAAAGAACATGCACCACCAGTTCCTCTGCTTAGAAGGCATGTGTATATATGTTTCTCCCTCACAACTGCTATCTTCATCCCTTCGAGAGGTCATTTGTCACCTCCATAATATGTGTAGTCCCTTATGACGTAATATAAACAGGTGGTATTGTATGATTCGGCTAGTTGCGCAACACGCCAGTTGTGGGGAGTGTATCGGTAAACCTTCCAATTAGGAAACGTTTGACAGTATTTCCAGAATATTTCATGTCAAATCTGAGCCATAGTATAAGAACAACAAGCACAGAAATCATTCTCTTGATGACGGTGAGACGTTGAAGCTTTCTTTAAGACTCTAATGTCTGAATCAACAAATCCCAACTGTCTGTTCATCCTAGTTTTCTTTGTCACAGTAAAAGAAAGCTAAAAGGAGCGGAGAAAGGGGTCTGATACGAAGCTGAGACGGTTCTAACAAATAAACCAGATGTGAAGAACTCTAGAAACACGGCCAAAAACCATCTCGAATGTAGTCTGGGAGTAATTAGTAATCGACCAAATTAATAAGGACCTGATGCCCACCTATTAAGTGAAAGTTAGAAAAAATGGAATTTAATTATTCAGTAATTACAGTTTTATACAATTACCAAGAGAAAATGATTATCTGGGAATTTAGTTGGTGGGGTCAAAGATGATTTTATTTTTCTTGGTGCGTGATCCCTTGATGACCAATTTTGGATCCATGGCGGAATCGCGGCGGGCAGTCTGAAAATTATACAGTTTTAAATTAAATTCAATTAAATTTTGCAGGTTTTACAGAATAGAACGATTATTAATGACATTATTTAGTTGTGCAGGTTGTTCCTTGCCGCTGATAGATTTCAATAAGTTGCGTTTTGTCAGTTTGGGTGGTTTTCGAGGAAAATGTTAATACACCCAAATGATCTTAAATTTCTGTACGAGGTAGTCTATACCAAATTATCCGGGGAGAGTTGTAAGAATTTAGGCCAGGTCAAACGGAGGCTAGCAGGGTTTAGAATGAAATTGGCTTAGAAAAATGCTAGGCACTATTTCAGGAAGATTTCAGCGACTGGTGTGAAAAACCTGAACTATAGCATCTGTCAGAAAATAGTCAGCGTCCGTCTACAATATTGAGAAAAAGATTCTCACCTTACGAATCCCACTGCGATTCGAAGTCCCGACTGGAGCAACGGCCTTAGCACTCGCCTTTGAGGCAGATGGGGTGGCAGCCTGAAAATTATACACTTGAGTTGTACAGAATCATAAGATTGTTTCAAGTTTGTGGTTATTGACTTGCCTATATTCATTTTTTGGCTATTTACTTTCTGCAGATAGACTTAAAAATTTTGCATTTTCTCAGTTAGGGTGGATTTGAAAGGACTGTCTCGTGCATACAACTGGCCTAAAACTCATGTACGAGGTAGTCTTTACCTCATTTTTAAGTGAAAGTTAGAAATAATGAGTTGACGTCTGATAAAACTAGGACTAGCAGGTTTGAAGGAGAAATTAGCTCGGCGTGGAATTGAAACGAAATTTAAGCAGCTGTTAGGAACTGTTAAAAAAAAGAAGTTTTGAGCGCCAGTTGTGAATAACAGAAGCCATAGCTTCTGTCCGGAATTAGCCAGCATTTGTCTGTAATATTCAGAAACAAAAAAAAAATTTACCTTACGAATCCCACTGCGGTTTGATGTTCCGACTGAAACAGTGGCGGCCTTAACAGGCGCCTTTGAAGCGGATGGAGTGGCAACCTGAAAATTACACATTTATGTTTTATCAAATCATACAATTACCAATGATATTATTCAATTTTTTAGTTGCTTGCTGCTGAGAGATTAGAACAACTTGCTTCTCCACAACTTGTGTGGCTTTCGAGGGGCAGTTTAATACATCCAACTACGGTCTACATCATTTTCACGCGATAGTTATAAGAAAACACTACAGATCAGACTATTACTAGCAGGTTTGTGAATGGAATTGGCTCATGGCGGCATTAAATCGAAACTTAAGCGAATGTTGAACACCGTTGTTGAAAGTTTTGCGCGCGTTTTGTGATGAATCTGAACTAAAGCCTCTATCTGGAATCTGCCAGCGTCCCTCTATGACATTAAGAAGAAAGAAAGTTCTTACTTTACGATCAACATGACTTTTGCCGCGTCTGGTGGTGGCGGCGGATCCCTTTCCTCCACTTGGCGGGGCCTGAAATCACTTAATTTCGTAGAAAGAACGTTTTGAAACTTCTTAAGTCCTCTATGGTTTCATTTTAATATTACCTATGTATGTTTAAATTCAAATTTGCTTACCTGGGTTGTGTGGCGCCCACTTGAGCCGGCTGGAGCAGCCTTGGGAATTGGAGTCCCGGAGGATTTGACACTCGAGGGAGCTTTAGCTGAGGCCACGGCCTGAAATAGCAAAGTTTCAAGGTGGGAACGTTTTGAAACTTCTTAATGTCTCTATGGTGTTTCAAAAAATGCACTGTGAATTTATTATGAAAAATTGAAATCTGCTTACCGAGCGAGCTGGAGTCTTCTGCAGAGGCTTTGTGACTTCTTTGATCAAAGGCTTAATGGCCTTTTTGGTCGAAGACTTAGTGGCGTTTTTGGTCGAAGGGTTAGTAGCCTTTTTGATCGAAGGCTTAATAGCCTTTTTGGTCGAAGGCTTAATAGCCTTTTTGACCGAAGGCTTAGCATCAGAAGACGCTTTTGTTGAGGAGGCCTGAAATTGTGCTTTCTTGAATAAAACATGTTTTCAATCAACTAAAGTTATCAGTATTCAATGAAAACTTACTGGGTCTGGTGGGCTTGGCGAGAAAGCTCGGCGAGGGAACGGAGCTCTCTTTCCGAGTGCTTTGGTCTTGGCTGGGGTACGCATGATGTTCTGGAACATTGTTTGAGATTTATCAAGCACGAAAACAAGAAGTTGAGTAATCAAGCAAATCTGGTGAAAAAGAACAGTAATCCGCACAAAAAGGTCTTGGAAACGGTGAGTGGTGTCAAGACAGAGAAGGGAATGAGAGAGGGTGGCTGGTGTATGATTCAAAACGCGCGCGTAGACGAGAGAGCAGGAGACCCAGAGAAAGGTGACAATCGGACGGATCGTATGGGACAGGCAGATGGTGTGGTAAACCACGCCCACATTGTTTCTCTTTCTCTTCTGGGAGGGGGACATAATAGGCACTGTGGCATGCTAAGAGCAGGATTGTCTACAGATGGTTTGGTAGGTGACCCTTGGCAATGGTCCCTCTGGTTACCCCTCTTTCTACTACAACACCACCATCACACAGCCTCCACCACACACCAGCGCACACAAGCAAGGTAGCGAACAGCTATCGTCTACATTCTCTCTGATTCGAAGTTATTGGCGGGAAACGTTTTTTTTAAATGTTTTTTAAAGAAATCCAGGATTTGCGAGAAATGGAGTTTTATCCATTTTTGCATTTTTTATGAAATGTCAGATGTTGTTCATCCAGAATAGAGGTCGTTTATAAGACAATAATGAAGATAGAAAAAAGACTTGTAAAAATAGAATCTTCCTCTGGTTTGCACGAACATGTTCCAAGACAGTCCCTCATTCACGCTTCTTTTGCAGCATTCTCCGGAACTCGATGCTAGAATTGTACTCGTGACAGTAGTCTGTGAAAAGAAACAAGAAGAATACAACCATAGTCAGCTCAACCCATCGAAAAAATATGTGGTGCTCTTCTATCACCACAACTGCTTTCTTCTGGGTTTTTTCGGTGGAATTGTTGGTGCTGTTGCGAGCACGAGGCATCTGAAAACATTTCCTTAACAACATCAAGTTAATAAAGGGAGAGACAAAAAAAATGACCGAAACAGTTTCATAGGATTTTACAATATAATCGAAATACAGTATCCCATGAAAATGGGAAATTCTGAAATTTTATAGGTCAGGTAACTGATGAAGAGTCTTCAAAAAACTGTAATAACATCGCATTCGTAATAGCATACTGAAATGAAAACGAACAAAAAGTATTTTCGCATTGGTAGTCCAATAACAAGTTGGACAAACACCCCAAATTATCTCTTGGGATATAATTGTAGGTGCTGGATTTAAGCGGATAACATATGATAAGAAAGCAAAATGCAAATTTTATTATGTATAATATTATTAGCGAAAAACTTTAAAATTTCAAAAAAAAACTTTGAATCATTACAGAATACAATTTTTCCAAATTTAAAGGACAAGGGACAGGAAATTTTTGTTTTGGTGCTACGAAATCCATTTTGACGTTACAGATAGATGCGATATTTTTCTTTCTTCCTTTTCTTCAGAACCTTCTAACTATTAATGCCTTACAAGGTGTGTGAAAGGGCCGGATAGTACTACAAGGTGATCATTTCCACAAAACCAAGCAGACATTCCCGCTCTCACAGTCAGTGAATCAAATTCTCGTTTACTTTATAAGTTCTCAAAGAACTACCAGCCGATTTTTCGTGATTTTCTTGTGAGATTTAAAATATATATTCTATTTTATTTTTCGTTTTTAATATGGGGAGAATAATAGGTTTTTGGAGAATCAAAATTTAATAAGAGAGATTAAAAATGTAGACAAGTAGAGAAATAAAAAAAAATGAATGGTAGAGGAAAATGATTACATAATCAAGAGAAGCAGCAATGTGCACAAATAGTCGAGGTGTTCCAGTTCAATAGAGATACATTTACATGAGGAGGGAGGAAGTCTTGAATCGCCATTTCAAAAATCTTGCAGATACTCTTGTAAGTTCTAAAAATAGAAAAAGTTTCATTCAAAAGTATTTTGATTTATCTTACGAGTGCCTTGCTAGCGTTGTCTTTAAGATAGTTGGTGACTTTGAAATCCGCAAAAACTATCATTTTCTCCCAGAATGAGACTGACACCAAATCTTCATTGGAATGTGTTCCACGGTTCAAAATCATCTCCACAGCTTTGTTGACAAGTGTTTGATATATTTTTTCGTGTTCTGTTTGTTCTTCAGTTACCGTAGAATCAGAAGTTGGAGTTAGAGCTGGAAAATGTCTAGTTTAGAAGATATATGACTCATCTCATTACCTTTCGATGAAGCCTGTTTCTCTTCCTTTTGTTGCAGCTTTTTGATTTTTGATGTTTTTCCCATGCGGGTCGTTTCCGCTTCAAGAGCGGTAACAACTAATCGAGTGCAATATTCTGTAAACTTTGGTTTAAATGGCACATTAAAATTGTCCTCAACTTACCTTTATTGAAAGTATCCTTTAAAACGTTTTTGGATGAAACGAAATCTGCGACGGTGGTTGGCCCCTCTTTTTTCAACTTCTCTTTAGAGAAATGTGTAATTTTTTCAAATGAAGATAGAGCGCCAAGCTGCTCATAGCCTGGGTTATCGCCATTAACAGCAATCGGTTCAACCGGTCCACATTTTCTTTTAGAATTAGTCGAGAAGACATGGTGATGTCTAAGATGCGAAAAACTTTCGAAAACAAGGTCACAATGTCCGCATGGCACAATTTTAGCATGGTTGTGTTTCTCTAACATATGCTTTCTGACATCTTCTTCTGAATGGTCGACATTGTCACATATTAAGCAGGTATACTTTCTATGGTGGTTTTTGCGATGATGATACAGTCCGGATTTGCTGTAGAAGCTTACTGAGCATAATGGACATGTATATCCTGGAATAAGAAAACTGAGAGAGTGAAAAGTTATACGAATTTCGAACTAACTTTTCAAGAGTGGATCTTTTATTTCAGGGAACATAGCGTGAATTTCCTCAGTCAGAAGGAAGGCAATAATATTCAAAATTTCCTGGAAAAACAAGTTATTCTGAAATTGAATGCTAGAGAAAGAAATATTAGAAACGGGGAAAGGTCAAAATCACAATTGCTAAAGCGTCTGCTTTGTATCCTTTAATAGTCATCAAAACAAGAAGCGCACTCTCGTTGCTGCTGTCCTAGATGAGTATCACCTTCTTACTCTCGTCGTCTATCTGCCCTCTTCTGAATTTTGCTATGTTATGAGTTAAGCCCTATTTGTGGCTCTCCAAATATTTCCAAGTGAGAGAGCCAAATTTTAATGGCAAGGTGAGTACATTTCTGACAAAATTGGAGTGAGTAAAGAAGGGATTGAGGGAGCTATACGATTTGAGGATTGACTCTTGGCAGCGTAATGAGTTGTTATGGGTTCACTATTGGTTGCAGGCGGAATCTCTCGCACAATTTCTGCATTTTCTTTGATTGACACATAATCAAAAATGGAGTTCCTTGAACATAATGATTAAGAGAATTCCGAAAAAGTTTCAGCTCAAAAATCGTTTCCCGACTGGAAGGCACTAAACATTTGACCCCTTAGGTCCGTGCACCAGCAGAGTCTTGTGACGACAAAATCTAGCTTTCATATCTATAAGACAGTTTGCTGAAAAACGAAGGACACGAATAAAGATATATCCTCGAAATTTCGTTCATAGGCGGCCTTTGAGGAATTCAAATTGCGAGTTCACTGTTGGAGGTATATATATATATATATATATATATATATATATATATATATATATATATATATATGCATATATATATATATACGGTTCGGGAGCTCAAATACCTCGAGCAAAAACTACCGTAACCTAAAAAAATTTTTATTCTACAGAATTTCTTTTTGTGTCTGGTTTTCACTTTTTTTCTAAAAACCCTGAAAAAAAATCTCTGGTTACGGTAGTATTTTATTGAACGCCATGAAAACCAAGATTCGAAGCCATCAATTGTGTAGAAACGGTTGTTTTAGACCAGGCCAATCGGAAAACGTTTCTTTCCGGCCGCCTTTGTATGAGAAAAAAGAAAAAAGTGAGACAGGAAAACGTCGTGAGAAACAGAGAAGAACGATCCGCCAAGGGAAGAGAGTGATTGCGAAATGTGCGTGGGTGGAGTATATGTGTGGATGGGCCCGTATGTTTACAAGCAGGGTCACGTCATCGTGGAAGTGAATCTCTATTTGGAATTTGGCATCAAGACAAGTTAAGCTGTGTTGTCGTCGCGATTGCGAACTGAGTAGCGGCTCAACAACGTACAGACTCCAAAACATCCAGAGAAAAATAAAAGCGAAAACAGGTGCCGACGAAATTCAAATGCATATGTATACCAACGTTTCTGTACATCGCGTTCCATCTCTGATGTTTCCCATGCTCACCCATTACAAAAACCAATAAAAAGGAGGCCTAAACATTTTTTGAATTCTTGCCAGCTGAAACAATTAAACCAGGAATAAAGGTGGAATTGAAATAATTCCGTTTTGTTCTTACAAAAATGACAGAATCGAAGAATAAGGATGGAAAATTCTGATTTTTAGATTGGTGCGAAAAAATACTACTTACAAGAGAGGACAAAAATAATTTTCAAAGAATTTTTGAAAGTTACAATATGCATTTTTATGTGGACGTATACAGTAATTTGTGTTCCAACAATGCGCGGCTATCGGTCCGCTTTCATATATGACATTGGCTGTCAGATTAATCTCCTCCACCGTACCCTATCGCTCGGCGTCCATAGAAGCTTAGCCGGCACCTCCAACAGTGAACTCGCAATTTCAATTCCTCAAAGGCCGCATATGAACGAAATTTCGAGAATATATTTTTATTCATGTCCTTCGTTTTTCAGCAAACTGTCTTATAGATATGAAAACTAGATTTTGTAACATGTGAAATCAAAGTGAAGCTATCGAAAATCAAAGATTTGGCGTATTTCCAAGTAGACGAGCGCATTCCAAAAATTGAATCATTCAGAAGCATCGCCCAGCTTGAATATCTTCTTTGCTTTCCTCCAGTGCTGTCACCGATAAAGTTCATGGTGAAGAAACTTGTGTCATGCTGGTTGTTACTCTCACAGCTCACTTCTTCTGACATGACATCTCCGAACTCCAGCTTTGCACACAACCAACTACTGTCACATCTAGGGTCTTTTGATCGAAAAATGCACGATACATCTACACCTTCACATCCATCCTTTGCTTGTTTTCAAATCTCTCGTTACACCTCTTTTCTATGCTGAAACGAATTGTTATTGATATAGCTAACAACGGAACCTTACCAGCATATAGCGCCCATGTAGCGCCTTGAATATCAAAGATTTGGCATGAGCTCTGGAAGACGAGCAGTATCACTCTGCGATAGACACACGTAAATCACAGACATCGGCCAGCTCCAATACCCGCTTTGTACTTTTCCAGTACAGTTGCCATTGAAGTTCACGGTCAGGAAACTCCTGCCACGTTGCTTTTTACTCTAACAAATTCACGTCTTCAGACTCGCCATCGTTGAATTATGTTCTCCTGCTGCTGCTTTTCACAAACATCCACCGTTAGCGAAAGCCAATTCTAGCGTAGTAGTATAATCCGTACACTAAAAAATGCCTGATTTTTTTTGCAGAGCGGTGCAAATAGATCAACTTTTGCAATTGACGGATTTTCAGCTATCTTTAAAGCGCCGTACTTCGGCCATGTTTCGGCCATAAGAATAAAAAGGGTCCGGACAGTTTTCTGAAAAAAAAAATTGGAAAACATTTTTTAAAAGATTTACTTTTCTTGCTAAAAATTGACGCATATCTTCTTTTAAATATTTTTTCAAGTTGAAAATGAATTTTTTGATTTAATTAGCTAGAAATTAATTAATATACACTACGGCAGCACCGTGTGTCCCTTTAAAATTGTTTTCTTTACGCCTCTTCTCTCTAGTCTCTCGTCGCGTTTTCCAATCGTGTTCTCAATGTGCTCTAAGTATCTTTCTTCCCTACACCCTTTTGTCGTTTTGTGTGTGCGCGCACATCGACCAGCGCACTTGGCACGCTGCCAGGAGACGCATATTTGCCTGCAGGGTCTCGACACGAATGAGAGTACGGTACGTTTTCCCGCCATATTTGAAAACGAATGAAATAAATTTATAAATTTTCGTCTTTTTACAGTTCTATTTTTACTTGAAAACTATTCTTTACTTGAATTTTTCTTATAAAGATGATTCAAATTGTTTCAGGAACTCTACAAACACAGGAGACGAAAAAAGTCAGTTTGGAAGGCATGATTCGGTCATTCGTGATACGCAACGTCTTCCGACAAATTCTCCTGTTCAATACAGTGTCAAAATGCATATTGTGATCTGTGAATAAAACGTTGCGAATAGGAAAAGAGAGGTGAGTTATTTTTTCGAAAATTATCGAACAAAGGTGGTCATTTTTCAGACAAATCACATTTCGACCGAGAATCAAATCGAGAAATGACGGTGATTGAAGGCAGCAGAAGAAAACCCCATTATGAGCAATTCGGATACACCTTGTTGCTGCGATCAGAACTGCCGAAAACGTTTTCAGAAAAAATACTTATCTTTTCCATCAGAATGATTGGTTTAGATGTCTCTTGATTTGGAAATTGCTTGTCGCAGAGTGATCATGCTCGTCTACCAGGAACAACACCAAACCTTTGCGATTCGATAGCGCTACATTGATTCTACATGCTGGTAAGATTCCATTGTTATTTCTATCATAAACAACCCGTTTCAGACCAGAAAGGAAATGAAACGAGAGATTTGAAAGAAAGCAAATGATGTGCCTATGAACGGATGTGATGTCTCGCGCACTTTGCGATCGAAAAAGCCTGGATTAATTCAATGTTGGCAGGTCTGAAAATTTGATCAGAAGCAGTTTAGTTACAACCAGCATAACACCAGTTTCCTCGCTGTGAACTCAGTTGGTAACTGCACAAGAAAATAGCCAAGCAGGTATTCAAGCTGGACGATGTCTGTGAATCATACGTTAGAATCGGAAATTAAGAACGCTCGTCTAGCAGGAACTAAAGCAACTCTTCAAGATCTGATGACTTTACTTTGATTCGATACGCAGGTAAGGTTCCACTATCACTTTTAACCGATTCGTTCCAACACAAGAAGGAGTTGAAAAGAGAGATGAGACAGAACACAAATCCACTGTCAGCGCGACACAGCAACGAAGATGCAGTTAGTTGAACTGGACGATTTTCGGGTATTTTCTTTGGCTCAATTGAAGAATTATGTTCGTTGTGAACTAGGACGATTGACACATGAAGAACCCTAAAAAACGTGTTTGGTCTACTTGCTGAGCTGAATTTGCAGTCATTCTTCGTTTTTCAAATTCTTTTATTCATCAGAATGATTGGTTTAGATGTCTCTCGGTTCGAAGATTGCTTGACATCTATTCTGACCTGTTTTGATGGAGATGAGAATACATTTTAATTTTGATCGATGCTCACAATAAATACTTTTACGTTGATACATAAAACAAGTAGCTGAAAGCTGCGAAAATTCAGACAACGACATGGAAGGAACATTTAGAAAGATATGAAATCAGATTTGGTCTATTGCACCAATCTCCGCGAAGTTTGCAGCAGGTCTATCCACTGGGAAGACACGTGGCTCTTGTCTAAAATTAATACATTCAGGTATTTTTAGATATACATTTATGTTTTCAGATGAAACCATCGATGTTAGGCATTTGGAAGTTAAAATAACGGCTGAATTCTGACACAACTGCCTTCGAAACGAATCAATTTGGAACTAGTTCCGATTCGAGGAAATCCTGATTAATAGAGTTTAGGCTAGTACCCCGATTTAGGCTAGTACCGTTTCTAGACAAGGAACAATAAAGACTCACCCTATACCTGGTTGTCCATTTGACGTGTCACAATCTGTGTAGTTCGCAGTGGCTTCAGCTGACGTGGATGGGCCGGCGGCATCCTCTCCAATGTGATAATCTCGGAAGTTTCTGAAACAGCAATTATTTGAATTTAAAAGATTCTTAAAGAGAAAAAGACGCTAACCTCTCTAATGCTCCATTATTGATTCCATGTTGACCAGCCCTCTGAACACCAAACGGGACGCTGGGTGAAGAATGAGACTGCCTATATCGCATGCCTTGTGGAGGAAGCTCTTGTGACGATCCTGTTGGTAGAAGAACGATCGGTCCAGATGCAAGAAGGTCGTCCTCCTCGTTTTCCAAATGACCGACTGCTGGTGACAAGTGAACTCGAACTTGCAGTTGAACCTCGCCATGAGCATGAGCCGCTGGATACTCCTCTTGAATCGAGCTGGAAGAAACTGCGGTCGACGATTTGTTCTCCGTTTCCTTTATCGATTTATATCTTTGAGATGCGGCTTGATGTCTTTTTCTCTCCATTGAACTGAAGTAGTTTTTTTGAGATTTGCGTTTTCTTTTGGGCTTTGCACTCTCAAGGGTTCTCCCGATTTCCTCATCTTGATGGTTGGTTTCACTATTGGATTTCTTTGATGCAGTAGATCCAGATGGTCCCATTGTTGCTGGTCTTTTTCTGGTTTCTTCCAACTGACTCGTCGTTGGAATATCAGCATCGGACTCTCCATCTTCTTTATCGTCCTTGTCTAGATCATCGTCCTCCGCATCTTCAATTTCTATCTTCGCTTCCTCGTTTTGATCCGCTCGCGTGACCCAATTGACTGGAACTTCTTCCTCGACATCTTCCAAATGTCGGGACGGCTCATTACCGTCGTCATGAGCATCACTACAAACAAAAATTGTGAACTTTCTGACTGAAGTTGATGCTAGATTTAGAAAACAATTTCAGTACGGCATACTTACATTTCTGCATATGCATCCATTTCGTTGTTCGTCTCTGATCGCTCAACAACATCACTCTCATTTGGAGTTTGTCTTTCTCTGGAACGCTGGGAGGGACCTTTCTCTATCCTGAAAATAAAAACTATATTTCAGCTTTTAGAGAATAAAAATTTAGACCTGCGATGAAAATAGGATTTACTATAGTCTGAATGATGTCTTAACGCTTTCAGATATTTTTTCGTAAACGGTTAGAAAAAAAAAACTCACCAGTCGTCTTCGGACGAAGAAGATTCATATCCAGTAGTTGTCTTGTGCTGTTCATATTCTCGATTGCGAGCTTTGTAAAAGTCCTTGAGCTCTTCAGCCGTCTGATTCCGACGAGCTGAAGCTGGAACTGGGACACGGTCTTTTCGACAAGAAACTGGAGACTGGGCGCAATCAGAAGAGCGTGTGAAAACGAGATCGGGACCGGGGACATCTTTGTATTGGCCTTCTGTTGAAGCTTTGGCGATCTCAAGAGTAGGACTTATTGCTGAATTTGGAAGTTCTGTTGCATTTGATGGGTCACGAAGAATGATAGGCTGAAAATCTGCTTCAGTCTGACCAGAGGCTGACGTTTGATGTGATGCAGAAATTGGCCTATTTACAAGAGACAATACTTCAGGATTGTATTCTTGTGGTGAGTCTGAAGTAATCGCTTCAAATGTTTCTGCATCGGACTCTTCATCTTCCTCATCTACCTCGTCTGAATCATCGTCTTCTGCGCGCCCACTTTCTATTTGTTGATCGGGTCCCTCGTTTTGATTTGCGCGCATGACCCGATTGTCTGGATCATCTCCTCCGACGTCTTCCAAATGTCGGGCTGGGTCAACGACGTCTTGAGCGTCACTAAAAACGAAAACTGTTAGTTTTCTTATTTTACTGACAGTGTTGTCAGATTTAGAAAAATAATTCAGAATGGATTACTTACATTTCTGCATATGCATTCGGTTGATTGCTCATTGTTGACTGCTCAACAACATCACCTTCATTGGAAATTTGTCTTCCATTTTTTCTGGAACGCTGGGAGTGACCTTTTTCTATCCTGAAAAACGACATTTCAGGAATTAAATTGATTTTTTTTCAATGATGAGATATAAAAATCTAGAACTAAATATAAAAAAAATTCTATTTCGATCGAGATGATTTCTTTTGTTCTCTTTCGGATTTCTTTTCAGTTTGACAGTTTGATCGTAGCATAAATACCCACCATCCATCTTCGGACGAAGAAGATTCGTATCCAGTACTTCTCTTATGCCGCTCATATTCTCGATTGCGAGCTGCGTAGAAGGCTTTCAGCTCATCAGCCGTCTGATTCCGAGGAGGTGGAGGTGGAACTGGCAAGCGGTCATTCTGACAAGAAACTGGAGACTGGACGCAATCAGAAGAGCAAAGTGGGACGAGATCTGGTGCGGGGACATCATCAGGGGATTGGTCGTCTGTTGAGGCTCCAGAGACTTCAGGACAAGAGTTTTTTGCTGAGTTTGATAATTCTGCTGCATTGGATCGGGCATCCAGTAAGTTTGGCCGAGGAGACGTTTGAATCTGATCAGAGTCTCGCGCCTGATTTAATGAAGAAATTGGATCATTCATCCGGGACGATGTTTCCCGAGTGCCTTCCTGTGTTGAAGCTAACGTTTCAAATGTTTCTGATGCTTCCGAAACTGCCGCATGGCTTTCCCGGGTCACTGTGGCTTGATCTCTTTCTGTTGATAACTGTGCTGGCTCTTCATCTTCTGGTGTCATCTGCAAAAATGATTCTGCAAAAATAGGCATTGGAAAAAGCAGGAAGGCGAATAAACAGTACAAACACAACAGAACTATTAAATACCATTAAAAATGTGGCGTGCAAATGAAAAATTGATAGAAACCCACAAATTTTGCAAAATGACATTTTTTCGATTTTATAATGAATCTTCTCTGAATAAAACACTAAACTGGTGACGGCTCGACGAAGCATTGCTAAAAAAATGAAGATGAGCATCTTTGGTACTACAAGAAGGCAAAGTAGTGCGAAAGAAATTTGCAAAAAAAAAGAAGAAATTGAACTTCAGGAAAGAGTTTTGTGTTTAAATTTGGGCAACAATTAAGTTCTTTAAAGAATGTACGACGTATAAATTTAATTCTCGCATAAATTTAATTCATACTCTGCTTAGGAGACGCGATAAAGGTATGCCAGGCTATTCTGGTGACAAAACAAAAAAGATAGGAAGGACAGCGCAAAAAAGACGAGACGAAAAGAGAGAGCAAGACGAGAGAGCATTGCGAGGCAGTCAAAGATAAATAAGGACGAAGTGGGGAAGAAAGAACGGAGTGGTTCAATAAAATTGTTTAAAAATCGAAATAATCAATTTTTAAGGTAAAATATAGTTTTTTCGGGTTCTCCTGACTTTGAAATTGTTTGCCGGTTTTGAAATAAGATACACAAAAGATATCGATTGGAAAAACCTCTGTCGCCAGGTCCTCTGCTCTAAATACATGTGTGTATGTGTTTCTTCCTCACAACTCCTGCGCTCGTCATCCCCTCGAGGGGTCATTTGTCACCTCCATAATACATAGTCGTTTATGACGTAACATCAACAAATGCTACAGTAATGACTCGGATAGGCACGCAATATCGGGAGTGTATCGTTTAACCTTCCAATTTGGCCGGTGTCAGATAGACATCGAAAGAGTGGTACGTGTTGGGAAGAGTGTTACGTCACGCAGTATTTTCAGAAAAGTTCATGACCTACAAAACATCCTAAACAAGGTTTAGCAACAATGCACACAGAAGAAATTTTCGTCACGACGGTCAGGCCGGCGTGGAGGTTTTCAAGTAAAAATTAAGAATTAATTTATTTTATGTTTTCAATATTCATTATCAGCTTGAGTTCAATATGGAGAGCTAGATGAAAATCGGATGTTCACTTCTTTATCGAATAATGGGATAATTTTGTATAGCGTGGTTATTGAATATAACATCATGGAATCAGTTTCTCGATCTGAAATAAGTTTAAAAACAGTAACATTTTCTTAGTTCATATTACATGCTTCCATGACTCCACTCCTCTAGGTTTATTTTCTTTTTGTGCTATACGAGCAATTGTTTCCATGCTCTCCTTCAATTCCATGATTGTAGTGTATGAATTTCTCATCTTCTGAAAATAAGCCAAGTTTGGAACTATTTCCTTACTACTCAACGACCTGCAGATTCTCACGGAGAATCGGAATCCGGTCACTCCCCGACATTAACTTTTGCAAGACTGATAGCTGTAATAATGTGATTGCGTAAGTGATCATAAGATATGAAATTTTAAATCCAGACTCACTTCTTCATTGTAAACATTTATGATCCTTTCTGCAGCCGACTGCGCAACGTATGAACGACTTTTTCGATAAATAGCAATTTTGTCGTTCTGGAAAGTTCTGAAGTTTAGCATTCCATATCCAAGTTTCCATACTCACCATAATTAAATGAGAGCTGTCAAACCAATCATTGCATTCTTTCAAATGGTGGTTACATGCAATAAGAATAGCTTGAATTTTGAGCATAAATGGCGGGACACCTTGATGTGCTGATCTGTCCCTATGTTTTGTGATTTTGACACCTTTTCTTTTTAACATGTTAGATATTGTGCAAATGAATACCTGAAAGCAGTTCCCGGGAAATGAATTAAAAGCTCTGGAAAGTTCTCAAGGCAATATCTTAGTGTAGTTAGTGCTTGTATTCGGTTCATTTTCATAGCTTGACTACATTTTCGATCTGAAGCTGGTCCATGTCGGACTTTTGAAAAAAAAACATTGACCTGTCTTTCCCTCAAACAGACAGATGCGCCCAAAATATTCGCTTTTCTCAGCCTTCAAATAGACCGAGACAGCCCCATTCGCCATTTCAAGCTTTGTCGGGCGTTCGAAATTTTTCAAAAAGTGCAACGGACCAGCCGACACATTACTCAATTATTTTGAATTGTGTTTAAAAGTTTTTAGAATCATTAGAATCTTATTGGATTGTATCAACAACATTAAAGCAGTGTACGTATCTCACCTCCCATCCTTTCACTCTTTGGTTCATATATTGAGTCCGGAACTCAGCAGGTATAGTTGACACCATTTGGCTGATAAGCATGTCCTGTAACATGAACGTATTAAAAGTTTAAAAAAAAACTTAGAAGCTCAAAGTTACAGTGTCTGCTTGGGGTCTACAAGGAACTCTCGCAATGAAACATGCCAAGGCTAATGAAAACGGTGAAGCTGTTGATACAGTTTTTGGCATCAGGCCAGCGGAAACTAACATTCCCTGAGCTACCAGCATTTCCTTCAAAAGTGAATTTGTAAATCAAAAAAAAATATTATTTAGCCAGAGGCAACACACCTGTTCGACGTTAGGTTTTGGAGCTGCCTTCGATATATTGATAAAATCGTTTGAAGAAGGCATCAGGTTGTATCGTTCAACAACATTTATCTGCAGTATTTTCATCAAATCTTTCGTATTAACTACCTTGAACACTCTAATAGAATGCCACAAGAACCGTCCACTTTGAGCCTATATGTTTCATTTTCTATGAAAGATATCAAAAAGTTGTTAACTAATAACATGCTTATCATAAAATGGGAAATAATTTGTCAGTTAGTCATTTTGCAATATTTTTACAGGAACCAAGATAAATCGGGTCAAAGTTGAAAGTTCTATGAGAGTGCTAAAATGGTTACTGTCAGTTTATCACCCACTCACCATAAAAGTTGCAGGAAGACGAGGATCAAGAAATTTCTCGTCTGATTTTATAGCTTTTTCAATCATAGGATGCAAGTCGATGAGACGCATTTTGCCACTTTGCAGTCTATCTAAAAGTTTTTTGTCGTTAATTAGTTTTTTTTTTCGTAAACTGATGTATTCAATATTCAAAACATAAAAAGAAAATCAAAAACGTATCAGGTTCAGAATGGTTTTCAGAATGACTTTCAGAAAAAAAACAGAAATTGCTGGTCAAAAAACTTTCCGCTCAGTGGGCAATTATGTGATTAGATGATATCAAACCAAAATGTGTTAATAATAAGAAGACTAAAATGTTTCTAAGATTTTTAATCAAAAAAAGGAATCATATGTGATAAAAAATTTATTCGACAACCAAAATAAAAGATAAAAAAGGCAAAAGAAATTTTTCATAAATTGCAATTTGATAAATTTTTTCACATAAAACCTGAAACTGCGAGGTCGTATTTTCAAAAAAAATTTATGCTTGATTTCCACCCCCATCATTATATCTTATCATATTTTGGTTGAACCTTATTAAAATGTCATGCTTCAGAAAATAAACTTTAAGAGCTGGTGGGCGATGTTTAGCTATTCAGAGATCTTGAAATTCGAAAAGAAAGGGACGATTTTGAAATGTTGTGTGGTTTGAAAGAAGGGGACCAGAATTTTCAGAGTTTTTCTTAGAGCGAGAGTTTGATTTTTGTTTGATGGTGTACAGTAATTGGTGTTCACCACTTCTTACCGTTTGCCTGTGCTGACCGAAATTTGGTTGGAAATGGTAAACTTTAGGTTGCGAGCACTGTATGTATGTCACCGTCAAGGCTCACAAGTTCAGCTTGACGTTTTTTATTATTGATGGATTTCCTTGTATTTCTTGTTGTATAATCCATGTTTTTTCTCCAGACGCCATGGGCCAACGCTTTCAAGACATTTGTTCCGATTATTGGATGACGTACTTTACATCATAATCCAGTGATCATTTCACACTAAAAATATGAAAGATTGTCGAAAATCTCTTAATCAAAACCATACTTGTAATCCGTGCCTTTCCCGGGCCTTCGCGGGCCCTGTTATAGTTTTTTTCAGAACCAAAATTTTAAACCAACTAAATTGGATATAATAGAGCTGCGGAATACTGTACCTTGTCTCCGAACAAAGTAACAGACCATAAAGTGGCTTTTTTCGGCCGGGCCGGGTCTACTTTTTTCGCTCGTTTTCGCCTGTAACTTTGTTCGCAAGCAAGATACAGTTCTCCAAATAGCATCATTTCGTAGTACTCGGCGAGCTCTATCGTATTTGATTTAGTTGGTCTGAGAATAATGATTCTGAAAGAAACAATGGCAAGGCCAGCGAAGGCACGGGAAAGGCCCGGATGACAAGTATGATCAAAACAATACTAGGTGAGTTATATATTTCCGTAAACACTCTCATATATTGTCATTAAAACCGTTCACTTCACACCAATAAATCTAATTTCCTGTGAAAGATATTAAAAAATGGTCTACTGGCAATTTGTTTATCATAACATGAAATAAATTTGTAAGCCGGGTACTTCTTGATTTTGTTTGCAGAAATCGAAATAAATGGGCTCGAAATCAAAATCGAAGGGCTCAATTCTCCAGAGTTCCTACGGTTCCTATAATGAGCACCTATTCAATTTTTTCCATCAATAACTAAAAATTCTCTCAAAATAAGACGGTAATAAATCTAGTTTGAACTAAAACAGGTGAAGCTTTTTGATACTTGTTTTGCTCCTTTCCAAATGCCACGAGCCCATTATTCACAACAACACCGGCCTGTAACACCTGCCCTTCGACTTTAAAATCAAAACAACAAATGCTAATTGCTTGAACCAGGGCCACCACCTACTAATCTACATATACTGGGCACGGGCACTCTATTTTCTGCTTTGGAGTCTGTCGTTGCGTCACAACAGCCCTTTTCCATCCCGTTTCTCCTATTCCCGTTCTCTTCTTTCCGGCGACCCCTCATTCCGTCTCTTTTTCACCGATTCTTGGTTCATTTGCCATTGAGTCGTCTCTGTTTTCTTCTTTTTTTCCCCCCTTCTTCCACCCGCATTTTTATTTTCCTTTCTTTTTTCTTTCTCCAATTTTTTTGCCTTTTTTTGGTTTATTGGAGAAGTGTCGAGTGGCAAGAAAAGAAGAACACAGACAATCTAATCTCTCCTGTCAGACTTTTTTGGAAAATCACATAAATGTTTCCGTTTTATTAAAGTTTGGAAATAGATGATGACACGTAGCCAATTAAAAATGACAAATGAAAAAAAAATCATATTCAGAAAATAGTGAATTTTCAAAGCTTCAGAAGTTTCAATATACAGTTCTGCACTTATTGCCTCCAATTATCTCACGAAATTCCTGAGTTCCATAAACCAATATTTTATTTCGTATATTTTCTTATTCTCTTTGCTTCATTGCTTCTTCTCTTCTATCCCATTTTTCATCTTCGGCTCTACCCTCTTGTGTTTTACACTGCAAAATAACCTCTTCGTATCTTTCTTTTCTTTTTTTTTGTCTATCTCTCTTCAGTCTTCAGTATATCACCTTTTTCGTTTGTTGTGTTCACTTTCTTCTTATCAGTTCATCAGTTCGCGTTGATAAAAGTACGGGTTGTATGTGTTTTATCATAGTTAAGTTGCTTTTTGGGTAATGGGAACATCAGGTTTTTTTAAAATCGAAACACATAGAAGTAATTGCACTTCTAGTGCAAGATATCTATATTATGAAATTTCGTTAGCTACTTTCAGTGATAAGACAATACAATTTTATCATTTACATCCTTCTTTAAGATTAAGTATCATAGCATACAGAAATATAATTGTCATAAACCAAGTGAAACTGAATGAAAATGTTGATAAACAAATGAAATAGGCAAATATATAATTTTTCTGCCATTTTGTAAAGCTCGTGATATAGTTTTTCGAATGATGGTATAATTTCCTTAACCATTTCTCTAAAGACCAAAGCTATTGGATCTGTCCGTAAGCGGATAATTGTAGTATTTGTTGCTTTTTTTTAAATTAAATTGTTATTCTTTATTATTTTCAATTTCAAATCTTCTGATTTTGGTTTCCGATTCTTAGCTTTCAACCTTATCCGTAATTCGAGTAACAGTCGTGTTATCAAAACACACATACACAGGTTTAAAAAAAACCGCTTCCAACATTTTGTTTACTTTACCTTTTCTGTCAAATCAAATTGTTTGCTAAAATCGTATTTGATTTGAACCCACTATTCAAGAAATTCACTTTCTGATTTATTGAGACCTTTTTCAGATGGGTGACAACATCAGAACCAAGCGATTAGGAAATGTATGGCAATATTTCGATTTGTCAGAGGACGAAGTGGACAGCGATCCAACTTGGGTTGGTTTTTTTGGTTTTTTTTTCCATTCTCTCACTATCATGAAACCTGTAACAAAAAAACATCGATGATTTTTGCGAAGTTTTGAAATTTGCTCATTGAAAATTATGCAGCTCGCAATTCGAAAAACTCTAACTTCCCAAATTCTTGTGTGTGAAGAATCTTCTTGGTGACCTTATCGGTTGGAGGCACGAAGATGAATAAAAATTATTTATTCTCAACGTTTTGGCTTGATGCTATCTTCAGGAGAATAGGACAATTACCTACAAAAATGAGAATAGAAAAAGTGTGAAAGGTCTCCAAGAAGATTCTTCACATACAAGTTAAATTTTGACAATGCACGAAAAACGGATTGCCTATATCCTATCCCAAATTATCTAATGTATCGTGATATTTTCAGTAGTAAAACACTCACATTGTCAACTTTGAGCTCAATTATCTCAGTTCATTTGTAAGATATTGAAATAGTGGTAAATGTAAGAAAACTTCTGAAAACTTGATAAATCGTTTGAAAGTTGGCAACTTTTTTGTAACGTTTACAGGCACTGAGATAAGTTGGTCTAAAGTTGAAAATAACGAGATTTCATATTCCGCTTTAGTGGTGTCTTATGTAGGGTTGGTTCTGAAAGTTCGAAGGAAATGTAAAACGCAAAAATATATACAAGTTTTTAGAAACCAAGTTCCTATCTATCGAAAAAGACAAACATCATCCAACAGCGTGTTCCGGCAATGAATGGTACTAAAAAGGAGGTAAAAAGAGTGTTAATTAAAAAGTAACGACGGTATGTTATTCGTTTAGGTATCAAACAGTGATGAGTTCACCAAACAGGAAGAAACTGCTGAAAATGAATTATTTACTCCAATAAATTTCAACTCAATCAAAATGGTCAACGACTCGAAAACACCACTTGATGAGAAAATAACAGCAAAGGTGATTAAAAAATAAATTATCCGGAGAAAAAAATTAAATGCATTTCAGAGAAACAAATACGTCAAAGGCTCTACGAGACTGAAACTGATGCAGGAGTTTGATAAGAAACAATTCATAACAAAAAACGAAGCTAACAGAATAAGCAAAAAGCTCAACATTGGATTGAAAGGAAGAGCGGTGAGCAGCGTCGTACTTGTGGTTTTTGATGTATAGATCTCATTTTAGATTTATAAGTTTTATGCAAACGCAAGACAAAATGCTCTGGAACAGTACAAACTTGGGATCACTGCAGAGCTGCCATGTCAGATGACAAAAATTGAAAACTTCTTCAAAAATAGTAGTGATCCCACCGAGGAAGAATGGCAGAGTTGTATAAAAGAAGCAAGAGTAAACACTTACCAGGTTAGTCAGATTCTTTAAATAAACTACCTTGAGTGCAGTTTTCGACTAGGTGTCATGTGTTTTCTGCATATATTTCTCGGTAGAAGTGAAATCGCACTATATCTTGCCTTCAATCTATTTCTTAATACCTTGTAAACCATTTGAAAATTTATCCAAGTTCAACATCATTTCAAAATTTCAGTTGAATGCCATTTCCTTGCACTCTATAATTGGGAATCGAAGCTTGGGAGATCTGTGCCCCTAAGAACTTCAACCCATCGACGTATCCTATTAAGTACACTAGAGAGAAACGACGTAATCGTGGATAATGACAACATGGTCAATGATCTGGTGAGTGGTCTTTTCAAAATAGCAGAATTTGAATGAAAGGTGAAAATGTTTGTCTTTTGGCATATAAGTTCCCGCTCTCCTATTTTTGGTCAATTAATACTAACCGATAGAAAGTATGATGGTAATCAAAAGGGAAAAACCACGTGTAACTAAAAACTTATTTTTTCAAAATACATAAATGATACTCAACGATTTTAAAAATTTTGAAAAAAAATGCATTTCAGGGGCCTGCTGTCAGCTTCGTTCCAGATTCAGGCGCTCCCGATGGTTTCGATCTTGCATGGAATCAAATTTACAACGAAGAACTCAATGCACTAACCTCCTTCAAAGAAGAGTTGTTCATGAGAACCGTATTTTTGTTGATGCACTACTCGGTTGCTCGCTATAACCAAAACCCTGGAAACGATGGAAGAATAGGCTTAATTCCAATTGAATGGTCCACCCGCATACTGATGGATAGTAAATGTGAGGAAAACGATTTGAAGAAGAATACATTTTTCTGGTCCCTTGACATCAACATTTGCCTCCTTCCATTCCACTTTAACGATCACTATATCCTGGTCAAGCTGAACATTTCAGCGAACAAAGCAGATCTGTTTGATTCATTGCCCACAGGAAAAGAAAACCCAAAAGTACCTGGAAAAATCAAGAAGGCCATTTGGGTCATAGCCAACGCTTTGGGAATGAATGAGCCAAGAATCAGAAGACAGTTATGCAACTTCCAAAAAGATTCTCACTCCTGTGGCGTTTTTGCTGTTGCGAATTGCGAAGAAATATGCGGACTGAAAAGGACCAACTTGTCGTCAAACAGAGAACTGAACGAAAAACGGGAAAAATTTAAACAACAAATTTTGGGTGCTCTCAACTCAGGCGAGTATTATATGGATCCGGATGCTGTGTGAAAAAGAGATATGAAGAATTTAACGTAAGTTTTTGTTTTCGGAAGCATGGTTTTTATCAGACTGTTTCAGCTGAAAATGATCAACTTGAAAATTCAAATTTCAGTTTTTGTCACAAAAAAATCGTCATTGATGTGTGTTGCTGCCTATTAGATTCCTCTTCTTTCGCTTTATCCCCTGTTTCCCTTATTCCTTTTTCCCTCTATCACATCACTTGTATTTCTGTTATTTTCCTATGTAATTATTCCCTTCGCAAATACCACTTGCCCGTTGACCCATGTCCTATTATAGATTCCTCGCTTATTCTTGTCATAATTTTCTAAAAGTCACTTTTCTCATGCTTATAATGTTCTATGGGATTATTTCATATTTCAGTCACCCAGTGCTCTGTGTCTAAAATGATTTTCCGGCTTTCAACTGTGTTTTTTATCCCAATTTGCTTTCGAAAAGTGTCATATCTTTTTGCGTTGCCAGTAAAAATAGGTCATTGAAGTTTTTCACAAATATGAAGATAAAATGAATGAAAATTGTCCATCCGAAACCTGAGTTTAATTGGTTGAATACTATATCAAAGATTCTAACGTATTAAACTTTTTCAAAGACCTCATAAGTTGAAGTTGGCTCTACTTCCCTATAAGAAGCTAAATTTAGGGTGGGGATTTTCTGCTTTCAGACTTGGCTGAAAAGCATGATGCTTGTCTACTGGAAAATTCTCAAACAGTTTTGAAAAAAAATTGGATTCATTTATTTAGAAAGTATGGTTTTTTGGCCATATATATATGTAGTTCAAATGGCTATTTGACAATGAGATTTGTGAATTGTAACGGTTGAGAGAGGAAAAAAAAGAAAAAAAGCAATATAATGTAATTATATAACTTTGTGAATTGCTTGTACATTTACAAATTGAAGATTAATTCTGGCACCTCGTTTTGGCCGTAGATAACGTAGTCCGTTTCCATTCGAATGTTCATTTTTTTGGCGTGTTGATAATCCTGATCCTCCGCGATTGCTCGCCGCTTCGAACAGGCCTTTGGACACTTATTGGAACTTCCAGCACCTGTTTTGTTTTTCTTGAGGATATCCGGATTTTTCTGAAATAAGGAATATAAATATTTCTACCATTTAGCAATCAAGAGTAAATCCCTGAAGTCCAAAGAAAATGTACGAACCTGCATAAACTCAGCCAGCAATCGTCTAGCTTCTTCGTTGTAAACTTTCTTGTTTTCGGCTGGCATAGAGGTCCACACTCTGCCCATGTCCTTACTAAACTGTAGGTTATCCTTGATATACCCGTGCTCTTTGATGTGCTCTTGACGCATTTTGTTCACAAACAAAATGAACGAATTCGGAGGCTTCTTGGCGCGATCCTGGAAAAAAGATTTTAAGAGGTATTCAACAAAAAAAAACTACTAGTTTTTAAATTATTTGTTGGATTCCTCATACTTACCGCATCAGCTGGTTTAGCCTTCTCAGAATACTCTTTCTTTTGTTCGTCGGACATTGTCTTCCACAGGTTCGAGCAATAGCCACTGAATGAAGTCGCTTCGGTTGATCGTCCTTTCGCCTTCTCAATTTTTCTTTGCTCTGACATGAAATAAATGAATCCGTTTGAAGACCGCTTTCTTTTCGGTTCTGTTGGTTCTGGTGAGACTTCTTCACGCTTGATTTCCGGTGACAAGACTTGCTGCAGATCACCTACCGCTGATGATTTCTGTTCATTGTTTTCTTCCAATTCAGTCTTTGGCTTCCGAAGAGGTGATGTTTCATTGTTGACGTAATGCGATTGACTCATTTGAACCTTTTTGTAGTATGGCGACTTCTCTTCTTCAGGCATATTTTTCCAAATGATATCCATCATTTGTAATACATCTCCACATAACATCTCTGGATACATTTCCATGTAGTACAGCAGTTCTTTATCTTTCCAAAACTCGAATGCTGTTTCCGGAGTTTTTTCTTCTCTCGGTTTGAGTTTGAAGCGGTTAATGTCTATAGGAGGATAAAAATTCCAATGCGAAGCACCGAAAATATTTGGGTACATTGAAGGAGTTTGCATAGGCGGGTGGACCTGCATTCTGAAATAAAACGGTTTTGAGATATATGGGAAATTTGTTAACGAAAGATGGAAAAGGAAGGTGAAAAAGATGAGAACAGGAAAGCTTTAAGATGGTTAGTTGAAGACTGAAAAAGGAGATAGGTACCCTGAAATCAAAATGCTAGAAGAACGGCAGGACTTAAGAAGAGGGATAATATTGGGGAAAGTTTTGTTCAAAATGTTTTTTTTTTGGTCTTGACAGACGATGGGAATGATTGCTTGGGAAAAGTAGTTCTTCTGGGAACTAACAGAAACAATGGATCTTTAAGTGCTCAACTAGTATGATATATATAAAAAAGGTTCGAATGTACTCTTTGGGAAAAACCTCGGTAAAACAACAAAGCTAATAGTGTGAGCCGGATCTAATACAAAGCACAAATAAGTTGAATTAAGAACAGGGAGTTCAGCAGAAAACATGCGTCTGATACAAAATGAGAAAGAAAGAGAATGACTTGGGAAGGTGAGTTTTATGACCGCCCATAAACGACTAACTATACCATATAACTGACATGATTGTTCTGGGAAGATCACTGAAGTAAAGACGGAAACAATAACAAGTGTACAATAAAAATACACCTGTCAACACCGACTGTATCGTACTAGTAGACTTTCGGATAAGGAAGGACAAGGTGAAGGAGCAATGGCTACCGGTACAGACGGTCAATAGAAAACGTCAATGATGATTGTAAGTGACCCAACGTTATATTAAAAACAAAAAAAAATCGAGATATGTTTTAAGAAAATTAATGTAGACGGTAAAAAGTCAGAAGTTCACTTTACACTACAAAGTGCTAGACTTGTCTATGTGAATGCGGCTGAATTATATTCTAAGGGTAGAGTGGCACCAGATGGATTTATATTCAATATTGTACGCAGCACATTAATCGACGAGAGCATTAATAATCCTGACTATATAAACTCGTGCCCTTTGGATTTTCTGAAAGCGTGAAGAGTGATTACTTTTGCTCATCTCTCTCCTAAGGGGAATTTATTGTAAAATGATATAACAAGTAGTGAATTTCAAAATTTTTAATTTTCACATCAAAGAACTGAAATTTCAAAAAATTTTGTGAGCCACGTGAATCTTTTGAATCTCCCAAAAGATGGACCGTTAAGTTTTTGGGAGCAACGTGTTTTTCAACAAATATAACAGAAATATTAACACTTTCTGAATATTTTTCCCAAAATTAAAACTTTTGAAAATCACTACTTGTTATATCTTATTAGGGTTTTCCACACAGAAGAACTGTCATTTTGAAGTACTGTGACTCAAACTGAAATTTTTCCGATTTGGCATATTAAACCGCGCTAAGGCGCTGAAAATAGAAAAATGATTTCAAAAAACTATGCTCATACATGGCTCCCGGTTTCACAGTTGCTCGATATTTTTTACCCGCCCACTCATATCCATCCCGTTTGTTCCCGGATATCTGATTTTATATATTTATCACATGTTTTCTTTCATTCATCCATGTTTCCCATGTACCCCATAATTAGGTAAAGGGCAGCGTGGGAAAATGTCATGTTTTCCCAACTTTTTTTGCACTGAAGTAGTAGAGCTCCGCTTAAACAAAATAACGCATGTTCTGCTATATTTCAATTTTTCTAATTTTTAAGTAAAAACAGTAAACGAAACTAGTCAATTTCATAACTCAATACTCACAGGTTGTTACTTACCGCAAACGATACCGTATTTACTTTATTAGAAGTCTATCCAAACCGTCAACTGTGAGCTTAATTATCTCCACTTTTGTGAAAGATATTGAAATTCAGTCAATTATTAAACTAAATACGGTATATGAGTTTGTATTTTAAAGCAAAGGTACCAAAGATTATAAAAATCAGTTCGAACACAATTTAACTACTGAAAATCTTGTGATACAATTTCAAGGCCTTTTTTCTGAGTTTTTGGTTAATACACTTTGCTCTACCAGCGAGATTTTTGTATTCTCATCTGAAGTGTTGATCCATCCAATTTTTTTCTAGTTCTTAGAATTTGATAGGCTTAGATGATCTATAAGATTGGATACAGAAGGTTTTTGTTGAATTATTCTACATGTTATTTTTTCTTTATAGTTTCGAACCCGTTAAAAAGGTTGTTCGATTTTCACGACTATTTTCTTAACAGAAATTAATTTCAAGTTTCTGCGATGAAAATTCAAGCAAACATGCTCTTTACCCAACTAGCACTTTGAATTCTAAAAATTTGTCACTTGAGCCAATCATTGAGCTGGTTGTTTGAGTGTTAAATAGAGGTACGACCTTCAACAAAATCACATCATTTCAAATGAGACTTGTCGAAAAAAGGGTCTTTCAAATCTTTCCCCTCTGTCTCCACTAATTGTAGTTTGAGAATTTATGACACAATGTTTTCAGTTGGAGAATTCAACGGTTTGAACAAGGGTTTCTGAGATTACTTCTTCTTTTGAAAAATAGATGATAATACTCTAGAAACTTAATTTTTAGAAACACCTATTCTAGAGCCCATTTTTTCTAATAAAGTTTAAATTCCCATTCTTGTAGTAAAGCGAATTTCATTTTCCAATGGCGCCGTTTTTCTATCAATACCATCCCATTACTCCTCTGAACTCCCGAAATGTTGAATTTTGTTTTCTATCCCTAACAATTATCTTAACTTCTTAGATTATATGTTGAGCGTGCTGTCAAGAGCAACAGAGCGTTACATCATTTAAAATATTTTCTAACAACCTTCCATTCTTGTTGTGGTTTAAGGAAAACATCTTTTCCCATACTATAATTGAAATTGAAGATTTGTCAGCGTGTGTTTACAGAAGAACTTGCTCCGCCTCTTCCGCAACCGCCGCCTTAGGGTTCTGCAACCATGCGGCTCTCATTCTCTTTTTCTCACATTTTGGAGTATCTCAGAAATTTTTCCCAGTAAAGAGGGATTATTTCGATTTTTTACAATTTGACTGTAAATGATTAATTGGAAAGTACACAAGTGTTATTACGAAGAGGTGATTTTGAAAGAAATATTGAGCATATAATTTGAGGAGTACTATAATCTCTCGGCTATTAGAAAAAAAAATTCAGGAGTACAACATTAAAAAAGAAATTGGTACCCCCGAATTATGGATTTCATATCTTCAAATCTCTTCGTTCTCTGCCGTGCCCCACACTGTTGTGCTTTTCAAATTGTCTGCAATCACGCTGAAATTTAAGAAAATGAGAGAGCGCGTTAAAGTAGTGCGGAATCCTCACTAGGCGGTTGCTGTAGTGGAGCGAGTTGTTTGTCAGCACATCTTTCTCTTTCTTTCGAAACTCTCCAAAAAAATAAGGAGACAAAACACCGCATAATTACAATTTTTGTTTGAATAACCCATTGATTTTACAAGAAATCTCTTTCCAGGATCTCAACTTTTTGGGAGTTGCCTTAAGCAGTAATGGCAACGAAATCTCAACAACAAAATAGTGCTGCTTCTGAGTTGTCCCATTGGGAAAGAACAATGGTATCGCAGCCATGGCAAAGGTGATTTTCATCAACAACATAATTTCTATATACTTTTTCAAGAATTCCCAACGATGTCAAACTAATGGAACCTTGTAAAGAAAAGATAATACCACCGATCGATTTGTCTCAATACAAAACATCACCATTCCCGTACATAAACAGCTTTGACACGTTCTTCAAGAATATTACCACTGATAAACAACCGCGTCAATCTGGAGATCTGAATCACTACGTTGGAAAAACTCAGTCAAAGTCCAAATTTGATATTGACTCGAGATCACATTCTCTGAAGAGAAGAAGTTCAGTATCTGTGATTTGGGAATCTTCATCAGTTGAATCGAACAAGCTGATCAACGAACCTCAACAGAAAAATCAAAGCAAACTATGCGATGGAATTGAGAAAAACGTGGTTGTAGATAAATACTATGAAAAAAAGGCAAAGTTATCTACCTCTCGGATAATGGATGTTCCGAAAACAGAAAAAGAGTTTGCTCAACCACTCCCACCACCGAAAAACAGAAAACATGCGAACGAAGGCGACATCCCGTCAAAAACTAAAATGAATAGTGGACATAAAGATCCACCTTCTTCCGAACTCCCCAACGAGCAATTTCTGAGAAAAGTGCAAGAGCAACACCCAGATTTCGATTTTCCTCAAGCTATCGCACAAATCAATTGGGCAGTAAGACAACGAAATAAGGGAATTGCCTTAGAAGATATTTTGCGAAGTATGGTTGGAACTAATGTCTACAATAAAGTGACAAGTCAAGTGATGCCCCTTCTGTCCAAAACTAACGGAATGGCAGAACGGGTCTCAATAGATCCTCCTCCTCTTACTTGCTCAACGAGCGCAAGTATGCCAACCATAAACAGTCAATCACTAATTTGGAAACCAAACTCGCAAAACTCACTGCCTGCTTTTTCTGGAATTCTCCCAGTTCTTCCTGAGAGTACTGTTTCAAACCACCACGTTACCAGTCCAACTTTGCCACTTTTGAGTCCAACCAATCTTCAAAACAATATTCCGGGACAAACTGCTCTTACAATTACTCCATACACGCTCACGAATTCCATCACCGACATCAATCAGAAATGTGACCTATTAAAACTTCTGATTGCAATGAACAGTGCTGCACCAGCCGGAATCCCGATAAATCAGGATGTTGGAAATGGTGGACCGGAAAATATTTTAACTTCGGCGCTATATAATAGGAACGGAGAAACTCAGGATATGGTAAAGCAAAAGCTGAGTTACATGAGGTAGGTTTTTGTTTTGAATGAAATATATCATTCCAGAGCTAACCAATAAGATAGATCATTATTAAAATTTGAATATATTTATTTTGCAGAAGCAAATCCCTGCAACATATTACACTTCCTCAATCTATTCTGACGCCAGATCAGGTCATCAAACCTCTACTAGTTGATATGGTGAGTAAATTTCAGATTGAAACTTGCTCTATACTATGCTTTGTGTGTCTGAAGAATTAATATCAATTTGCAGTTTCCGCCATTTGAAATTTCGCAACCTCCGATCAATACATCTACCACAATGACTCAATTGGGGATGGTGCTAGGAACGGAATGTACAACTACCCAATTACAATAATCTGTAGCTCTCGACTTATATAAGAATCAATAATCTTATTAAAATTTTCATCAAGGTTGTCGGAGACTGGGCCGCGTCTTAAAAAAACTTTGCGAAAAGTGTTTGGGAGCTCTGAAAAAGGGAAAATTTCGGATCGAAAATTGTTGTAATTTTTCTATTCGGTTGCGAAGTACGGGCAATTTTGTGAACTATATAATTTTGAGAAAGAAAATTGCATTTGATTCACTTGAGAAATTTAAAGATGTTTCCAGAACCTTCCAGAATATCATAAAACCGAAACTTTGAAAATGCGTTTCTACTCTCAAATAACTTTCATTTCAACCCAAATTTACAGTCAGAAATTGAAATCCTTTTTTTCCGATTTTTCTTGTTATGTTTCGGTCAAAATGTTAGAAAAACGTTTTTTTTATTCGGAACCCAAATCCGAAAATTTTTTGCGATGTCTTTTCTTGCTGGTCCCTGATTTGGCGTCCTAACGTCTCTGAAAGATTAAAATTGACGAGGGGTTTTTTCCAAGAAAACGAACTGTTTGGTCCAAAGAGAACCCCTTTCGGGGTGGGACACGGCGCGGGACGCGGCCCTATTACCGGCAACCTTGCTTTTAGTTTACTCACTTTTTGACATTACTAAATGCATCAGCTTTTCATAATCTTTCTTAATTTTCCCAATTCCTTTACATCTATTATCTTTTTTCCCCCATCATCCTTTTCCAACTATGTATTGTCAAATTTCCAATCAAAATTGTGGTTACCCTCCAATGAAAATGTGATGAGTATCGTTCTTTAAAAATATGTTGTATTTCCGCCAAATTCATTTTTGGCGACAATTTTTAAGAGAAACGTCGTTGCCAAGAATAAAAAGAGAGATTTTTGTTTTTGTCTTGTCGTGGAAACATGACAACGGTGAAGTAACACTTCTATTATGAAATTCCCGGGGAAAATGTTTTGTTTTCCTAACGACACTCCGATTTTCGCGGGCTTTTTCAAATGAGTTTTTTGAAAGTTTTTTTTGTTCGGAGACTCTTATTGCTTATTTTCTGTGTAGTTTAGAGTAATCTCTGTCCTCAAGGGAAACTTGAGTCTTCTGAAAAACAAATCAGGACACAGAAGTTGTTATTGAGAATGAGCGGTGATCACCAAATAATGCATGACCCAATTTTGAAAAGTCACTATTTTCCGAATTTCAAGCAGTTTTGATTTTTTGGTTTTAAAAACGTGGCCATCAGCAGTGTATCCATTTGAAACGATTTTGAGGAAATTGTGGAAAAGTTTTTCGAAAAATTTCTGATGTGATGACCTAACTTTTTCAAGTTATATTTTCTAGGCCACCTCGTTAGAATGGGCTAGAAATTAGCTAACATACCCAAGTTGCGACTTATTGTTGTTTCGAAGTGGTGGCCTAACTTTTTCAACTTGTATTTTCTATTCAACAATAGTAAAAAAACCTAGAAACGACCTCACACACCCCTTCTGTGTCTGTAGTTTTTCTGCGACTGTAATTTTCTGAGCGCTGGTTGGCCGGCCAGTTTTTGCTTAAGATTTTTCCAGTAGGTGCCCAAAGAGCGCTCAAAAACTGGCAAGAGCAAAATCAAAAGCTGGCTGGGTTCGCCTTGGGTTTGCCTAACAGGTTCTACAAAGCTCATCAAAGCTCGCTCGAAAAGCGACAGCGCTCTGAATTTGGCTAAAAAGCACCATTGTTCGGCCAAAAGGCGGCAAGGCCATACTTTCGCCCAAAATACGATAGTGGCAGCCGACCAGGAGCATGTGAGGCCATTCCTAGGCCACTTTATCATGACGGCCTAAAAAATTCAAGTTGAAAAAGTTAGCCCATCAATTTTTCTTGAAAATATATTTGAAAAATTTTTCTCGATAAAATTTTATCAAAATTTCTGAACATTTTTCTTTTCACAAAGACACTGGACATTGTTCTGGTTGAAAAGTTGAAGCTGGGGAAGAGAAAGCCCGGTGGTCGCGACCAACTACCGTAATCTAAAAATATTTCTATTAAAACATTTGTAACCTTTTTAAAATTCATTCGAATCTCATTGCGTACTTTCCCATCGTTTTTTGCAAAATGAAATAAAAATGATGGTCGTTAGTTGGGAATGACATTTTTAAAAGTGCAAATCTCAAAAGGAGGGGCCGCCGGCCTACCAGGCACACCTTCTATTCATTTATACTTTCTCTTATGTTTCCGCTCTTCCTTTTGACTGTTTCCGTTCTGTGAAAATCTCATTATCTTTCAAACAATCGAATATTTCTAGCTATGACTCGACAAAAATCGATTAAGAATATCAAAAAAGGATTATTCCCCGTTAGAAAGAGCGCCCGAGTGCAAAATCAAAAGAACAGGAACATCCCAAGCGTTAAAGAAATGGCTCAAAAGATCATTAATGAGAAGGCTGAGCTTGATGACAAGGAACAAAATCAACTTGACGCTTCCTCGGATCACGTGGCCCCAAATTCGAAAACCATCCTGACTTGTTCAACGGATATCATCAGAATGATTGGGAAGATGAGCGGTCTAGCAGCCATGTGAGTACAGTAACCTTCAATTTTATTTTGATTTTAAATATCATTTTCAGGTTCAATTTCTCTCTTGCCTGCCAAACTGCATTCTCTGGTCTTCGCGGCTTGTTGAAAGTTCCAAGTCTTGAGATTCGTCAAAACTTCTGGGAGACTCGAATCTCTACTGCAGCCAAGGAGACATTTGTGATAACTGAAAACTATTATGGACAGTTGGAAAGAAATCCAGAGCGTCACTCGCTGGGTGGAATTTCGGTTTTAATTGAGTGAGTTTTTTTTCAAAATAATGACGCAATGTGTTTCTATAAAAAATCAAAATGATTATTCCGAATAATTAACATTTTCGCTTTTGGTTGGGATGAACTGAGATTAGAAGAGCAGACGTGAAAGTATAATTTTCCAGAAACAGCGACGTGTATGGTAATGCTGTGACTACAATCACTTCGGAAGATCATCAGATAACCACCGAAGCGTTTCTCAACCATCTTCACAACACCTTCGGACCCTACGAAGTCACTCGTGTGGAAAACTAATATTTTCCTGAATATGTTTATTATTTCTTTGTTTATTGCTCACCTTTTTTTGTAATTTTTGTCATCCTGTTTTTTTTTGTAACTGGTAAATTGATCTTGGACTAATGTTTGTTTAAAAGAGTCTCCCCAAAAGTACTCGTAAAGACAAATCTATTCTCCCAGCTGAAGATTCCTGGGCAGATGACGTTTTCCATCACTGTGTGTACCACCCTATCGCCGTATGGGAATATGGACTGACTGAGCGACGCACACCAAGCAGACTTGCACCTTCTTTTCCAAGAAGAACGGGCGGTCTGCTGCACTGTGCACATACACACACGTCCTCCTCCTCCCAGTCAATTGAGTCACATTCAAATTTTCCCGCCAAACCATTGGTTATTGATCGGCACTTTCTGCTGACCACACAGTTCTGCCATACAATGGATCTAGAGCAAGAGTAAGAATCTGATTTAGATTGTTTCGAACTTTTTCGACTTTTTTCAGACCTATGTCCAACTACGAATTAGAATTGGCTGCCGAGCTGGACAAATTGACGATTGATCGGAACAAATCGTCAAAACCAAACGATTTCCGATTGATAAAAGTTGTTGGAAGAGGAGGATATGGGAAAGTGAGTATTTTGAATTTTGATAACAACTTTTTGAAATTTTCAATAATCTGCAATTTTCGAAAAAATCTGCTTAGGAACTTTAAAAAGTAGCTTCCCCAAGTGAGATTATTGGAAAATCTCAGAAAACAGAAAATAGAATGAGATAATGATGAAAAGAGTTGGGGCAGCGCAACAGAAACGCTGTTGAGCAAACCTAAAAATTACAAAACGAAAACTACCGTAGCCTGCGAAACAATATCATTCGCCGGATTAGGTTACAGTAGTTTTCGTTCTGAGATAGTTTACAGTAATTTTTGTACTGAGACCGTCGGCCACGGACACTAGCGTTTCTCTTCCACCGCACCGATTTTTATAATATTTTTGCCCGGCAGCGATCGATTGAACTTGCGATTGAAAAAGTATTTAAAGGCGCATTGTCGGTCCTGCCCCAGAAACAGCGGATATTTTTTTGAGTAAATGCATATGCCGTTGATACCGTATTTCGAAATTAGTCAGCGTTGACCCTTCTAACTATTGCTTTTTACTTTACGAGGAAGTTCGAACAAAAAAAAATCCGAGAAAAATAGGAAAGAAACAACAAAATCAAACTGCAGTATCAGAGGCGAATTCAAGAAACTTTTTCTCTTTTCACTACAGGACCGAAGATGCGCGTTCGAATAAACTTACGGCCGCAAAATTCATCGCTGCCGGACAAGAATGATACCAGTATGAAAATGCTCCAATTAAAGTAGATTGTCAGGCTAGGTGTGTCTATTTTTCACTAAATCAAAAATTTTGAAAAACTCTAGTTTCTGTCGAAAAACAAGATTACTTTAGGTGATTCTGGCTCGCAAAAATGTTGACAATAAGATTTATGCTTTAAAAGTCATCAACAAGCCACAAAACGAGTCAAACCTGCAAGCAGTCATTGACGAAATCAAAGTTTTCAAATATGTGAACTCCCCATTCATCTGCCAGATGTTCGACTATTTCGAGGCGAACAGAAAAATCTATTTCGTCCTCGAATTTCTTCCTGGAGGTGATTTGTTCACATTAATGGCAAAAAAGGAGACATTTGATGAAGATGAAACCAGATTCTATCTCGCACAAATTGTCATTGGCTTGGAGTACCTCCATAATAATGATATTATCTATCGTGATCTCAAAGCTGAGAATATCTTGATTGATGAGCATGGAAATCTTAAATTGACGGACTTTGGATTAGCGAAATTCAATTTTCCTATCGGGAGCAAGACACAAACCCGATGTGGAACCGCCGAATGCCAAGCACCAGAAATGATTAAAGGAAGACCATATGGACATGAAATCGATATTTGGGCTATAGGAATCCTTGCAGTCTATATGCTTACAGGAGCCCCGCCGTTCACTGGAGAAACCAAAAAAGAAGTTAGACTCAGTATTGTAAAGACCAAACTCTCTTATCCTGAAGGCTCATCTGAATCCTGCAAGGAAGCTTTGTGTTTGACATTGAAGAGAATCCCAGAGAAAAGAGTCACTCTAGCCGAGTTCAAAAAACTTGACTTCTTTGATTCGATTGATTGGACTTTGATGGAAATGCAGAAACTGAAACCGCCATTCCCACCAGAAATCTCTGACGATGAGGATGTTTCGCAATTCGATACATATTTCACCGATATGACGCCTACTGTCTCCCCGTGCAAGGCTGTTCGAAAACCAACTCAGAAAAAAGATCCATTTGAAGGATTCGATAGCAACGCGGAATCAATTAGTGATGCAGTGGCAAACAATAATTGAATTGGCTAGTTGATGGTTCCTTCGAATTTAGTGTATTTATCAATTTTCAGAAAAGTACTCCAGAAGTTAATCCGATGTCCATCACATGCATTCCAGCATATCTTCTGTTACAAATCATAATATTTTTCATCTGAATACCCACCTCATACTTGTCCTTCCTCAGAACCTTAACAACGTTTTTTTTTAATAATTGACTATGTATTTGCACATTTTTCTTTTTTTGTGACCTAGCACTCTCTTCCTGTCTTTTTCTTTCCTCATATTTTAATAAAAATTGTTTCTGTTTTTTTTTGCAATACAAAGTCTTTCATATACAAGTTAACATTTTGATTAAACTTACAAAAAATGTAAATTATGAAAAAATAAATAGTACTTAAAAATTTTTCACAACAGGGTTCTGATAAAGAACTTCGGTTACGTCAAAAAAAAATCAATGAATTACAAGTTTCCAATTTTTCTTCGAGTAATAAATCGGGGTCTCGTCGTTCAAACCTGGATGGACAGCACGGAAGGCATCAAGCAGCTCGGTGAGTTTAATTCCATTTTTCGCGTTTCTCTGGTTCTCCAAAGTCTGATAAAGATGACCCAACCACTTGTTCTCTGGTGCGGAAATGTATTCGACTGGATTCTTGCGCTGGAATATTCCAAAAAACTGCAAAGAGTTTCAGCAAAAGGAACGACTCACAAAAGTTTTCTTAGTTTCCAAGTATCTCTCGAAGAGAATTCCAAGTGGGTCCTCATTTCTCAATCGGAAAAGAATAAGAACTGCAGAGATGTAATCGTCAACAGGATCGAACGGGTTTCCCGAGAGAATACTGGCCTTTCCGAAATCAATGATGCTCAAATGAAGTTTCTAAAAATTATTTGATTAATGAACATTTCCCAAACGTTGTACGTTTATTAGGTGTGTTTTCTAGGCTATTTACCATGGTAGCCTAGAAAACTCAACATGCTAAAATGAGGTCACTATGTTGAGATGGCCTAGAAAAAACACTAGGTGAATGTCAGGACATATCTAGGCCTTAAAAATTGGCGTCCTCTAAAATTCATCTACCACACGTTAGGCCACCATGTTAGGATGGCCTAGAAATGAGGAGATAAACCGATATGTCTTCTTGTTCATTCCAACACGGTGGCCTAACTTTTCCAACATGAATTTTCTAGGTCACCATGGTAAATAGCCTAAAAACACACCAGATGAATGCTTGAATATTTCTAGGAATTCATGATAACTCACTCCATCTTCGGTTTGTTTGACAAGCACATTGCTGGAATGCAAATCTCTGTGCACAATTTCGTTCTCATGCAGAACATGAATCAGTTTGAAAAGGCGGTAACCAATTGTAGCAACGTTCCAACTATGCATTTTTTCTTTGGCACAACGACGGAGTACAGTCGCGAGTGGCTCACCCTCATGCGACATTGCTAAAAAACTCGGAAACTGGGAGTAATCATTCTGAGACCAATTTACCTATGCACATGTACTCTTTAAAATGGAAAGAACCGAAAAAGCGAGGGAATCCAGGGATGCCAGACATCTTGCCACCGGTCAAAATTTCTCGGTTGTAATCCTTACTAGGCTTTTGGATTTTAATTACATCTTCTCGGAAGAGCGAATACTTGCACCTAGCAGTATAAGTCTGACCGTATGCTCCCAAACCAAGGGGTCTTGAGACATACCACATATTGTCCAACAAGTCACCTCGTCTAACTCCGACGTCATGACTGAAAAGTGAAATTGTTTGAGTTTTACTAGTACTTTGGACACTTACTACATTGCAATAAATCGACGAAATTCCAGTTGAAAATATTTGTAAAAGTCAAAACAGGAAACAATAAACACAGAAACAATTGGGAAAAATCACTGATTTCGATATTTTGACATTCTGAAAGCGTCGATTTCTGAGTCATTCTGTGGAAATATTGTATTTGTTTTTGGTGATTGACCAGATGAATAATACAGACTGATCAGATTTCGAAATGATGAGTCATAATAGATATTCGATAACATCGATGCCCTTCTATTATAGATTTTACAGTGTATTCAGGGCCCCATCAATTGTCTTGGGACCCCTGAACTCGAACAGACTAAAAGAACCAACACTATTGAAAACAATAATGCACCCAGAACAAACTGTAAAAGAATTAAAATATCAGCTCTCTTGTAGTTGATTGAAAATTGGAGTATACATGAACAAGTTTTCCTAGAATACTTGTTTATATATACCCCTCCAAAAATTGAACTTGTGGACCCAGCTCTAGAAATCTCGCGCAGCTAACAGCCGATCTACGGCGACGCAAGCTGCTGTCTGTTCCCAACGCTCGATCCTATTTTTCTTTTAATTTCGAATGATTTGAAATAGATAGTTTCGTTTTGGTTAGATATTTTATTTTTCTTGAAAAATGTATTCTCAGCGACAATATATAATCAATCAATCAGGGATAGAAAAAGTTGTACATAGGGAAAGTGTGAAACACAAAATTACATTAGTTTACAGTAAATTTACAGATCAAATTTGATGAAGGGAGACTTGGATGAAAACTTCTTGGGCTTGCACATTTCAATGAGACACGAACCATTTGTGAGCCATAATTGATTTGATGGATGCTCTTTTGGTGGCCATTGGAGCAAGAATCAAACGAATGAAGTCTGAAGGACAAAGAGTTTTGAAAAATTCCGGTTCGGAGCTTCCTAGTTTGAGAAAACTGTTAAAAAAACTTACTGTACGAATTAAAATCCATCAAACTCCAGGGTCTCTCATCAAGACATGTGATATTGTTAACCCAGTCAGAATACTGAACGCATTTCCTAAAAACTTGCAAATTAAAAATTGTATTTTGAAAGTTTATTATTTTCAAGGAGCCGGTAGAAAAATACCCAGCTCTATCACTCACTTTAGACTTGCTCTGGCCCATGGGCGAGATCCGGTGAGCAGCTCCACCAACACGATGCCAGCCGACCAGACATCCGTCGCTGGTCCGTTCACCAAATCTTTTGAGAAAACCTCTGGCGCTGCATACGGAGGTGTACCTGTGTGTCCTACAACTGGAATGTTCTTCCCATCAGCATCACGATAAGAGGTGGCTAGACCGAAGTCGCAAATTTTGAGATTATCTGAAAATTGATTTTTTAAAAAAGATTTATTTTGTTTTTTGGCAAAACGGGCTGATCTTTTTTTGATTGAAATAAAAACATACCATCTTTATCCAGCAGTAAATTTGTTGGCTTAATGTCCCGATGAGTAATGCCATGGTCGTGGATATACTTTAGTCCGTTTATCAGCTGCCGAAAATAAAACCTAGCAATTGTTGTCGGCAGTCCTTTGTTATCAAAAATACTGGAAATCGGTCCTTCTCTGGCGTATTCCAAAAAGAACTCATAAACTTTGGGTCCTCGATTCATTTCAAATATCTTGATAATATTCTCATGTCCTCCATTGACCATCAAACTTTTGTGAAGTTTGTATTCGTTCTCCAGATCATCTGCTTTGGCTTTGGCGGTCAGTTCCGTCTTCTTTAGCACCACCATATCCTGGGCATCATTGGCTAACAAAACCAGATGAACGGTGCTGTAGCCTCCTTTGCCAATTTGACTGATTATGCTATATTTTGTGGGGTTGGTCGTTTCTTCGCTCATTTGAGAGGACGTACTAGCTACGGACATCTGAAAAAAAACGTTTTTGTGTAATTAAAAATAATAAATTAGAAGAAACGTCTGAGAAAAGTTCAATGCAACGGAACGTGGATATAGGCTTATGTGGATATTTTTATACATTTTTTTCACCGACTCCTTTGAATCGAAATAGGGAAAATTGATGCAGTGATGATCTCCGAAACGTTCAAAAACTCGGAGGATGAAAGTGTTAGAAAATGATGAAGAGAAATGGAAATAACGCATAGTGGCTCATGCAAATCGGTCTCTTGGCAAACCAATGGCCGCATAAAACGAAGGACATATACAGGACAGCACATCAACAGTGGGGCACCTTTCTCCAAAATGCGCCTACCATTCACCACACACCGTGTTAGATTGCGAGGTGGATAAGGGCAGAAAAAAGAGAGAGAGGGAGAAGGGTCGCTCACACAATGAAGGGGCCACAAACCGTTTGTTCGGTTGCTGTGTGTAGCGGGGTCAGATCAGGTCCACACACAGAACTGTTTCCGCAGAATAAAAAGAGGACCAACAGGAAAGAGAGTCCATCTACTATGGATACTTCGGTAAAATAAGGAAGGTTCCGAAAATAGGAAATTCCCTGCAAAGTGATATATCAGATGAAACATTGGAAAATGGAAAACATCCAGTGAGAATTGAAAAGGGCAATTGCTGACTTTCAGAACTACACTGGCCGTTCAACATACACTATATTTTTGCGTTACAGTAATCTGTATCTATTCGAAAACTTCTTGTTTCAAACCAATTCTTATGCAAATGTGCAATGACGATAATACACTGCTGTGTGTATTTCGTGTACGCCGCCTTCATAACGACCTCTTCAAACGCTGCTACACCTCCTTGAAACACTGAAGCAATTATGAATTATCCACTGTAAACCAGAGATCAGCGTGATAATATTATTGAAAATCCGGAAAAAGGAATGAAATGTAAAATCAGGAATAGGGAATGAAGAATTCCGCCCATTTCTGCTGTGCACCGTCACGTGAAAATGCATATTGTAACACCGAAAAAATATCGCTGGTCTCCCTCGCTTGAAGGGCTCATTTCATCTTGGCCGGTTTTCTTTCTCAGAAAAAAGCACCCGAAACAAGTAAAAACGTGGGAAAATGAAGCTGGAAACACCAAGTTTCCTCAAAACACGTGTTTCCCTAAAATCTGGAATGAAGGAATCCAAAAATTTGAAAACTACGATTTCGTCTTTTACGTTTTGCTTCCTGCGCATTCAGCTTCATTAAATTATCTGGAATCATCTCAGTGAATATGAACAAATTCACGTTTTGTTCGAATCAAGTGTGTGAGAAGGATTGAAAAATCTAAAAAAAGTCACAACAATTTTTTCATTCAAAAATGAGGGGAAAAGGAAACTGATGCAAGAGTCTCGTATACAAATTAGTGCTGACAAAAAATATGCGAATGATGAAAATTCGAAAAGTGGGTTTGATTTTTGCTCTCAATACAAAGGAAATCGACAAAAATTAATGAAAATGGAGAGAGGGGAAAATTCTGTAAGCTGCATTGAAAAACGTGCGAAGAAAAAAGGAATTATGATCTGGGGAGGAATGAAAGAGGTTCAATATAAATGTTCGAAATGAACATTGGGATTAACTGATTTCCTATGATCCTCTGAGAGCTCACTTGGGTTTTCCACCCTCTGCAGTCTTGAGAGCTTCAAACTTCTCTTCCAATCTCAAAAGATCTTCTTGGGAAATGACACACCTATTTTCACTGGTAGACTGCACGGATTTGACCGGTCTTGAGATAACTGAAAAATATGAAATAATTGATAATTGAAAAATTCCACAAAAAATTACCTTCATATTTTCCCTTCTTCATTAACGCCTCCTGATAATCGTATTTCTCATGGAATTGTTTTATGGTCCAAAGCATTTCGGGGTATTTCGGATAATCTTTGATGTCTGAGTAAGTTTTGAAAGCTTTGCAGTGCTCAATGAGCACACCAGATGGATCACATTTGAGTCGTTTTCCGGAGAGAAGACGAACTACTGTAAAAATTCATGAAAATGAAAATCAATGAGAGAGAACACTTACTGATTTGTCCTTTTAAGTTTTCGGTAGTTGAAGTTACGAATCCCTGTCGTTGCATGGCTTTTTTGAGTTCTGAGTTAACAAGCTCTTGGAAGTCTCGGACCACTGGAAAAAATGCAATTCGGTTGTAGATTTCTCAATTATAACTAACTTTTAATTTCTTCCTTGTAGTGTTCGTCATAGATTCCATCGTTTTTGAGCATTTGATCCATTTGTTCCCAAGTAGCTGGAAATTCCAAATGAACAAGCTTGTAGCTTCGCTATTATGGCGCTACTAATGATCAGATGCTTTCACTAGTACAGCCAGTAGAATGCAAACTCACGAGTAAAAAAATTATCCAATTCCTCAAAATTTTCTCTGGTGTATTCTTTGACTTTCTTTCCCAGAAACTCTTCTTCCGCGAGATCTACTGAAAATGAACAAGGTTGTATTCTAACACAAAATATTTCTCACCGTAGGGGTCAAATGGGTTTTTGACTTCATGCAACATGGCACCGTACACTGAAATTACATGGTTGGAAACAGACAATGCCATTTTGAAAACTTCAACAGTTTCACTTACTTTTCATAACGATTTTCTGATCATACGTTCTTGGAGGTTGACGACGATCATGTGATTCAATTTTGGCTTTATCCTCAGATAGAATATCATTCATAATGTCGAAAACATCTAGAACAAAATCTTACGGAAAGCATTAAAAATATTTTTTATGTTGACTACTTTTTGATACTTCTCACGGGAACCAAGACGAATTGGCTCAAAGTTAGTAGTTAGGTACTATAGGTTGTGATTTTATTAGAGTGTTTACGGTAACTCACTTCCTTCTGGATTCGCATCCCATCGTTTGACCACAGAAAAGAAGAACCCGTCAGTTTCTGGAAACACCAATTAAAAAAATCCCTAGTGCAGAGTTCACACCGTCATCTGAAGCTGCGTTTTGAGTAATCGCGTGCTCATAACTTGGTTTCGAAGACGATTCTTCAGTGCGTTGGTCAGAAGATGATTTCGGATGATTTGAAGTCTGTTTTGCGGACATATCTGAGCAATTATCTATTCAATTAGAGACTCATATACATTTTTTGATCATGGAGATTTTCACTAAAGAGAAAAAAAATTGAGATAGAATAGAGAATAGAAAACTCTCAATACCAGATTCGATATGTATAATCACAAGAATATCTGCTTCTCATTTTTTTTCCCTTCAATTTTTACTTTCTATGTCACGTGACCAGCAAAATCGGAAGACACAAGAGAAAGTGACGTGTTGCAGGAAGAAACAAAGACGGAGAAGTTCAAGGATAAATTTGCTAGACAAGATTGTGGTATAGATAGGAGGGAAGCCGCAATTACCTCGATATGCATCTCATGCTACTTCTCATGACAAAGTTGTGTGACATGTCCTTTGATGAACTGTACTTCAGATCAGCGATAAAAATTTGATGTGAAAACGAAACATATTAATTCAACTACAGTTTATTCGAGAATTCGTTTTAAACAGTTCCTGATTTAAGTTGCAAATTTACTTTTTGTTTCTGGCTACTGAAAAACTTTAAAGTTTATTTTTGAACATGTAGCATTATAGGAATTACAAATTGCGGTCAAAAGAACTATTATCTCTACTCTAAGCCGCTTTCAGTCAACTGATCGAAAGGACTATAATTTCACTCTCTAAAACGATTAGTCTTTTAACTATTACAGACGAAATAGCGCTTTTTAAATATCAAAACTAGGCTGAAAACGTGAATAATTGAGGCCAGAAAAATTATTAACAATAACTGTACTGTACACAAATATACACATTGGATAGTATGTACTTGCTTCGTAAAAGGTGACTCTCATTTTATTTTTTCAACTGAGAAGATGTATATCATAGAAGGAAAGCTAGTTCTTGATAATTTCAAAAGGTGAAAAGTGAAGGCGGGAAGGAGAGCTACTTTCTCACGCATACACAAACACACACCAGACAAATGAATCAGCGTGACTATGCAACGCGTCAAAAGGGGACCTTCTAATGAGCGTTTGCCCCCGCTTACTTATCTCTTTTCCGCATCTTAATTTCCGATCTGTTTCATAACACCTTTAGAAGTTTCTGTTGCTCCAAGTGAGCTAAAAAGCAAGCGAGAAGATGATTCGTATAGCAGAAAAGATTTAACTAGCAATAGCTCAATTTAGAAAATCAAACTTGAGACCTGAATTTCCCGCGATATAAGTATCAGGTTCCTGTATTAAAAAAAACCAAAAGAATTTCAGCACAACGATTTATCCTTAACAAGCTGTGTTTCGAAAAATGATCGTCTGACAGCGCGGAAATACACTGCTTATTGGGATCTGCTCTTATTTCTTTTTTACGTCGTTAAAAAGGATGTTATCATGTATTTTTGTTTACTTATAGAAATGCCCGCGACACATCAATCCAACATAACCATAAACCATCGTTTTGATAAACAGTTTCACTCCGCATTCTGAATTGCTTCCATTTTCTTCGTGATGTTTAAATCTTCTCCATTTCATATGATCACTTTGAGCAGACAGTTAATCCCTCTGAAAACGAATATCGTAAAAATATTTTGACTAGAATACAAATAATTTCTAAAAAAATGATGATGCCAAGAAATAAATCACAATTTTGACAACAGAGTTAGTTTTGAGGAATGCTTTTATTATGGAAGCAAGAACCAAAGAATCGCAGGATTTCTGATGGGCACACCACTATGTTATCATGTGTAAAATTTAAGAAACATGCTCAGGGCAGCGGGAAAAACTCGAATTACAAGACAATATTCACGAACTAGGCTGTGAAGAAACGTCGAAAAAAACTTTGATAAAACTTGAAAAATTAAGACCATAAACTTTAAAAATCAGGACTAGAAGAAAAACAGGGGAGCGGGCAGGGGAGAATTTTGAACCTGGTGGGACTGGATTTTAAGGAAAAATTACTGCAAACTTGGGCCGGGCTGACACCGGACCTAGAAAATTCAGAAATTCAGTTTCCTTCCCCTACCGGGCCTATCACGAAAATGGAGACACGCGAGATTATGTGATACCGGATGTTTTTTTCCTAATTTTTACCCTATTTCTGGCTTCATAAAAACTTTATTTTCATACTTTGTTTGAATTAACCTATTTTATCTCAAACATTGTTAACGTGCACAGTGGTGCTAATCAAACCTCCCCTGCCAAATTTCTCCTCAATAAATATCGTTGTCTCATTTGCTCCACACCTTTTGTTTTTCTGTGGTCGCTTTCGGTCGACAAAACATTTATCCCTTCCATATTGAGCAAAAATGCGCATTATGTTGAACCTCACCTTCTCTGTGTTTTTTTTAACAGCAACGAAAAAAAGAATATATAATCTCCTGACTTATTCTCACGTTTTTCTCTTTCTTCAAAAAGTAAGTGATTATCAAAAAATAACACATGCCTATTTTACGAACCGAGTCAATTGGCAGTATGTTAGAACATTTCTTTTAATGAATTGTATTGCGTGGTTTACAGATGTCAATATACAAAATCATTAAATTCTCCTTTCCCGTCATTTCGTTTATAATGAACCAATCGTAAAACATAAAATCATTGAAATTTTATGAGAATTAAAAAATCAAAAAATGGTCATGAGGTCACAAAAAGATTACCGTTTTCTGCTAGAGAAAATACCTCAAAAATGCAGAATCGCATTTTTTTGATGGTTTTTTATCTGAAATCTACCAGCTTTTTCCCTTATCTGAAGGCTCACATCATTACATTGTCATTCATCTGTGTATACAGGGTGGCCGATAATGATAGGACGTTTTTTTTTTGAGAGCTCCTTGGCCCGGCGCCAAAGAATAATTTTGAAAACTTTCGAAACTAATAGAAAGTAGGGGCCCTCTATAAGCAGTGATTTATATTATTTGGTATCATTTTGTTTTTTGTTCAGAATTATGAAGACTTCTCCACACCAACCCATGATCGCAACTTTTCTCGAGATGGGGTGCACGTGTTGATGTAACTAGAAGACTTGGAGTTTCTTCATCAGGTGTCCGAAATGTTTTTCAAAATATCCAAAAGGATCAGAGGAACCTACTAAAACAAAAATTAAGACCACCATTAACTTTGAACATTCACCAGACTCGGGGGATCTCAAACGCCCAATTGAGCAAAAAAATGGGTTTTAGTCTTGGTATTGCATGGTCCAGGGTTCAAAAAATCGGAAAATATGATTTAAACACTTGCAGTTACCGTATCTACCGCAAACTATTCCTTTCTTATACATCCGGGGCCTGCAGACGCGAAAAATGCAAAAAACTATTTTCACACCTCCACCTGCGGCGGGTGTCAGACGAGATCTAGGGTGACGTAATGAGTTTCCCTGATGAAACTCTTCCGAACCGTCGGGATCAGGGACAATTGTTACCAAAAGATGACAACGAATCTCCTGAACGTATTTTATCTTCAGATTGCCCTTCCGTAAAAATTTCAAAGTTTGGGATAGAATCACGGCAACCAATACTAATTTTTTGGTTTTTGGTGAAACTCAGCTCGCAGGTCTACCGAATGACAGTTTTGATGCATAATTTGTTGTCTTGGGCCACTCAGCAGTTTGTTGGACATATTTAAAACCATCTGTAAGACTCAGCACCGTCTTGTAGATCGAAATCCACAATTGCGGTCTTAGACGCTCATTTTCCTAGAAAACTCGGCTACGATTGGGTCTAACTTCACGGATTTCAGTCCGATGGACTTTAGTGTATGGAATCTTTTAAAGAACAAGATCTCAGGAATTTCCTACTGTTTTTTGGACTTTCTGTAAAGTCCATTTCAAAAGTTCTAGGGCGACTTTGACGTCAACTACAGTCGCCGCACAGCCAAATTTTTTATCATGCGTTTGGAGGCTTCTGTTAAAGCTCGTGGTTCTAATCATGACTACTTGTTATAAAACTAAAATTCTTATATATTTTGAATATTTTGATAAAGTTATTACAGTTATAAAACGTTTTTCTAAAAAATGGGAGACGTTTAGAAACGTCCTATCATTATTGGTCACACTGTATATAAAATATATAAAGCACAGTTTTTCATGATAATTTAACATTTATTCACCAACCAACGCCAAAAATGTAAGAAATTGGGAAAACGCAAGAATTTGTGGGGAAGGTGAATTGGAGAGGAAATGACTTTGTTTAAATGGGGAGGGCAAGGACAATATAAGCGGAAAATATCAGAATTCTTTGATGCTTCCATTAGTTCTGATCCAATTCCGATGGGCACATTGCCTGCCGCATGGTTGTCTCTGTACAACCTGTAGTGCAGCACATCTCCTGGAAAGCGACAGGTGGACGGATTTCTGAAATCAAGAATTATGTACATTTCTGTTGAAACGTTTCGAAAAGTCCTCTTAGAGAAATCAGACAAATTCTCAACGCACCTTTCGCTCTGCAGACAAATTGGGTTGCGTTTTCCCAATCTCCACAGTATCGAGTTTTGTAGGTCTTGCTGCCGACGGTTGCAGCATCGATCATTCGTTGAAGTTCTAGATCACGATCTGGCTTGGCTATCTGAGCCTTCCAATATCTGTGGAAGGCAGTGTTGTGCGTGTTCCAGTTGTGCTGGTTGAACTCCGGACCACTAATGGAATCAGCCATCACCTCTGATGGAACATTAAGTGCCGAGATGGCCGAGAGCGAGAAGAAGAAAACAAGAAGGGAAAGGTACTTCATATTGACTTTAGTCAATGGACAAGGGTTCTGAGCTCAACTCACCCTTTTATACTCAGTGGGCGGAGCCTATTCCGTGCACTTATGTTTTGTATCTTTCCGTCAGAGAAAAAGGGCGGGGTTTAGAAAGAGCTGTGCGAATAGGTGCCGTCACCACGAGTGCGTTCTGACGTGGAGTTCAACTGACAGCCGAGATGAAATTGAGTTTGATCAAAATGGAAAAGGATATGAGTTATTTTTAAATTATCGAAAAATTGAAGGACGGAAAGATCACGAGGAATATGAAGGCGTAGAGAAATTCATGACGTGATAAGAAAAAAGGTTCAAACACGGAAAATGGAATCCTAAACGAATCTGTGTCGAATATCGAATTTTTGCAGGTTTAAGGAGCTTTGGAAAACACATCCCAGTACTTGGAAAAGATGATATTTTGAAGACATCTGTTTTGAATAGTTTTATTTTTGAAAAAAAGTCCAGATGGAGAACATATCTTTAACTTTTCGAGAAATTTTGAATGACAAAAAATAAACAGCAATTTAATAGTTAACTGACTTCTCAATTTTTATTATTTTCACAATAAATCTGTTGTTCTCGTTGGCTTCCGCCTTGAAAGGAAATAAATTGCGTGAATAAAAAATTAACATGAATACTGGAAAATCGGTTCAGTTGAACAAGTAAAGAAATTGTCAGTGATTCAATTCGTATGATAACTGCTTATGCAACCTTGTACAATTTCCATCAAAGAGCACGGCTCTCGGCAACATTTTTCAAGGACCTTGATCAAGTTTTCCTCTGGAATTTTTATTTTCGAAATTAATTGAAGAAAAATGGATCTACCCGATGTAAATTCACATGATTCCCTGATAATTGTAGCCACAATGCGTTGACATGCCGCAAGGACGGTTGGCGGCTTCGGGAAACTAGGGGCTGTGCCCGTTTCCATGGTTGTTGAAGGATCGTCGGGTCTAGCAACATTCTCACTGCTGTCTGTGTAGACGGGATGGAACACAACGATGGTGTTTTTGGCGAGCGGTGTGCCGTGCTCTTCAGCATTCTCAAGCACTAAGTAAGTCTCAATGATGGCATCGATTTGGCAATTTGCTCGGGTTAGCAAGCAGGAAGAAAAGAACAGAAAGGAAAGGGTTATCATCTCAATGAGATATAAGGGAGAAATAAATGAGAAGGGCTGGGGGATATCCGAGCACCTTATATTGGTATTGGGCGGTTTTTCGTAATTTGTTTTTCGTATTCGATTTTGTCACAATAACACTGGTTTGTTAGTTAGAAAATGTCCATCAGGGGAATTGCAAAACGTGTGTGGGTTTGTTATTCAAAAATAGGTAATGTGAAATATTTTGTTACGTGATTTTATTTAATTTCTGATTATGATTCATTATTCTAAGTGAAATCTTTTACTGAAATCTTTTACTTTAAGAAAATTGCGATTTTTCTTCATATTAAGTTAGAGAAGAACATCACATGATTTCCGCATTCCAATTCAGTATTTTTCTTTCGTTTTTTTTTGTTTTTTTTTCAGTTTTTTTTTCTTTAAAAAAATTGTTTTCGACATCGTATTTTAACGTTCTGTGTAAAACTCAATTTTAGTCTTATTGTCTACAGTTCCAAAATACTCATTTTTTATTCGAAGGACTGAAATTTCATACTATAGTTGAGCCGACATCTAATCGGATTAGACAAATATCAATTTGAGGTAATGTTAAATTTTGGATGATTGAAGACATAAGATAATATATCCCTAAGTCATGATTGTCTGGAAAACTAATTTTTCGAACAAATGTAATTTATTACAAAAAAGGAGAGCTTTTATAACCTCAAAATAACAATGAAAGGCGAAATGACTAGTTAGAAACTGAGTTGGCACTTTTCAATTATCTTCTTTGTTTCGCATTGGTTTTCGCAACAATATTCAGCCATTATCATTATCTCCAGTTCTGAAAACTGTTCATCATTATCAAAAATCATTGGAAATCTTGGAAGGAAACTACAAGACTTACCCGAAATTCCTTCACATGAGATCCTAATTAGCTTGGCAAATCTTTGTTGACGAATATGGAATTTCGCACGGCTCTGATCGTTGGCTCCAACTTTTTCAACTCCAATTAATAATGCTACACAGATAGCAAAAAAGACAAATTTAGATTTAAAAATGGTTATGATTTGCAGTTGAAATGAAAAGAGTTCTTGCTGAGACTCAGGATTCCTTAAAGAGGGCGGTGCCAAGAAAGGAGAACCGTCAGTCTTTCTTTACCTGCGTCTCAATTCCTTTTGCTTTTTCAAAGTATCCGGACACGTCAGCACATGAATGAAAAAATAAGACCAGGATGCGGCTCAAGATTTTACTGACATGTTTTCGTCTGGAAAGAGACGGGTGATTCATGCTTTGATTTCTTTTCTAGACGAAATGGCTTACAATGGTCAAACGTTTGAATAATGGCGTATTTTAGAAAACCTACTTTTTCAGTTCGAGTTTTCCCCCGTCCACAGAGCAATAGAAAGAGAAAAGGAGAATGTCAGATCGAAGTGAAAAGTTTACTCAATTCAAAAATTAGCCTAAATTGCTGACAAACAATAAGGAGGAGGAGGAATACAAAGTAGAAATAACACTGGAAGTGAACATCAAGGGATGGAATGTTTTGATTAGAAGATTACAAAAAATTATCATAATACCGAGAGTATTATTTTAAAAAAATGGTTTGAGCATTGTGTTCAGTGAAGAAGAAGTGTTCGGCATCCATCCTAATCCTTCTTCATTCTGGTGGTGGTCATTCTGTAGATGATTGAGTCTTTCTCTGGGTCGATGGAGGCCATTCCGACCACGATGTAGATCAAGGCCTGGAAAAATATTGTTTTATGAGGAGAAATCCAAACTAAGAAAACCCAAAACAATAGGGTCGAAGACGTATAACAAGAATTTCAACCTACTCACCACAACAAGAATCACAACCAATCCGAAGAAAATGGCAAAGATGGCTGGGTAGTCAGTGGACACTGGAACTGTGACCATGTAAGCCTTGCGAGCATTTTGAATGATGTCTTTGTAGGCGTCAGCGGCGGCATCTCTCTTTTGAATGTTGTGGGAAGATGGAATTTCGCGGTCCTCGGCTGTGTTTTCGGCGGCTCCAGACTCGGCCTCGAAGGTGAGAAGCTCGACGACAGCTTGTCCGCCGTAAGAGTTGTTGATGGCAGAGGTAAGAGCCTCGATGGCGGCCTTGATGTCAGCGACAGCTTCTTGCTTCTGAGCGGCATCAGTGATTCCAACCAGTCCGTTGATGATGACGCTGAAAACAAAAATATCAGACTCTGAACTTTCAAAATCATATTATACCGGAAAACATCAGCGTTGTTGTCCATCTGAACACCGGCGGCCTTAATAGCGGCGGCCAATTGGTAAACAGCCTCCAACTCGCTTCTGAGGGTGCTTCTGGCGGTCTTGATCACGGAAGCGTCGATGGTCTCTTGTTTGGCAGCGAGTGCAAGCTGGGATCCGGTGATTCCTCCAGCGGTCACTTGGACGGATTCACGGTCAGCTCCGAAGATCAAAGCCATATCCTGCTCGAATCCAACAGTCTCGATTCCGTCGCTCTTCGTCGAGTAGACTTTTCCTCCAAGGGTGAAATCATCGGAAGCTCCAACAACCGAGACAACGGCAAGGGCTCTTGGACGGGCAAACAAATCAACAGCGACCGAGAAGCCTGAAAAATTTTCTAATGATCATTTCGATATAATTTTTGATCTATTCATGAGATCGGCTTTTATTTTTAAAACACTCACCATCCACTTGTCTGGCGGAAAGTCCAAGAAGATTCTCATTGAGCGTCGAGATTTGGGTGGTCTTGATGGTGGATCCGGCCTCTGGGAACTTCAACGAAGCTGGAGAAGCCAGAATCTCCAAATTAGAGGCAGTGCATGTGGCGACCAGAGAGGCAAGAAGAAGAACAAATTTCATCCTGCAAGAATTATTGGGGAATAGATAAAAGATAGTTAGCAAAGAAATATGAAGATATAAAACTGTGAAATTGCAACAGTGAAAAAATTTTAACGAGATAAAAATATAAATTGCAAATTATTTTTTTTTGAATTACACATAAATGTTTCAGAGAACTAGTGGTATTTAATTATAAGAGTTCCCGTTCAGGATGATTAGCATCACATGATGTGGATCTAGCAAAAGTTAAAATTAATGTTAAGAGAGAGACCAAAAATGTAAAAGCTGTCTGGTAAGAAAGAAGACCGTAGTGGCCGTATACATTTGACAAAAAACGCGTGGGCAGCTAGTGAAAGTTGCTAAAAAGCACACTCGGGTACGAGAAGTGGAAAAACAGAAAAAAAAACGGAGATTTGAGACGTTATTCAAGAAAAAAGAGGATCAAGAAAACAAAAATGATTATGCTGGCTGAAAAAAACAGGGAAGCTATAAATATAGGGTGAAATTTGAAAAATTAATTTCATTCAAAAAATGATAGTGTCAATTCATCAGAGTTGAGGATCTGGAGCGTGTGCTTTTGTTGTCCAGTGGGTTTGCCTTGACAAGACGTGGGCGATTGACCATCACTTTGACCACTCCGGTTAGATCGGCACTTACGATGACCTGAAATACGTGTTTCGTTATTGGCTATGCAATATTAGGGAGTGTGGAACAGCTAACTGAGCTGCAAGCTCAGAGAACAATAAAAAGTAAAACTAACATGTCCTGGAATAGTCATGTTTCCATTCGAAGTCAACGAATCCGATTGGCCTTGTGCCATATTGAAGTCAATTGAATCCGATTTGGAATGCTTATCTCTCTTATTAAGCATGTTGAAAAAGACCTGAGGTCTGGGTGCGAAAACGGCGACTGGAACAGGCGCATTGTGCGTTCGGACCCTCTCCCACCATGAGTTTCGGTCCTTCCTGACCGATAAGGCTACTGTTGTGTCGCTGGCTCTCCAAATATAGACAAATTTGTCTTCGGATCCACAGATGATATGACGACCGTCTGGAGAGAAGGCAGCTCTGATTTGAGAGTGGTCGTTTTGTACTCCTTTGAATTTGCATGTGAGGGCTTTATCACGAATGTCGTACATGCGGATTCGAGAGTCGTTGGAGGTGACCTGCAAGAATTAAGGGTGTAATTAAGCATTCAACAAGGATGTGCCAAGGCCGGAAGCAACATTTTTATCAGAGTACTTCTGAGACAAGTAGGATACATACACTTCTGGATAGCTGAGCATATTTTCGAATGAACGGACTGAATGGTCCACGGCAAGCTAGCCAAGACCTGAGTGATGGCAACCGTTAAGATTTGGACAGCCTTGACTTCTAGTGACTTTCAGTCGCTTCATCACCCGCTAATATCCATTTTCAGTGAAACTCACTAATAGTTTATCTCCATGCGACGTCAATCCGGTGACCTTGTGTCCTCGCGCATTTTTTCCTCGGGTGGAACGGACATCGACTGCGGTATGGTATTTGAGTTGCTGAAAATCAACTAGGTTAGATGACAAACGCTGGACATTTTGGAGAATTGGACAAGATAAGCTTATATCAAAAGTGACGACTCATCGTTTTGATGATACAAAAAATCGATAAGTACAGAGACCGACCGATCTTGGTCTCTACAATGCAAACGCGCTCTCTCGCGCTCTGTCGCAAAATTGTAGCAAATGGTGGACAGTGATCAAATACTAGTTTTGGTTCTAATTGGTTTTTCATGGTTACTTATTTTTCTATTGAAAAGATAAAAACAAAAGGTAACTCACATCTGCTGTATAGAAAATGCACTTTCCATCATAGGTGCCGACTACCGCGAATTTTCCGCTCTTCACGAACGTCATGGCAGTGATATATTTCTTTTCAGTGTCGTTCCATACAGCAACCTTCTTATCCGGAATATGCCACATGCGAAGTTTACCATCCAGAGATCCTGACAAGAAATATCTATCATCTTTGGGCAGAAAAGCAACACAGGTCACAAAATCAATGTGTTGGAAGCAGCAAAGACACTCATTTCTGGATAGGTGCCACAGCTTGACGGTTCGATCCATTCCAGATGACAAAATGAAATAATTCTTTGACCACGAAACATCGAGAATGTCGGCAGTGTGTCCTTTGAGTATGGCGAATGGTTTTCCACAGAACAATCCATTATTCTCATCCGATGAAGAAGCAGTCGTTGCTTCACTATTCACAACACTATCCATTGAGCTCGGCGGTCGGAACTGCTCCATATTGTCCACTGGATTCATCGGATCCGTGTCAGTGCTCGTGTTAGCCGCATACTTCTCCCTCATCTCCGAGAAGTACTGTAGATGTGATCGAACCACCCAGACACGTAGAATCGAGTCCTGTCCAGCAGTAGCCATGAGCTTTCCACAAATGCTAAATTTGATGCACCAGATAGCTCCGGTGTGCTCATTGTTCAGCTCCTGCTCAACTGTTAAATGCTCGAAGTCGTACGGACCTTTCTTGCTCTTTCTGGGGCGGACTATGTTGCTTGGAACAACTGATGGATGGTGTGGTTCGTCACTTTCTTCTCCCTCGCTTGTTTCTTCACCAATTCCGTGCCGACTGATGGTGCTAGATCTGCAATGAGGGCAATTCACATTCGAATAAGAATTCAGTCCGTTTGCACGTTTTGAAAACGTCGGAAACACTATCTTACCCTGGATGAGCAGCAGTTCGGACGCGATTGAAAGCTCCTCGAAGCATTCCACTGGCATATCGCACCGAATTTCTCGCAAATGACGCAGCTGATCCGATTCCAGTGCGAGACATGGTTCGATTTGAGGTTGTTTCATCGCTGAAAACAAAATGAATGGTTTCCTAGTTTTTAGAATGTGATTTTGTTCTACTGCTATCTCTTCAGTGATTTTGAAACTTACAGGGATCCCAAACTGTGCTGATCCACTTCATGTTGTCCACTCCTTTTCATGCTCAGTCTTCTCTCCACATCCAACGTTATGGGATCGACAGAAGAAGAAAGCTTATCCGACTTCATAGTTCTCAATTCATCATTCGACATGCTTCTCGAGTTCCTGTTGGTCACTGTTTTGGCTGGACTCAAACTGTTGGTAGACTCAAGTGCCGCAAATGACTTAGACGTGCATGGTGGCTTTTCTGAGATTGCTTCTGGAATGTGAACTCCTAGTTTCGAGCCAACTTCCGATGCTGACGATGGAGATGAAGCAGTGGAGTTGGACGCGGAAGGAATTGTCTCCAGAGCAGTTGACTCGACATCCTGGTAGGATGAAAAATTCTGGGACGACTCTACGTCGTTAGTAAGTTGTCGAATGACATCTTCAGCTTCCACGTTTGTCTTTTTTTCATCTTCAGCAACTTCCTCATTCTCGTCAAGTAAAGCGTCGTTGGATGGGAGAGGGCTCGTCTGGAAAATTGATTTTTAAATAAAAGAGTAATCATTCTTGTAACAGAGTTGGTGGTTAGCTCAGTTTCTTATACTTTGGGCATTGTGCCAACACATCTCAGCAAAAGTAGTACTCACCTTCATGACTTTCGCGGACGTAAATGCCCGCTCAAACGAATTTGACTTCCTATGTCCTTTGCAAACCTCTTTATCGTCTGGCGTTGAGTAGTTTCCTTCTGGCGTCGAAATTTTTCCTTCTGGAGTGGAGAAAACAATTTGATCACTGCTCTTAGACGATCCAACAGACACCTCCCGAGTTACACCATTCTTCTTTTTCTCTTCTTCAATCCGATTCTCCACCACGAATGCTATAGGATCGGGAAGCTTCATAGACGGAGTTCTCGGTGGAAGTGGAGGTGGACATCGTGGCATTGGAGCCACAGTGGATGTAGATGGGCCAGCGATTGGAGAGTTGAGGACAGGAGAAGACACTGGTGCTCGCGCTGGAATCGGTGGTGGTATTCTGGCACTAGGTGAGACTCCTGAGCACGTGCTATCTGTTGGGGTCCAAGTTGAGGAACGGTTTCGAGCATCGTAGTAAGGAATATTGACTCTCATTGGAACGATGGTGTTGTTCACGCCGGAGCTGTTGGGACTTATTGGAGAGTTTTCGAAACTTATTTCAGACCGAGGAGCCGCACAAGAGCTGAGTGTGTCCGATGCTTTGACAACCTGAAAATAAGAATTTTACAGAAAAATGTTGAGCGATTGCAAACAAAAGCTACAGGTCTGTTTAGCTAAGAACTTACCGTGGTCTCATTTTTCACGATCATCTTGTGATGCCAAGAGTGCAGACTTGGCGCATCGGACACTGTACTCATCGTTTCGTCGTGCTCATAATCTTGAGATGGAGGTCCGACTAGTTGTCGGTTTCCAAACTCCTTGTTCATCCGGTGTCGGAGAGAAATGAGACGGTCCCGATGCGAAGAGTCGCGAGCCGAAATGCTTGTCGAGGATGATGGATACTGAAAGAGCAATTAAATTGGTTGAAGTTTCAGATATCGTAGGTGTATATTGTGGTTTTCGAATGTCATAAATTTTTCCTAGGTTAGTTGTTAGATTAGTTATTAAGCGCTCCTTACCCTGGAGGATGCCATGGATGGCGTCTGAAAAATCCCACTAGATGGTCTGCTTGATGAGAATGGCGTGGACGACATCAGCGGCTGACGAATCGTCGTTTTCAGTGTAGTGGGAGGTGCAATTTGAAGTTTGTCTGGTCGTTGCGGCGTGCTGGAGTAGTGGTTCTGAAAACGGTTTGTATAGGATAGACAGTCAGTTTTGAACCGACAGTTTTAAATCAAAGTTTTCATGCCAACGGCAATTCTTGTCTATTATTTGAGCTATTTCAGTTACAAGTATAATACTTACCTGAGGCCTTCCAAACACGAAACCACTGGAACTTGGCACATTTTTGCATTCCTCTTCCTCATGATCATTAGGTGCTGCTCGACTTGATCGTCGCATTTTTCAGCATCCTCAATGTTAGTCGACTGGAATAAAATTTGGGCATTTTCCGAAAGAAGATACGAAAACTCCGGCGAATAAATGCGATTGGACGAGTGATAGAGTTGGTAGTGAGGGGATGTGCAAGGATGATAAAGTTCACGTGTAAGAATCAATGAAAATGGCCAAAAACAAAAACCAAAGACCGAAAAATGTTCTCATGAAAGACAGAAAACTAGGAGAACCGGCCGAGAGAGGCCGCTCGTTGTGTCTGTGTCTCTTCAATTCGCACTGTCTTTCACCTTTCTCCCTGCACAAACACAGCGAGCGCGCGCTACGGACGGGGGAGGATGGGAAGGACACATGTCGCCTCTATCGATTTTCACGACTAATTTGTGTGTGTGGGAGAGGAACATAGGTGGGAAAGAAGAGCGATACAGAGGAGATAAGGAACGCCTGGGAAAATGTGAAAACGTAGAGTTTCTTGAAATCCAGACTAACCAATTTTCATACATCCAATTTACCTTCAGCTAGATACAAGTTTAGTAGATTTTTTGGAAAAGTTTTGTTCCGAATTTCAAATTTTTAACAATCACTCAGGATACGAATTTTTGGAAAATTTGTGTCGCTTTGGATCATCATGCGAGTTATAGGCCGTGAGATGATATATGCCTATTTTGCTCCGAGCATCATAATTCGAGAGCCTGCTATTCAAAACTCACTAAAATCCTTTTTATTTCTTTTTTTTTCGAAGTTTGAGGATTATTGGCAGATGGCCTTCAAGCACGGTTTTTGAAAAAAACAGATTGTTAGAACATCCATAACATGTGCACACTTTCGGAAAGTTTCAAGAAACACGATTTGGATTTTGGGTTTTTAGAAATTTTATTCCCATTAGTGGCCAACTAAGGAAGTCGAAGTATAGTCTACATGTACATAAAGCCAGGAAAAAGTTTAAAAAAAACAGCGTTTGAAAAAAATCAACATCATGATTCTATCTGCATTTCGAAATTCTTCAAACAATCCATTTTGCCATGTTTGCATAATATAATGTGAACAAAAAAGTAGATTGTGAAAACATGAAAAGAGACGGTCGCAATGAAGAAGGGGTATGCCGTCGAAAATATCGCGGCAAAAATCGATGTGAAGAATTAGATAAGAAAATATAGGGGAAATGGTTGTTGCCGTTGCCACGTGTTTCGAATTAGAATCGTATAATTGGCTGGATACATAAAAAAGGACACTTTTGTCGATGATGATTGGCTGATGGAGAGTGGAAGAAAAATGTACACAAAATAAAAGTTTGTAGGAAAGGCACTAACAATTACATGTATCGTTAAAGGTTGACACAAAAACATTAAGAAAGTTGGAAACGATTGAAATGGTACGGCGATGGAAAACGATGAAATAAAAAAAGAAGACTATGGATCTACTCGGCGTATATGAAGAATTTAGGTGAAACATCAGTTGATAAAGTATGATCAAGATGAGAAGAGTTTAGATGCGAAACTTGTCGATGACGGCATCAGCAAAGTCGACGGTGGTAGCGTATCTGGAACAGTAAGGATGTTCATGAAAAAATATATGTTTTCCTGAATTATTGGAGTGTTGACACAATTCAATGTCTCTTTTTTTTTCACAATAATATCTATTTATAGTTTGGTCACTGTCACTTTTATAAGGTCTTTTCTGAAATGCCTATTGATAAAATGCCTATTGAAAAGATTAAAACTACCGTAAACACCCTAACAGATCATCTCTTCAAAAATCGCCGACTTTGAGCCCACGTACTTCATTTCCTGTAATAGATATCAAAAAAGTTACAGACCCAATACACAATTTTTTCCACAATACATATTTTGTCAGTTCACTACTTTTTGATTTTCTCACTGTAACCGAAATGAATTGGCTCAAAGTTGAAAGTAAGAGGGTCATTCTGTTAGAGCGCTTCTAAAATGTAGCTTCCAAGTTCGAAAGTATGCACAACGCTTTGAGGGCAAAGTCTCAAAATCACATCTCACTCACCCTCCCAAGTCACGGGTGCGGACTTTTCCCTCCTTCACAACATCAGCGACTGCAGTACGGAGCGAGTTGCCCCAGGCGTCCAAGTGGAGGTGGTTTAGCATGTTAGCGGCGCAGAGGATCATAGCAGTTGGGTTGGCGATGGAACGTCCCATAGCCTCTTGGAAGGAGTGACGACTTCCTGGTTCGAAAATCACAAAGTCACGTCCCACGGATTGACCTGGCACGACTCCGGCACCTCCAACCAAACTGAAAATGTTGATTTTTCACAATTTGTTAAACGCTATCTGATACTGCCCAAAGTAAGAATGATATCATAAACTTCTATGACATCAGAAAGTTTAACGTCAAAGCTACGAGGATACTTTGAGATTTTCCGTGTATTTTACTCTAGCCAGGAGGAAACTCTGACAGTACGGTTCTGAGTCCCAGCTTACCCGGCCGCAAGGTTATCAATGATATTTCCGTAAAGATTTGGCATGACCATCACATCGAATTGCTCTGGCTTAGACACCAACTGCATGCAAGTGTTGTCAATAATCATTGACTCGAACTGGATCTTAGGATACTGCTTCGCAACGGCTTCACAAGTTCTCAGGAAGAGACCATCTCCTAATTTCATAATGTTGGCTTTGTGGACAGCGGTGACCTGAAAAACAACAGTTTGATGATTGGTTGTTTGGTACAGAAATGATGTGTGATCATCTAAATCACGTTTTGAACCAAAAGATAGGGACTACCTCGCATGAAAAAATAAAAACATTATTCTTCATACTTTAATAATTTCTCGTTTCCCCACATCACATTCATTTTCAATCTCCTTTCTTGCTCCAATTGCTCACCTTCTTTCTTCCAGTCTTCGTGGCGTAGTCAAAGGCAAACTTGGCGATACGTTCAGCCTTGACACGAGTCGAGATCTTGAGACACTCAATGACTCCTGGGACAAGTTGGTGCTCCAAGCTGGAGTACTCTCCCTCAGTCTGCTCACGAACGATGACGAAATCCAGCTGCTTTCCATGTCTGGTCTTGATACCGTCGAGAGTCTGAAAATAGGTTCGTTTGTGATCAGCTTTTTTATTCTGCTCAGTTTATTAGAATCAAGATTGGCTTAGTTTGTTGATGAAAGGAAAGTAATAAGACGCGAGCATGAAAAAATTATTGGATTCAGGCAGGGGAGAGCGTAATAGAAGTAAGAGCCCTGATTTATTCAGTTTTCCTTTCAAGCTAAAGAATTGGCATTCCTTATATTCAAGTCAAAAATTTACAGTAATGGAATGGTCAGTTCCTTCTTTTTCAAAGATTTACGCAAGCTTCACATTGGGGTATTTTTGTTGCTAACTGAGTGTTTTCTTATGAATTAGAAAAACTTTTTGCTTATTTTTTACAACTGAATGAAAACTAGAAAGCTAGAGTTTCCGTTTTTTTAGTAATCTTTTGAAGAAAGTCTTGATGCGACGTCTTGTCGGATTCTCATCCGGTTCTTCTTCGAATAATCCTTTAAAGTCTCTAAATATTCGTAAATTGAATATTCAGCCGTAACTAATGGAAATGCGCGCTTTTGCACTGGCGCCAAAATATAGGCCGGAAATCTGTGAATTTGTTTTCTGGCCCCGTTTTTCATCCATTCTCTCATATTAAGTGAGTTCACGGCTCGCGCTTACCTTAATATGAACAACATTGGCGAACAAGTCAAGCGACCGTCTCAATCTCATATTGAGTCCTTGAAGCTCTCCTTCGGTGTGAAGAACGGCTGATTCTTCAATGGCTCCCTTGAGAGCAACATTGTTGTTGCGAGCAATGGACTCGACAGCGTTCTCAATAGACGAAGAGCGAGTGTAGTGGACTTCGGAGAGAAAGATCTCTGCAAGTAGGAAAATATTAGTTTTTGAACATTTATTGCGTGTTTTATTTTCTCCCGTAATATAATTTGTGTAGTGCCATCTGTAGAAGTCAGTAAATTTCTTAATTCTCTTTCAAATTCAATCTCATATTCTCATATTTCCTCTTTTCTTGTTTGCTGTTCTTCTATTTTTTTTTCATAATACCTTACCTTCGAATTCAATTGGGATACCGGTTTGCTTGACGATGTCCTGAACGGTATAGATGAGTTCTGGTCCTACTCCATCTCCTGGGATGATAGTGACTTTTAGCTTCTGGTTGAGCTCGGTAGGTGGACGTGGAGCGGTGATAGCGTACTGACGAGTCGAGACGGTGTTAGCAGCAGCCAGCGTCTGCGGAGCCATACGGCTCAACGAGCTGACCGTACGGGAGAGCATACTGAAATTCGAATTTTCTGTTAACATAGCTTGGAAAAGGAACCGACGCGAGATCTCGGCAGAAAATAAAGAGACGAAATCAATACAACTGTCTAACCAAACGTTTTTACCCGTCTAGACCCGTACGAAGAATAGAGGAATAGGAGGTGAGCAGAATAATTGTTATCGGAGATTGTTATCTATATTGTGGTGGTTTGCCAGTAAGAACTGGGGTAAATGGCATGGGAATACGGGTTCTTTGAGATATTGGATTATCCGCTCTCCAAACAATATTCAGCTAATATCATAGTATTTTTCCTTTTACTAAGTTAATTTTACAGTCTACAATAACAAAAAATATAAGGAGATTATACAGCTTAATAACTAGAAATTTATTACATTTATAAATTGTCACGTTTTCTTCTAAAAAATCTATAACTGAACAAAAAGTGAGCGAAAAAAAACCAAATTATCCACGAAAAAATAAACAAAATCACAATATGCGTCATAGTACGGGCTGAATGCACGAGTATCGCGTCAACCGTCTCTTTGCGCGCATCGTGAAACAAAGGGTGCTCTCCTGTGGAGGGAGAAGAAAATCAGGGAGGACACAGGGGTAGTCAAGAGCGAGAGAGGCCAAGGGTAAGGTTATTTTGACCGACAAACTCTGGTGATGGGTGGCGAGGAAGAAGAAGGACAGGGGAAGAAAAGAAAAAGAACAGGTTGTGGAGATGTAGAAGAGTTCTGAATATAATGAAAAAAGTAAACATTATTTCTCGAAACTTGAAAGCAGTACTAAATTTTCTGAAACAACTCATCTGAATATCTGAAACGGTTTTTCAGGAGTTTTAAAAATAACATAGGTACACTTTACATCGAGTATTCTCTTGAGAATTATTTTATTTTTTGCCTGAACTTTTTCTCAGTGTCTCAATGTTCAAAAAAATACACAACTTGCGTTTTTCCTCTAAACATTGTTTGTCGCAAAAAAAAAGACAACCAGAATTTTGTTTGTGCTCAGTGAGCAGTTGCTTTGGCTTATAAAATAAGTGTGGTTTCATAAATTGGACTAATAATTATTATTATATGATGTGAGGAAACGGTTGCTATCTTTTTCTTTGCGTTTTAGATATTTCCTCTCTTTCTGAGTTATTCTCTTTGTTTTATTTTGAACAATGTTGTTCGAACGATTGAAAGTCCAAAAAAAATCAGTCCTTTTAATGGTTTTGGCTCTAGTTTCAAAGAAACTTTGGAATATTTATGAAGATGAGATAGAAATGGAGGATGCAAGCGCACAGAAATGTTTGTGAAGGTCACAAAAAGTGTAATGATAGGTGAATGAGAAGAGCGCCGAGAGATATTCTATCCGCATTTGTTCGGGAGCGTAGACAATGACAATTTTTCATTATTCAACACTTGTTCTATCTCTTTATCTTTCTCTCTCTCTCTCTCTCTCTTTCTCTTCCTATATTGTGTTGTTTCTACTTTTCGAACCTGTAGGTTTTCTTATTTTGTGTGCCGGTTGAGGTTTCATGAGAAAAATTGATTGAAAAGTAATAGATTTTTACCCAATGATCACAAATACCAAAAATGCGGGATGAGAAATGAGCTTCAAGGACGGGAGTCTTGTGATTTTTTGAAGTTTTTTTTTTTCAAAGATACTGTATGCATTTTGACGTCACGGTGTACAGTTATAAGATACCAGATGTCGCGTGGCTACAGATTGGGGCACCGTAGCTCCGCTGATAGCAACGTGGCACCTCCGACTATAGAAATTTTGAGAAATCAATATCATCATCTCAAATATAGTTAATCCTTGTTTGTCAACTGTACAGCAATTCAACCCTTTTATAATTACGTCCTTTCATGTGTATTCTATTTGGGTCATTTCGTTTCATATTGGACGCCGTCTCTCACCTTCTCTCTTCTTTTCCTATTCTCCTGAATGTGTATTTCTTTTCATCTCTATTTCTTGTTATTGATTCTTTTCCAACTCATACTTAGCTCAACAATCTTAATTTCTTATTTTCAAAACTTAATTTATACAGAAAAAATAACACACTGTATGATTCTATTTTCGCTCCCAAGGCAAGTGCACTAAAGTAGAATTTTTTTTGCATTCTCTCAAGTTTTTCTATTTATAGAAGACGTCGAGTTTGTGTTAGTTTTGTTCTCTACTTAGAAAACTCATCAAGAATTTCCGCTTTCTTGGCTCTTCACTCTTTGTTTTTTTCTCCTTTTTTCTATTTTAAATGTTGTCCAAAAGTCCTCTCAACTTCTTCCGTGTTAGTTTTTCTGTGCTTCAGATGATCCAGCAACTTTTTTCGATCAGTCGAAACTGATTTTATTTTTTCAAACTCTGGCGTGAATCCCTTGAATCAAGTTTTCTTTTCAGAAAATGGGAATCTGTTCAAAACAAAACCTTTTTATTGCGATGACAGTTATTTGGGTGGCTTCCCTAGTATTCGATGTTCACCGGCAGCCTCGCCTTGGGCATAATTGGTACGTCTACAAGTTGGTCATGTTGACGAATTTGAATTTTGTAAGTATTACATTGAAAACTCCTACAAACTATTCCCTTTAAGGTACTTGACGTGTTCTATTCTGTGTTGGTGGCAGCTGCATCAAAGAGCAGAGTATTAAGAAATATCGCTGATTTCATGTATTACACTTCAGTATTCCCCGTTGGAGTGGTGAGCGTCTTTTATTCTGTTTTTGATAAAACGAAAATTTGATTTTCAGGTCACTTGTGGCTTGTTCTGGGGACTCTATTTCATTGATCCAGCCTTGGTGATGCCTGAATGGATTGCCAAGCTTATTCCAGCTTGGCTGAATCACATCACTCACACCTATCCAATCATTTACATTTTATTGGATAGTTATTTTCATAAAAGGTGAACTGCGATTAGAATTTAAAGGTTATCGATTTTTTTTTAATTTCCAGAAATGCGCCAGGAACTATCACATGTTGGATTGTCTCCGCTACATTGGTTTTCATCTACTTCATGATGTAAGTAAATTTTTTCCTGCCAAATAGAAACCATACAATATTCCAGAATTGGCTATGTGCGCTTCTATGATGGATACTGGTTGTATCCAATACTCCAGTTGTTTTCCATTCAACATTTTGTCCTCTCCTACTTTTTGGCGTTCTTCGGATTTTTCTTGTTGACAAAAGCTGCGTATTTTCTCAATAAAATGATGCGTAAGTTTTCAATTGAATATGTTTGGGAATTTGGAAAAACTTGCTAGTTTCAGATCGAACACGCTATCCAACAACCACTGGAGGAGCGAGAAAAATGAACAAAAAACGGCATTAATCCAAATTTAATTTACCTTTGTTTTTTGTCTCCCCGATGATCCTTCGAATTAAATTATTTCTGCTCTTGTTTTGCCACTCACTTTTTGCCCGTCTTTGATTTCTCAGAAACTTTTTTGCATAACTTTTTTTAAAAATGAACCTTGCATAAACTTAATGAAGAAAAAACTTGGGAACGAAAAAGAGTTTGATAGATACAAATATGGGATTAAATTTTTTTGAAAAATTTTTTCGTATTATGATGAACATTTTGCTAGTTGACTATCCTCATAAAATCTTTTACTGGAACCAAAAAAAAAAGGGAAAATAACTTCGAATTCAGTTGGAATAAGTGAACCAAATATTGTGATATTTTAGGATAAACACTTCGACACATTTGGTTACGCCGCGGTCGGTCGTGACTCATGCCGTGTGTAGCTTACTGTAGACCAGTCAGTCCGTTCTTACCAAAATACGCACAGCAATACAGAAACCTAGGCCGCTATGCCGTCGTATGCTACCTATCCCAAAAGTTTCCTTCATCTCTCATTGCATTTTTCCCAGATGTCACTTCCAGAGATCGATTTCAACTTTTTCTTTATCTTCAAGTTGTTCAGCTGACCTAGTTTTGAGATTTTATGAAAAACGGATTATCTGGAACAAAAGACTACAGTATGCTGTCTTTCGAAAAATAAACTCAAAAATAAATTTTTATCTTCATTCAAAATATTATTCATATGTTATTCTCATTTCTTCCAGATTATTCCTTCTCATTCATCACAATCGTTACATATCCATAAAAATGTGATTTCACAAAAAAAAAACGAATGGCGTGACATTTGAAGCACTATCAAACAATACGGTGTCTCCCTGTGTCGGAAGGTGTTGGAGGAGAAGGTGTCTAATGAAGTGGGTGTTCTCAAGAGGATTACACCACGTTAGCTCAAGAATCCTTTCCGTTTTGCCGCCAGTGGTTCGCAAATAGTGTTCCCTAAGGGGACCACCCACTTGGCCAGAGTTTACGCAATTAGACATTTCCTTTTATGTTTTTTGGAGAAATCTACAAGACTTGAACAAATAATGTGAGATTTTGAAAAAAAAAGAGAAATCTTTATTACTAGATATTTTGAAAGCGGAATAAACGTATCACAAAAAAAAACATATGGGAATATATAGGACTTATGACAAATGAACCAAAATAAAAATGGTATGTGGGGAGATTCAAGTAAGATCTTCATGGTTACCCAAGTTTAAGGTGGAGATCAAATCGGGAACAACGCTGGACGACTGAGTTTTTTTTTGTTAAAGTTGAGATCCGCTGCAATATGCGGCGTTGTTTGGAGTGTAATCGCTACCGTATTGAGAATAGTAGAAGTTTGGTTGGAAGTAGTTGTTGTATGGGTATGGGTATTGGGCAGCTGCAGTGTAGGAGGTCCAAGCTGAAAAAATATAGTTATTGTCATAACTGTATTTTTTGTTCAAATGAATTTTGATCTTCTTGGAAAAATTTCACATATCTGGCGACCCTAATATACCGTAAACACTCTAATGGAATGCCACCCGGACTGTCTACTTTGAACTTATATATCTCACTTTTTTCAACAGATATCAAAAAACTGTCAACTAATAAAATGTTTATCATGATATCAGCAACATTTTAGTTGTTGACCACTTTTTGATATCTCTCACAGAAAATGAGATGCATGGGCTCAAATTTGACGACTCGGGTGGCGTTCTATTAGATCGTTTACGGTAAATGTTACTGAAACTGCTTCTGAACTACTGAAATATTCATATTCTGTATTCTCTCCGAGCATTGTTTCTGTAAGTAAGTTATGGAACGCAACATATGTCAAAAAGAGCAATGAATGACATGACATCTCATCATCATTTGCCTAACAATGAAAATAATACAATAGAATTGGATACTTAACTGGGAACATTTCTCCAGGGGAAATTTTAGAGTGGGAAATTAGGAACTTCCTTAAAAACCAACATAACACTATTTTGAGACAAGATCTCACACTCTTCAAAACATTTTAAGAACGGTTTGAAGAGCTCATAATATCTCTATGACGATAATTACCTGCTGCTTGTGCCTGTGGAAGAAGTGCCTGAGCTGGATCATATTTGACTTCTGGGGTTTTCACACTATCCTCTAATTCACTCTTTGGAACCTGTGCCAACTGCTGTTGTTGCTGCTGCAGTTGGTTCAGCACCAGCTGATTGGCCTGCAAGACGTGTCAAATTAGATCACTTCCGGTTTCCGGATACAAAAACAAATATCTAGAACGGTCAACCGGTTGTTACCTCGTATTTAGTAGCAGTGTGTGCGTCGAATTCCGGTGTGCCCGGAATATGAATGCCCATCGGTTTGACTTCCGGTTTTGCGTCACTGTGTGGTGAGCCTCCGTTGGACGAACTGCAAGAAAACAATTTCCAAAAGTCGGTCCTACGGGGGCTATACCGTGATGAGACACTGTCGTGTGGGCCGTCCAGCTTTTTGTTGTTTCGTTCCTTAGCTCGACGATTTTTGAACCAGACCTGGAAGAAAAGAATTGATGTGATACGTCGCCAACGAGGGTTTCTTACTGTAATTACTTGAACACGTCCGTCTGGTAAGTTGATCGATTTTGCTAGTGCTTCTCGTTTGGTTACATCTGGATACTGCGTCTCGGAGAACACTTTTTCGAGCTGGTCCAATTGAAGACGACTGAACGACGTACGTTCACGACGTGGGGGCCGGCGGCCATCAGAACTAAACGATTACATATTTTTCTATGCGATTGTTTTTAAAAGTTAAAAATTGTTGGCTCTACATAACATTGGTTAGGCCCTTCTGGTGCTGTTGGCAGATTTGATTAATGAATAAAAAATGTTTGCTTAGAGATAGCCTACAGGTAAACCCCTGAATTCTCGGCAGCATATCTTAGCATATAGTTTAGGGATGTGATATAAGACAAAATTTCAAGAAATATATCGTGAAAAATCTTGATAGTTTTCAGTTCGCAGGCAGCTTTGTTGCCAAAAAACTGACGAAGTAAATTTCTAGAGAAATAGAAAAATGATAGAAAATCAGTAAAAAGGGAACTAAAGGCTAAGGAAAACTAGCTTACCAATGTCTGACTAAAAATGAATCTGAATATTTACAGCTTCTGTGGATAGTATTCGCTTCCGGTTTTTAAGCTTGTATTAGCCGCAGTGGGATCCGTTTTCGAGTCTTAGCGTAATCTCAAAATCCACCCTAATCTTGATCTGCTAACCCCCCAGTTGATTTTGTTTTGTTTATAAATCTGTGTTTGATCCTCCCCTGATTAGCGCTATAACTAACCTGTGATTAGGCGCCACGGTTGCAGTTGGTGGTGGCGTCGATGTGGAGAGTGTCGGACTGATCGTAGTGGTAGACGTGGTGGTAGTGGCGAAGAACTGGGGATATGCGGTGTATCCGAGCGTCGGGAAGGTGGCGTAGAAGTTGGCTGCCATTGTGCGTGGGGGCAGGAAGTGCTCAGTGGATCCACAAAAGTGGGCGTGGTGGCCGAGTCGTGGATGGATGAGAGTAGGACACTCTGAAAAGAAAAAGAAGCCGGTGTGAGCAGATGATGGTGGAGAAGGTGAATAACAAGAAGAAGCTGATGAAAAGATTTTCTTTCTGAAAAGATGCGACTAATGGATTCTGCGGTCTGGAGACAAAAGAAATGAGCACAAAAGCGCGAGAGTTACCGGTAATCTCCATAGCATTTTCATTGGATTATCTTAATCTCCCATTTACCAGGTTCTTCTCATGACACTTGGTCTCTTTTAGACTACCTTTAGCGCCCATTAGTTACACAGAAAGCTTTTCAAAATTGTGGAGAGTGCAGTGTTAGAATAGAAATATTGATGACGTCGCAAAAAAGAGAGAAGAAGCCATGCAGGACTACGGTAGAAGAACTGATGATGAAATATAGATAATTAGCACGGTTGTATGGCTTCTTATAGAAGGACTCCATTTAATGTCACTGGGAGAAGGAAAACACAAAAAGATGGTTTGAACAAGTAAGTTTAGAATATCGAAAAAAAAAACTGGAACATCACAAAAAAAGTTTCAGAATCAATCAGAAATAAGCAAGAACAAAAAATCAAGAGCTTTTTAATGACACCTTACCAACGCGTAAATCAACAAATAGTGCAGCAACTGGTTGCGTGAACATACAGTACCATCTGCCTTCTCATTCTCCTCCCCAAAAAAGGGCGGACCATATTTCTAGAGGTAGAGAGAAGAGGGTCCATGGGAAAAAAGTGGGTGAGAACACGTTAAGAAAGAGACCGCGCCTCTGGGAACCTTTTAAAGCAAACATTAGAAAAGATACCGATACCTAAGAGATTGTTAAGTAGAGGTAGTATTTTTGTGTGGAAGTTTTGCAAATTTGCAAATGCTAAAAAATTAATTCATTTTTTCAACTAATTAAAACTTAGTGAATCGAATGCGTTCGAAAAACTTTATCTTCCAAAATATAATTTCTGATATGTTGAAAATTATAAAGTGATGTTCTTAATACTAATACCTGGGATCATCCGCCTGGATCATCCTTATCTTGTAAGCTTATCCTATGATCTCGTGACTAAAAGTTACTGGAACTCTCAAATTTTGAAGTTGAACAGAACACGATTAACTTATCTTCACATGAAACGATTTCTAGTAAGTGTTTCAGAAGTTCTTCGCTTTACGTTTGCATTTGTCGTGACATAGTTTTCAAATTTAAAATATTTGGTTTCGGAAGTCAGAATCTGTCTGTCCTACCCAATCACTGGATCGAACGAATTTGGAACGAAAACATTTTTTCCCAACATTGTTTCATGGAATGGTTCCTTCCTATCCATTCTTTATGGATATCCCTCTGCACCTGCAGTTGATTGACTACTCCATTGTCTACAGTACCACAACTTGACAACTGTGTCGGCGGCGCGAATCAACAAGTAGACTAAATCCTTGCCCGGCTATAAAACAAAGACATGTTGATACCAGCATGTCAAGAAACAACTAAAACCGTAATCCCTAGGATTTCAGAGCAGCTGCTTATTGCATCCTCTTTATAGCCTCGTTTTGAGTGATCACCTCAAGGGTAGGGAATTCCTTTGCGGGGAGGGAAACTCGAGTGGGTTAGGTAATACGGTCAGAAAAAAAAATGAAAGGGTGGAATGGGATAAGTACGTGTTGCCAAAGGAATTCCACTAATGGAAATAAATTATACTTAACATCAATCAAAACGTTTAAGGAGGTTTTTCTTCAAGAATTTGTGGCATTTAGCTTGAAATATAATCGAAACTTCTTAAGTGAGAAAGTTCTGATCATGATGAGAAATAATTTTTGATTGACATCTTGCTTGTAACAAGCTACCATTTCTCAAAAAGAGTGTTTGCTCCACCCTCTTGTAATCCTCCCATTCTTCGCTTTCTAATGACCTTTATCTCTTTCATTTTTTTTTCCGTGTTTCTGATAATCCCAATCACCCTCTCTTTATTACTATTCATCTATCGAAAAAAGTCTGGATAAAAAACACTCAACTTTGGTGAGGTCACAAATTAATCTATGGCTTCTCATATGCATTGCCATAAATATGGTCAGTACATAGTGTTAAGGGCGAAATAAAGAAAGAAACCATAAAGGAGCAAAGACATGGAATGCACGTTTTAGAAGAAATTAGATTGCTGAGGTCATTAAGATTTTTATATCACTTTGAGGGATTTTAGAAATCAAGAAATCGTGTTTAACAGACATTTTGAAAAACCTAAATCGGCTACCGTTACACTCAAGATGTATCGAAAACCACAAAATCAACTTTTCGGTCAAGAATGTGTTAATCGAAAGGCATAATTACGCAACTTGTTACAAAATCCTCCTTCTCTTCCACCTAACCAAACAACGTCTAATGTAACTGTATGCATGATCAAGTTGACACGTTGTGCAACTAATTCTGGGTTATGATGACAAGATCGTGAATGGGGGAAAGCAGACATACAGAAGGGATTTGAATTTAGAGCAAAAATAATGCAACGAGGGAAATTTTTGCGAATTGATTCTGATACGTGATGGGTCGGGAGTGTTTCAACAATTTTTTTTTGTTGTTTACTATGATTTTTTGAAATTGTATCAATCATGTTTCCTTAAAATATCTGGAAGTTAAAAAAAATTTCTCTGTTCTTACTGAAAAAATTGCAACAACCTGCTCAAAAAACCTTTACAAATGATGTTTTGTGCTATTGCTGCTTTCTGGGCGAACGTCAAAGTGCATGTCTCCCCTATAATCCTAAAATCGTTTTCCTTTCATTAACGCCGCATCATTTTCTATTGCAAAAGAAAATATGAGGAGTAGATAAAATCTATTATGTAATAAAGGAAGCCCGGTGTGGACACGTTTGTGAAGCAGACAATTTGAGATGAGAAGAAAAGTGAGAATTTACTAATGTTCAATTTGAATTAAAGATGGGGGGACATGAAAAATGTTCTCGAAATTTCGTTTAAATATGCCTCTCGAGGAGTTGAACGTGTGGGACGAGGATTGAGGGTGCGGCGCCGCTACCGACTGAGCTACACGGGCAAAGGGAAAGCGGTCACCCGATTGCATACATAAAGGCGAGGACGACAGCTGTACGCAGAGTGACATTAAGCGTTGTACACCGTCACGGTAGAATGCATACTCTGGCCCCAAAAATCCCCCGTAAAATCTCCTGTCCCCCCACCTTTAACACAAACAACTACATTAATTTAGCATAAAATATTGCATATTGTAAGTTAACGTTTTTCAGTTATTTGCGAGAAACTTCAGTGTTAAGTCGGATTTCAAAAATGCCTGAATCCAAAGTACAAAGGAAATATTATGAAAATAAAAATAAAAATGAAAACGGATATTGATTGCTATATATTCTTTTGGCATATACAGAAAGGTGTACACACTTCACCTCTAAAAATTCTGAATTTCTACTCTCACTCTAAACAAAAAGAAAAGTACAATTCGGTGTACGAAGCACCTCCAAACACATGATTCATCCGTTTTGTACTTTAAAAAATGTAAGCTATCTTTTCTGAATTCCTACAGGTATCTTAATTAGAAAGAACAACTGCTTCAAGCTCTGAGTCGTCGAAAAATTGGTCATAGTGTACTTTTGGTTGCAGAAAATAGAGGAATTAGAATTCTGAAGGTTTCCTGGAAATGTTTCGAATTTTTGAAGTCGGGTTTGTAGTTCCACTGACGCACTATTCTATAAATGAGTCGGTGATCGTAGTGTTGCATAACTTTTGTAGTTCTCTGTGGTCTTCTGCATCCGATTGCGCTAAAAATAAAAACTGAAAAAGGATTTTAGATAAAATATATTTTTTTGATTTAATAAATATTGTAAGTTATGCATATGCATTTCACACAACCACTTTTTTATTTTGTATCATTTTTCATCCCCATTTCAAATTTTCATTCATGTTTTCAATTGTTTTTTTCAGCACAGTTCAATTGTTCAACTACATTTTTGCCATTGATTCTCGGAATGCCAACTCTTGAATCAAGAATAGACTTTGGCCTGTTTACAAATCTGAATTCGTTTTGAACTTCATTATCATCACTGATAAGGAAAACATAAGATGAAAACCTGGTCTGTAAAAGAAACGGTATGTACAGTTTGCCAGCCAATAAGGAGCTTGGTAGGAGTGAGAGATGAAGAGAAAATGACTTTTTTAAAAACAATTGTTGAGATTCTGAGTGTATCTCGTCGATCCCTGAAGATTAGGCCACCAGATCCGACTATATATAAATTTGTATCTCGCTAAATGGAAACATAATCATCTTGATTGTTTTTCACCTTCCCCTCAATTTTCTCGTCTTCTGCTAATGATGCTCCTCTGCTGACCCCTAGCACACGTGGGCAGATGTTCCTGTGAGGTAGAGAGAGAGAGAGAGAGATACGAATCGGAAGCGCAATAAGGTACGCTTCTCCAAATTACTACTGTATACGAACCGATTTGTTGGTGTCATCTGTCATCATCGCACCAGGCTGTGAACAGTCGGCGGAAGAAACAGACAAATTAGCCGATTTGAAAAAATTTGGCTTGTGGAAGTCCAATATACAGGGAGAGTCGATACTGAAGTCATTTTTAAGCTAATTAAAACGATTCGGCATGTGTACTCACCGCGGGAGGAGCCGTGCCCCTATTAGTTGAGCTACGGGGGCGCAAGAAGTTGCTGCCGATATTCCATATTCAAAAAGGGTACGATAAAAGGGAAAACCCAAAACACACGCTCAAAAATTTTCTGGTCCTCATCTTCTGAAAAAAGTTAATTATGCGAATTAAATTTGTTATTGAGTGGTTTTCCAGATAATTTATAAAAGTTCAGTATACTCTATTTGCTTCCAACTTGTTAAATATCACATTTTTTTCTGAAAACAACAACAACAATTACAATCAAGAAATAATTTTCAAAAATTTTGCTTTAATTATGAACTGTGGCCGAAAAATCGATATAAGCTTTGAACAAACATTTTGACATCAACACAAGAAAGTTTTTCTGTAACTTACCGATATCGCTTACATTTATGCTCTCTCTCTCTCTCTCTCAAGCTATCTTTATTTTTGCTACACTAATTCATATTACAATTGTAGATTGGACCCATCACACGTTCTGTATCAAACCTCTTCATCTAGATCTGATTCACGATAACCGAGAAAAAACCAGAGCACATGCTTATTAGGGCACTAGACAGATGATTCTGTCCGGTTACAGTAACCAGAACATTTTTTCACTAATTGCTCATTAACATAGATGAAAAATTAAGCGGAGGTATACGAAAGACTTCTTGGTAAATAATTGGGTCAGCTGAAAAATGTTCTCAGAAAACCTGTCCCTTATTTTGCTCATATTGTGGTCTACAAAATCACACATCGAAAAGTTTTATCTCTTCCGACTTCCGGTCTATTTAACATACGAATAATAGGGTAAAGGACCACTTCCACCATTATTTCTGATCACACAAAGCGTCGGTTAGTGACCCTTTCCTGTGTCTCTCTCACCCACGCTTTTTTGTTCAAAGGTGAACGACACCGACACCTCATCAAGAGAAAAATGTCGACGAGAATAGTGTCTCATGCCGCTAATCCAGCCACCCCACTGTGTATCTGTTTCTCGGTGAGAATGTGTGCGTATTGTACCATGAGATAGAAAGAACGACTGTGACGAAACTTTGTTTTCGGCGGTAAAACGTTTTGATCGGAATAGGTAAATATTAGCAAAGTTGAGTTGGTTTGAAGGCAGAAGTTTAATTGTGTTGGTAGGTGTGAGAAGTCAAAACTACTATCGTATTAATTTTGCTCGAACGAAATGAAACAAGATATTAAAAATGGGTTATAGTAATATGTGACTGCTCATTGACTAGCGCATATATAGTTTTACAGAACTGGCACCTGAAAATTTCGCAAAGTGCGCTCGTGTCGATATACGAGACCCCATTCAGAATCGATACAGTGTGAAACAAAATTTACTTCTGTAAATAACTTTGGGATTTTCTAAACCGACTAGAATTTTTTAGCGAAAATTTGATTGCTAAAATCTCTAGAATCGGCTTTCCATCAACAATATGAACTGAATCGCGGAAATCGCCGGAACCAGATGAACGATGGAAATATTACCGCGCCGTTTCGTCCATTAAAACGAGCGGCAACTTCCAGATTCTTAGGTGCCAGTTATTCAACACGATAATAGAACTCGAGACGATCTGTAGCAAGTAGTTCGAAAAAAAACTGATACTTCAAAAACACGTCAAATAAACGCACATAAGTGACAATCATATCCAAAGCTCAAATTTAATAGTAAAGAAGAAAGCTCATTTTGAACGTGAAAGATCTGCTCTACTAGAAAATGGTCCTAAAACAAAAACCGACCAGTCTGCACAAGTCAACTGTACATTTGTGACGTCCGTAGCATCTTCTCTCTTTTTCTCTATACCGTGGTTCCGTCACACAATGGCAGGCTAATCTGATAATACCCACAGCAAGTTTCTCTCAATTTCACGCTGTTATCACGGGTTACTGTAAAAGTGTGTGTGTGTGCATAAACATCTTTAACATGGAATGATTTATTGTTGCAAACACTGTGCACTGGAAAGAAATATAAACGTAGAAGAATAGAGGGGCGGGGGGATCGATGTGGGCGGACGAAGGCGGGAATCCACTTTTTTTTTGGATTTTATTAATTGAATATAAAAGTATGGGATAGTTACAAAAAATGACTTCAAACTAAGGGGAGGGGCAATTTTCGAAATTCGACAAACTGGGGGAATGCAAGGACAAAATATTTATAAAATTACGGGATACAGATTGCAAAAAAGATACAAAAAATTGGCGTGCTCTTTTCTCTTTTTTTTTTTGGTTCCTAGACAAAAAATTTACAAAGACTGGTTATGGTGCCAAAACGGGGTTCCCGAATATGGCGCCTGACCGAATTGAGCAGCAGCGTATGGCTGGTTAGCGTAACTGGTATAGTCAAAGCTTCCCCACTGTGGATAGATAGTTGGATAGTTATAGACAGCTGGATTGAACGAGAAAGAAGCAGACGCAGCAGACGAAGTGGCAGCAGTAGCGGCAATAGAAGCTGGAGTTGGGCTCTCGACCGATGGACTCACGGCAGTAGACGATGCAGTCTGGAAATGTAAAAAATAGGGTCGGTAGAGACAGAGGTTTGAAATTTTATCCAAATCACATCACGTACAAAAAGAAAACCTACGAACCTCGTTCTTTCCAAATCCAGTTGAAGCTTTCTGCTCACCAGCTGGCCATTGAAGATCAGACGTCGAAGTGCTGGAGCTGGTGGGGCTGACAGTGGTGTCAACTGGAGAGATGCTCTTTGGAGTGCTCATCTTACCAGCGCTGACTACCGCGGGGTCGCTGAAAATAATTCCATAATTCCGGGATTACAAGGTACTACCACTACTACTACAGACATGCTGGCGAGGGAAGAAAAAGTGGGCGTGTAAACGACTTTATCTAATCGGATTTTTAAAATATAAACCCGCTAAAACTCTTATAAACATGGTGCGATCGTGGGGGGTACCTACCAGCTCTCCAGTTCACTTTTGATTTGAGGCTGATAGCCTGGTGAGACGTTTCCTTTCAAAGGCTTCCCCTCTAACGCATCTGATTGTTGATTTTCACTTTTGTGCTCCTGAATTTGTTCGTTTCCCCTTTGCTTTGGTTTTTGTTTCTCTTGAAGACGGAATTTAGCTCGACGGTTCTTGAACCAAACCTGAAAATGAATTTGTGTTGTACTTGCCAAATTGTAGTCCTTGTTGTCTTATTTGAATCTGTTTCTTACCTGAATTCTACTCTCTTGAAGACGTATTTGCTCGGCGACTCTTTCACGAGCAAAAACATCAGGGTATTGAGTTTCCTGGAACAGATTCTCCAGGATCTCTAATTGCTGACGACTGTAAGTTGTTCTCTCACGGCGATTTTTCCTTGGAATCATAGCTGAAACTTTAAATAAATACTAAGATTAGTCATGTAAAGTGCGATCATTTTCCTAATATTTTTGTCTCTACCGTAATCCTCAATTTTAATGTTAAACGCTTACAATTCTCATAGTACAAATTCATCTCCTAGCAGGTGGTAGAGGGGTTCAGCAAAATTTCAAAATACAGTATATTGTGAATGTCACATACACAATAAACTGGTTGGTATTTGTGAAAATACAGGGCAGACTGTGGTAAGGAGAGAAAAAGTAGAAGAGAGGAAGAGTATGCAAATTTCGGAGAAAATGCGATTATGATTATAACCGGGGCGCCCCGCGCAAAACACCTAGTGATTCAGGGTAAGTACAGTAGGATTTCCTTCTTTTGCCAAGACGAACTCTTCAAAAGAAGTGGGCGTGAGGGCGACGTTTGCTATTTTTAATCCCAACAACTAATTATGGAAAGAAGTCGATTATATGCGCATGGGTCCGTCTTAGAGAGGTGGGTCGGAAGTATAAGTAAGTGAGGATTTGAAGTATGTAGATGAAAGGTCAGGTTTTTGTTATTTTCTAAACTCGTAATTTCAAAGGAATTCATCCTCAAATCATACTACATTCTCACCTGCACTGTAAGGTGCTCCACTGAACATAGTCATCGGTGGAACTTGATAGTTGAATGGCGTGGTCCCGGCTGTTGAAGGAAGTGCAAAGTAGCTATAGCTGGTCATCCCTGAAAAAGAAACGTTTACTGTAGGAAAGTTGGAGAAGGAATGATAATGATAGAGCAAAATGAGTTTTGTAGATTCACGTGACAAGTAGAAGATTGATGGTTAGATAGAAAACGTGGCAAGCAAAATGTTCAACAAATTTCAGCCTTCGAAAGAAGTGAAGTACAACTCTTAATTTTGATTCTAATGATTGAAAAATTCGTTAGTGAATAGTTCCCTAGACATGAACCAGCTGCATGCCCATTAGGAACATTAGTCTCATCCTTCGGGGTGCGTCCTCTTTAAAAAACACCCTAGCAGCCTAGAATTATGGTATTACACAAGGTTAATCCAGTGCCAGACCACCACTACCGGCGTTTTAGTCTTTGAGCCTTAACAACAAATGTAAGCTGATTTGAATTAGTAGGTAGGGATGAGCCGACAAGGTTCTTCAGAGGCTAATAAATCATTGTTGAGGCGCTTGAGAGAAACTTTGAAATGTTAGTGTTGGACAGCACTTGAAACCCCAATAAAACCCGGCTAAGCGGTTTATTAGCGCCTCGATAAAATAACATTGAGTGAATTGAATGATATGAAAATGTGTGTTTGGAGCAGTGGGGAGAAGCACAAAAGAGGGGGGGGGGGGGAGCGGTGACAAAAACTCCGCCTTCTGATAATGAAGTAAATGAGAGGGAGGGTAGAAAGATACTGTAGACAAGGTAAAAGTCTAATTTATGAGGTCAGAAAAGAAGGAACTGGAATGGAACTTGGATTCGCGAAGTGTTGGTGCAAGCTTTGGGCAACTGGCTCAAAGGTTTCAAGTTGCACCTCAAGAATATTTAAAAAAATGAAGTTGAAACGAGAATTTCGAAAAAATGAAGAAGAGTCGTGGTAAAAAATCGAGAAGATTCAAATCCAAGTAAAAATTAAATCGGATTAGCGCTCCAAAAACAATGTGTTCTATACTCAATTAAGCATAACTCAATTAAGATAATTAAAAAACCGCGAATTTCTAGGTTAGAACGGAGGTTCTTATTTCATGGGTTTAGAATCGGTTTAAGACAGATTTTGAGAGCGTAAACCCCGGATTAGTTGGTTACCTCTCTCTCGTAGAAGACCATAAAATAAATGGATCATGAGCGAGCCCCTCCTCTCACTCCTCTCCAATGGAGAGACAAATTGTGGGCGGTCCGACTTTTGTACCGTATCTCTTCCCTATTCTGATGACAGCTAAGCGAGGACGGAGGTAAGTGTGGTTGATGGGGGAGGAGGAGAAACGTTGCTGAACGAGGCACGAGTGAGAAGACAGAGATGACCCCGAGTGAGACCTGTGTTTTTGAAGTGTGATCTAAAACTGTCAGAAGGAATAATTCTTGAATATGAAGATGGATAGGTGTGAAAAAAGAGTTCAGTGAGTTTGATTTTTGTAGACATCCGTACAAACAACAAGAGAGAAAATAAGAAATCGGACTCTGCAAGTTTTTTTGGAGCAGCTCAATTTGTAGGTGAAATTCTTCGAAACTATAAATCTGAAAAATAGATATACTACAAATCAATGCATCCTAAATATCAACAATGAATACTGATTATATTCATTTTACGATGAAATAAACTATTTCTAGCCGCGAAAACCTAATGAACTATTATGATTTTTTAAAAATTCAGAGCGCTTGTGAATCTAAAATTTATAAACGGAAATTCGGAAAAAAGAACAGGGAACGGTTATCATATTTCAGTTTTAATAAAGATCCTATTAAATATTAAAACAGATGAGTAAAATTCGATTTGTAAGGTAATGTGGTTAAAATACAGAAGTTGCTAAGGAACAAAAAGTTTTACATTTATATCAACATGCTCCTTGTCAAGATCAAGTGATCAGTAGTTAGGAATATTAAGTTTGCAATAATTATCTAGTACTTCGTTTTCTACTTTTAAAATATCACCTTCTCGTCATCAAGCCTTCTTTCATTTTTACGCCTTTTTCCATTTGGGATCTGGGGTACATGTAAAAAAACGTTGGAAGCCCCTATCTACCAGCTAAGAAAGGGGGTGCAAGTTAAAGTGACCGAAACTTTTATTTAAAAATCCTCTGAAAAATTCTAAACTATGATACTCACCATATCATTTTTGCAGTTTTTCTTTCCTTTAACTTTTAACTTCCCTCATTTCTCATTCTTCTCATCCCCCAGTGGGGTGCAATAATTCGACCGATTTTCAATTTGCACGTGAAACTGGCCTAGTTCTTTGAGGTGAAAGAAGAGAGAATTAAAAAAAAACAATTCAATATTTTTATTATTCGAGGTGTTTTGTTGTTTCATTTTCCTACTAATCAGTTTTCTCGTTTCAAAACTCAGAAATGTTCAAACTTCGTGTACAAATTACTTTAGTTTTATAAATTCAACTTTTCCAAAATTAACATTCAAAATTTTCAAACCTAACTCTAAGCGTGAGGATAATCAAGTAATAAAAAACCTCAATTATCCGATTCGAAAGGAATTACACAACTCCGGTGGAAGAAACAGTTGTAAAGTTTGCGTTGGGCTATATAAGTTAATTGACGAACCCGAAAAGAGAGGTAAGGAGGAAAGAAGGGTTTGTGATGATGACCTCTAACCATTAAATGAGAAATTAACAAAGTTGGGAAATTCGGTTTCGAATTTTGATGCACCAAAAAAGAACAAAAACTAGAAATCCTGCAACAAGAACATTGTTCTCTCTTCCGTTTGTGGCACTTTTTCTCTACTTATCACCCCCAAATCTTATCATAACAACGACCAACCTGTCACCGGTTACGTAAAAGATGATATAAGTTATAGCCTTTTGGCAAATGTTCCCAATGTTTACACTAATGTTATGGTCATAGTTGGTGGAGGAAGTTTGACCCCGTTAATGAGCTCAATTGTTATCAGCTATAGGTCCCGAAAGACAAAATTCAGGGAGAAAGGGGTCAGAACCATATCACAACTTGCGAAAATGCATGTTTTACTGACTTCCGAGAATGTTTATTTTATAAGTTTACATAAGTATGATTTGGATGAGATTCTAGGAATCAACAGATAAAAAAAAGGTAAAGTGGAAATTATTTAAACGGAAGAAAGCATTCAGGACGGAAAATGGGAAAATATGGAGAAGTTTAATTCCATAACTAAGTTTTCCAGACGTGACAAAACAAATAAAACTGACCTCATGTTTTTGAATTTGCAAGTATTTATTTTTCATTTGTTTAGAAAATATTCAGAAACATGTCGTTTGGTTTCAGCGTTTCTTTTATACTTGGAAAATATACTAACGTTCTCACACTTTTGTATGGGAAGGATTTCTTTTTCTGGTTTATGAGATCAGCCACAACTATTTAGCAAAGTTTGGCGCTAAAAATAGACTTTAATTCTTTTACAATTTGAAAAAAAATTCTGCATTTTTTAATTAGAAAAATGATTAATTCAAACTTTAAAAAATCTGACAAATCATTTTTTCTACTGGGTCACTGTTTCTATGCGGAGAAGCCACATCTTGACATTCTCCGTTTTCTTTTGCTTCCTAGCACCTATCCAATCAGAATTCTTTTCAATTCCAATTCCACCCCGTTTCTATCACATTCCCCATCCATTTTACCTTCTCATAAATTTGCCATCTATTTATCCTGCTCACGTCTTCCCCCTTTTCCAGGATTCGCGTCGTTTCAATTTAACAAGAAATTTGTAGTGGACGCATGTCATCTAAGGGCTTTACTAAATTTGAACTCTCAATTTCTGATGAAGTGTGAATATGACATGGGGTTGACCTGGATTATGTTGATGTCAACTTATTGTCAAGACCTGGATTCCAGGTGCTGGAACAATCAGAGGATGTGTGAGTTTAGACAAGTGGTCGAGGAGTAAAAAAGACAGTAGAAAAAATTAGAGTTAGGTCCTGTTAGAGACAATGACAGTCAGCTGTCAGAGGGCATGAACGGGTCAAATTTGTGACAATTAAAGGTGTGAAAATTCGAAAATGTGTTAGTCCCAATAAAACACAAAGAGGCATGTGAATCAGATTGAGATATGTGCACCGGGTAAAAATTTCGAGAAACACATATTTTTCACATCCTTCTTCCTTAAAATTCCGCTTGACATCCCTTGATTTCTGTACACTCAAAGTTTCGAAACCGGTATTCAAGTGCATATTCTGAAACTGAGTACTATTATCAACTACTAATACCGTAATCATCTAATGTCATTTCCGTTTATTCCTTCTCAATTTTCTAGAACATTCCATTCGGAAACACTTTTATCACACACGCAAACATTTTGAGTTTCGATTCGAATGGCGCTGCTCGCCTGCCAATCAGTGGACAAAGTCATAAATTACTGATAGCTGTGCTAATACCCAGCTTAGTTCACTTTATGTTTGTCTGAAGAAAAAAAAAGCGGAGAAGCGAATGTGTGCAGGTATATATCAGAAGTGATCGTTCGTTACAAAAATAATGATATTACAACTTTACCATTGGAATAAAAGGAGTAACACAGAGAATATGTTCAATACCACGTGCGCTTCTGGAAACGTTCTATGTTCTGTCTAGATCAGTGGTCATGTTCCTCGTATATTAATAAGAAAATTAGATGGTTTTGCATGTACTACACTGCTTAATTCCGCGCGCACAATGTCTTGGTGTCAGCTGCCTGTATTCCCCATCCAGGTAAGTGAAAAATGAGTCTCTATAGATGGGTATACGAGATTATTCTAGGGTGAGACTCCAGCACGACACAAAACCTGAATGAACAAGTACATTTTTTTTGAAAACTGGGTTCTGAATGATGATAGCTAACTTATGAATATCTAAGCATATAAGTTAGGAATATACTTATGAATATAAGTTTCTACTCGATATCGGGAGTAAAAATCATACTTGTGGAAAAGATGGCCGGCCCGCGGGCCGGCCCGCTTTTTGAAAATTTCGAAATTTTAGAGCAAATCATCGTTCTTCAAGATGGCTTTTCTCCTTAATAAATAAAAATCCACACTAGAGGACGATGCTGTTGAAA